AATGCAGGAGACATTAGTGTTAATACACTATCTGAAATCAAAGTGCTTCTATTATAGAAATGCAAATTACATAGTGAAAGAGTTTCATCTATGATTATATATCTATTTTATTGTGCAGGATTTTTAGGAATGACATTATTCTTTTTTAATTGGTTTTGTCAATTCACTGCAACATCATTACATGATTCAATGACAGTATTTTTATATATCTTTTTGTATACTACCCCTAATGCTTTAGTCATAGGTTTAGCTGATAAATAAAGTCAACCTTTTGTAAATGATAAATTTCCTGCTTTCTATATTGATGGATAAATCAGAACTCGTAGATTTTGGTTTTATTATTTAATTGAAGGATTTTTAGAGTCATTCATTTGTGCTGCCTTTACATTTTATACATGTACATACATGGTTAATTATGCATGGACTAATGATGCTTATTAATCAGATATGTAAATGGTAGCAACATCAATCATTTATTTACTTATTACTGTATCTAGTTTTAAAGTATTGTTTAGACTCATATAAAATAATGTAAATATAGTAGTGATAGCTTTTTTATTAACTTTTGGTTTATTGGTAGGATTTGTTTTTGTTAATTATAGGGGAGATTTTAGTAATTTTGATTATTAGGAATTGACTTATCAGTTATTTACAAGATTCAATAGTATTGTTGCTATTGTATTTAGTCTTATAGGTTGTTACTTTATCAATTACTTTTTACATGATTTTATTAAATTGATATATTTTCCAAATGCATATTAATAGTTTGCATTTTAAAATAAAAGTGGTGTAGAATAGGAAGTGATGACAAATAAAGAGATTTTACATTAATGTCTAGATTAACATGTGTAATTATTTATTATTATTAAATTAATAGTAATGTTTCATCCATCATATAAAAGGTATTCATTGATTGTTCAGCAACTTCACCTTATATATAAGAGATGTTAAATCCAGGTGATACCAAAGTAACTGAAATGAAATTGAAACCGTTAACACTTGAGATGAAAGAATTAGTATTGGAATAAAAGTTTTTAGCTCATAAATTAATTTAATCTTTAAAACATTTAAGATTATTTTTATGCATTCTATTATTATACTATATTGGATATTGTTTGACAGACTTCTTTTTGACAGATAAAAGAGTATTTACAGGAGCATACTATTTAGTTGTATTTGGAATAATCTCTATTATAATACTCTTTTCTTGTACTCATAGAATGGAACAATAATATTACACATACTCACATATAATAGTGTTTATTATATTTGCAATAAAAGTGGCAATAGATTGGTTATCAGATGATTTGACTATAACATTATCTGCTACTATAGTAATTTTATTTAGTACATTTAATTCAATGAATATGAGTGTGATTCCAATAATATTGTACAATATATGTTATTTGATTTAACTCATTGTAAGAATCTTGATAGTTGTGACTTCAACAGATTTAAGTACTTCTAATGGAATATATTCTCAAAGTAGAGTGTCTGTATATGCAGCCAGTACTTAGATATTATTAGTTGTGAGTATAACAATAAGATTTTTATTCAGTTATTACAAATCTATTAAACATAGAAGAAATGATTACTTAGCAAAATATTCAATTGAATAAGATAATGTAGCTGCCTAAGACATATTGAGTATATTAGTACCTAGATTTGTAAGATAACAGATATCTACAGGGATATATTCAATGTAATAAGCTTAAGATGATGTTTCAATATTATTTGCTTATATTTGTGATTTTGATACTATAATGAAAGAGGAAGGTAAAAATGTAGTTTTGATGTTGGATTCATTGTTTAGATTATATGATAATTTATGTATACAACATGGAGTATAAAAAATTGAAACTGTTGGATATACATATATGGCTGCTACAGGAATTAAAGCATGTGAATAAAATATGACTGCTCATGTAACAAGAATAGAAAAAACTATGAGATTAGTTAATATGGCTTTTGATATGATGTAATAAGTATAAGGTAGAAAGTATGGAAAAGGTAATCAAATTGAAATGAAAATTGGTATACATGTTGGACGTGTAATTGCAGGAGTTATTGGTCATCATAAACCATAATTTTCATTGATAGGAGATCCTGTCAATTAAACTAGTAGAGTGGGTTCAACTGGAGATACAGGAGCAATTACACTCAGTGAATAGGCATTTAAATAGGCAAGACATGGAATTAAATACTATTAGAAGAAATAGAAGGAAGCAAAAGGTTTAGGAATTATTGATACTTATTAAGTATTTAAGACAAAACCAATAGGTTATTAAATACCAAGAGCATTTTAATTATGGTAGAATTGTGCAAAGGTTGTAGTGAAAGATTTAAGATAGCATAGAAGTTCACGTTAAATTCAAACTAAAAAGTAAGGATAATTCTTAACCTAATTACATAATTCAATATACCAAGACAATTTAAAATAATCAAATAGAATTGATGTTTCTCCTAAAGGACCATAGACAGTTTAATTTTTAATACCTTAAGGATCTGCTCAAGAAGAAAATAGATCTAGATTAACAATTCCAGCACAACCACCTGAGCAAATATTAACTGAAGATTCTATATTGATTACAAATGAATAGGAAGAGAAAGAATTAGAGTTGATTAAACCAAATATTATATTGGATATACCAGAGAATGAAATAAAATCCAATTTTTATTAAATTCTTAAAGAATAAAATGTTGATGAATCTAGAGTAGGTATGATCTTTTTATGGGTTACTTATTTTGTAATTACTTTGTTATCAATAATAGTTCGTAAATTGTTTAATCATGATTTGTTAATCTTTGTATTGAGAGTAATAGATTTATAAATATTAATAGGCTATTTTCTTGATTTTAGCATTTGTTCTATTCCCAATTTTGTCAAAAGCATATAGAAATAGAGCAGTTAATACTATGTATTACATTGTACTTATATATGCTATATTCACTGTACTTTTCTAGGCATATTTAACTGATAATAGAGAAGTTGCAATAATTTGTTTATTAGAAATACTTTATATAATGATTGTAACTTGTTAGATGAAAATGTTCTCTTTTCTGTAAGTGATACTATATATGATAATAATGTTTGCATTATTCTTAGGATTCTACATTTCAACTGATTTAATTACTCATTATGCAATATTTTATATTTGTTGTTGCATGCTTATTCTATTACTAGGATATTATCTTGCAATGAGTGAACAAATATAAATGTTTAACAATTTATAAATTAATGAAGAAAAGAAAGTCAAATAAATAAATCTAGTAAGTTAATTATTACCTATGCATTCCTATCTTAAAATGAAGAACAGTTCCATCTATGATAAAAGTGACTTTATAGATGAGTTTGATGATGTTACTCTTCTCTTTGCTGATATCAAAGGTTTCACTGAATATTCTCATACTCAGACTCCTGAAGGCGTAGTAACTATGTTAAGAAATCTATTTACTGAATTCGATAAACTTTGTTAAAGATATAATGTCTACAAAATGTATACTATAGGAGATTGTTATGTTGTTATGGGATTCACTAATAGTGCAAAACGAAATGTATTTACTCTTTATATATATTTATTTAGCCTATTCAAGAAGCCATTAATACAGTTAAAATGGGATTCCAAATGGTAGACATTATAATGTCTGTTAGATAGAAAATTAAATTTGATAAATTGAATATGAGAATTGGTATACATACTGGATAGGTAACTGGAGGTATTATAGGTACTGATATTGTTCGATATGATATCTATGGAAAAGATGTTTCAATTGCTAATAAAATGGAGAGTAGTGGAGTAGAAGGAAGAGTCTAAATTTCTGAAACCACTAAATTAATGATAGAAAGAGCTGGAAAACATGCATTCAATTTTAAATTCCATCATGTAATATATTCATTTTCTATTTTAGGATGTTGAATTGAATAAATTCAATATGAATATTAAAGGATTTCTTGTTGATTGGGATAAAAGAAGAGAAGAAGCTAGTATAGATTAATACAAATCGCCAAGTCGCCATTAATGATACAAATTTTAAAACTTAATATCTAAATTATTATGCATAATTAATTTCTCTAAAAACATCTCTCAAATTCAATCAACTTTCTTTGTAGTTTCATTTGTATGTTTATCACCTTTTCCTTTTGTTGACACTTTAGCTGATGCCTTTCTTACAAGTAATTATTTTCTGTCTTCATTTAAATATGGTTTAGTGATAATGCATTATGATGCTCTGATTGGTATTTAATATGGCATTCCTATTATTATAATTTTATATTTCTACCATTAGCTTTGGTTCTTGTCAATTTCTCAATCTGAATTGTCCATCTCTTTCTATATACAGATGAAACCTTTCCTTTTGTTCCCTTATGAGTACCTCTCCATAATAAATTATTCATACCTCTGACTACTGTCACTTCGTCATCCTTTCTCACTGGTAATGCTCTAACATTATATTTTTTTCTTAAATCTTTTGATAAATGAGCACTCATTAATTTATATCTTATATTAGATGGAGCACCAAGTTGAGCTCTTCTACCCTTTCTTCTTTGACTTGACACTTCTATATGAGTTTTCATTTGAAAAAAGATTTTATTAAAAAATTAATTTATTGTTTTCTGGTATAAATTAGTTATTCATAAAATTAACATCTTTTATTATAAATAAAAAGCAGAAAAAACATAATTATAAATTTAAAAGGAATTCTAATAACCATGGTATTTCCAAAAATAATATAATAAATAAAACCCTATTGTGTTAATATTAAAAATAGTATACTACTTTTATCTTATAATCAATTGAATAATATTTTCATTTTTCTTTTCAAGGACTGTTGAATGTTACAATTTCTCCATATAAATATTCCTTAAATAGTAGTTATCAGAAGATTTAACAAAATATAAAATTGCTATCCAATTAATAATGCTAAACAACCCTTAACTCAGTTGAATTGTCATCAAAGCATCAATATACTTATATAATATTTACATAATTTTTAGCTACTCATAAAACAAAATAATCCCAACTCATTAGTAAATATTTTCGTAATACAAAATGAAATACTAGGACTACATTTGAATACTTATCACCAATGCTATATTAATGATAATACTCTAGAACAAGTTTAATCTATACAATCAAAATTCTGAAACCTTTTAAAATAATTTACAAGGCAGATAATTTGTTAATAGAATTGTTAATCTAATGGTTAAATATTAATTAGACATAGATAAATAGATAACTTAATGATTCAAACAATTAATAAACAACAGTATTACTTGAATACATGATAATCTAAATGAGTTTAAGTGTCTTTTAATTACATATTTCATTATCATCATCTATTTATAAATTATAAATTAATATCAAAAAAGCGTTTTTGATAGTACATGCCTATTACCTCTTCAATATTGGCTTTCTTGAACATTTTAGAAAAATAATATTCAGCTTCATTTTGAGTACAAATCCTTAAATCATCATAATTAATGATATAAGAAAATTATTCAATTTAATAGCTAAAAATACAATAGGGAAAGTGATTATTAAATTTCAAAGATCACAATCATCACAAATCTTTAATTTATTAAGCATTTCAATATTTGGATAACTGTAAGCCATAATTTCCTAAACTGTCCATCCACTTCCAAAAGCAATATATTTATACTGACATAAATACTGACCTAAATTTTTTACTAGTCATCACTAATGTTGATTTTCATTTCATTCTATTTTTTGGATATTTTATTATATATATATATTTCTATAGGTTTCATCATAGTTTTAAAATAGGCGTTGCTATATTTCACATCTAAATTAATTATTCAAAATTCTCATAAACTACTCTTACAATCAGAGTTCCTTCTCTATATGGAATTATAATACAAGAGCCACTATAACATACAAATTTTAAATTTAATTATCTTAAATTGCCTATCATTTCTAAAACACATTCTAACAAATAACCACTTTATAAATATTGAAGATTGTACGTCAAAAAGGCAACATTCATTCAATTGAAATCTATTTAATATTAATGTTTTTTTTGATTAATTTAAAGCCAAGAGGATTCGACTGCTCTATATATTATCATGAAGTATCCTAAAAATTTATATGGAATAAAACAATACCAAGCAAAATGATTGATTTATTTTTAACTTGAAACATTAAGATTGATATATCATTTATCATTATTTATTATTTTACAAAATATAATTAAATAGTAAACAAAGTTGAACAAATCATCCAACTAAAGAAGGAGTTTAAATTAATTATTATTAATGTTTATATTAAACTAATTCATGCTCCAAAGCCATAAAGAGTTCTGCCTTATCTCTTTAATGAGTAAACAACATCCATTACGGTAACTGTCTTTCTTCTGGCATGCTCTGTATAGGTGATAGCATCTCTAACAACATTTTCTAAGAAGCTCTTCAAGACATTTCTTGAGTCATCATAAAGGAATGATGAAATTCTTTTAACACCTCCTCTTCTTGCTAATCTTCTGATTGCTGGCTTTGTAATTCCTTCAATGGATGCTTTGTTTGGTTTTCTTGCATGTCTCTTTGCGCTGACCTTGCCAATTCCTTTGCCTGATTTTCCTGCCATTTTTATTGATTTGAATTAATGAAAATAAAAAAAATAGGTTGTATATTGTAATATTAATCCGAATATTTGATAAATCAACCAATCATAATTTTTGTTTAGAAAAGTTAATTTATATAGGTCTATATATATATTAGAAAATATAATTACTTTCCGTCCAATTCTAATCCATTCATATTTGCTAAAACTGTTAATGCTACCTCAGTAGTAGCATATTTCAGGATACACAAATACTTATTTCCAGTAGACAGAATTCTAAATATTGAATATTTGATACTTCAAAGCTTTGATTTATCCAAAATCTTGCATATATTATTACATGATAGAATTTTGACAAGAATTTCTTGTAAGATTAGAAACTTAGATTGTATCGCATGGTGGAGCAAGAGTATAAGTGGAATCAGGTTTGATACGGTGAGTTTCTTCTCCACCTTAAAAATATTCCTCTTGGGTTTTAAGATCAGAAGCAATTTCACCTGGTTTTGTTGGTTATGTTTTTAAAGATATTTCCTCATAATTTGAAAAAAAGATCTAATTATAAATATTAGATACTTTGATTTATTATCCATAAAACATGATATCATTCAAAGCCTCTTTGGCTATTGCTGCATGACCCTACATTACATATTGAATGAGACAACTTGATCTTTCCTTAAGATATATCATTTTATCAATATTGCCATAGATACTGAATATATTATAAAGCATAGTGGATGTAACAACTTTCTTATCGAACCATCTTGCATAAATAACTTTAGATTTACGCAAAGCTAAATAAATAAAATAAAATAAAATAAGAACCTTTAAAAAATAGAGGATTCACATATTCTTCCAGTTTTTCTTATTATTATTATAGAGTCTGACTTTTAGAAGTACTTTACCTTTATATTTTGCCTTTACTAATTAATTAATCAATATTGTCAACACTTCTAGATGATTATTCAATAGTGTTTTGTTATGTTTATTTTTCAACTTGATGTGCCACTTAATTGTCATTTTTATCAAATAACATATCTTAATTTAATTTATTAAAGATTTTTTGTTTTTCTCCTTCAGTAAACTCTTGATTCTAATCAACAAATTTAAATAATTCATTATTAATATCATCTTCATCATTTTCATTATCACATTAGAATAATTCTTCTTCATATTCTTGAAGATCATCATCTTCTCCTTCTGAATCTCTCAAACCTAATCCATTAAAATTGAGATCTTCTGCTTTAGCAACACTCTTCCCTTCACTTAAATACATTTTCTACACCTACATTTAATCTATCAATTTATCTTAACTATGGAACATTACATCCTTTGTAACATCAGTTTCGTGATAACTCTATATAAATTCAATCTAATCTCCATTTTTAGCCTATTTATCATTGGGAAGTGTTAATTTTTTCCTATTTTATTTACCATTATTGCTTGATTGAACACTAATTGATTTTTAATCATCAAGTTGATTGTATTCTTATAAGAAGTTTTAGTAATTGTCGGTGAGATTAGAAAATTTAAGTTAAAAATCATAAATATCTTTTAAAATTGTCTATTGCTTCTCAATTTGATTTTAAAGGTCTGCAGTCTACTATAAAGGTGTAGCAAAGCCTTCTGCACAAGTTTATTGTAATTGTCCCATTAGAGAATTGATTTGTTGAATTTATTGAGACATTTGATGTTAGAATTACATTTGTGATTACAAGAATTAGAAGTTTTATTAAGGAGGTATTGGATTGCTTTTGATTGATGAAGAAGATTATGTCACTTCATTTGGAGGTGATGATTCTTTTTTTCTTAACTAAGTGTAATCTACCAATTAATTACACTCATACCTACTCCCCCAGTATTGTTTTCTTAAAATGTGATATAAGTCAATTTGCTTGCATAGACATTCATTTGTAATGTGTTATCATCACAAAAGAATTTATCGTTCATCTATGATCTAGCTTTAAGTGCTGATTCTGGATTATCAAATTCAACAAAGGTTTTCCATGTGAGTGATCTCTCAAAGATGAGCATCTAAAAAATTATAGCATAACACTTACTCTCTATATGGTACCAAAAGGACTAAACACTTTAAAATATTTATCATGACTCAAGGTTTTATTAGCTTTATTAGTTATTACAACCAAAATCACATTAGTACGGGGAGGATCAGAGTTTCTTTCGATTTAAGAATTCATAATTAGATTTAGAGAAATTAAATATTTATTTATTGTTTACAACAAATACAAATAATAAATGTATACTAATTTCTACCAATTTATTAATTGCATATATCACTAAAAAATTCTTTATATATTATTTAATGTAACACTCCTTCAATAACTATAATAAATGTGACTCTATCTATTAAAATTCCTATACTTACATTAAAAATATCCTTTTTCAGGAAGAATTATTTATTTGGATACAGTTTATAAATCAATCTAAGTATTTTTAATTCTCATAAGATATATTTTAAATTTCTCTTTTAATAACAATCTATTTGGACTGATAAATGTTCATTTAAAAAATGGATCTTTATTTTATTATTAATATAGAGTAATCAATTAATAATTTATATAATGTGTTAAACTGACTAGTTTTTTCCTCTAAAGACCAATTAAATAATTTGATTTAACTATTACTTATCAATCTGTCTATAATAAACATTATTCAGTTAAATCAAAACTCAAAAATTTGTTCAGAATTTATATCTTACTCATTAAAGTATTATTATTTATTATATGGATATATATTATTTAGAGTATTTAGGCTAAAAATAGTTTAAATGTAAATAGAATACAATAGAGTGATATGTGAAAAGAATTAATAATATAATATTTGAATTCATTGTAATCTCTACTCTCTTATGATATGCCTAAATCTAATTTGAAAAAATAAAAGGTTTTATTTTCTTTTGTCTATTTCTTAATATAATTGAATATCTTAATGCATTAAATTATATATTTTAAATTAATTTAATTATTTACAATATAACATAAATGTTGAAATGATAATGGTTTATAATTTTGATATCTATTGAATATTTAATCAGTAAATTTTAATAGATATATACAAAATTCTGAATTAAGAATTGATGAATACAATTTTTTATTTTTATATTATCAAAATTATTAATCATTGTAAAATAATGATAATTACTTTATGATCTCTTTTTATTAATATATTTAACTTATAATAAAGGACATAATATCATAATATTTGTTTTATTAATTATTTAATTAATATATGAGTGAATAGTAAACTCAATAAAGCATTTACCCATTTTATTAATTTTGTTTAGGAGGAGCATCACAAAACTTTTTGAAATGTACTAATTGTATTATCTTGGGTGTTATTATTCTTATATTGATTTCTATTCTGATTCTTTAATTGCAAAGGAGATATAAGGCAGGAACTAAGAAATTATCAAAAAAGTGCATCATTTTGTACATGATTATGACCGACTTTTTAAGTATTCATGATAACCAATTCAAGTATTATTTGTAGAGTCATCCATCATAAGCAACAAGTACGTGACACAATTAGAACCTTACTTCAGAACTATGGTGTTCATCTTCTTTTACTATTATATTAGTCTTAAATTAAGTAAACTTTCAACAAACAGGAAAAGAGCATAAAAAAAATTCAGAAACATTGCTTTATTCTTATATGCCTCAATACTAATTGGATTAATATTTGTACTTGTGAAATTGATTTAAGACAACTAGGTTTTCTATGAATGTTATTGTAAGATATGACTAATTCTAGTTAAATATAGTATGATTTCTAAAATACTGGGAGTGTGCATTACAATAATTTTAGTTATCTTTAGTGCCAAGTTATAAAAAAAAGTGGATGACAAAGTTAAACCAATATACCAAGATCTTCCACTTTTATAAATGAAGACTTTTTAAAATAATGAAACATAAAGGGAAGACTTAAGAATATTAATTGTAATGTGCAGTGCTTCTTAATTTTTAACAATATTCTAAATGATTTACTTTTTTATTAAGGAACAAATCAATGCAGAATTGTAATTTCCTAATTGTACTCCTTGTCAAATGATACCTTGTCTAAAGATGTCTGTAAATAATACAATTGCATTTGAACTATTCTTGAGATTGTCATTTTTAACAATCATTATCATTTTACCATATTTAGCACTTATATCTTTTTTTTGGGTGAATTCCAATTAATTGCATAATGATCATGTATTATATTCTATATTCAATATATATTTAGCATAGAACAATATCTAATGAAGAGGATATTTGGATTAACTTCTTTAAGAAAATGGGATATGAAAAATCCAAGATGGGTTTATCAGACATTACAGATTAATAAGAAAAATCTTTATCATCAGATGTTTCTAAATAATGACTAATTAATATAATTATATAATTAATTTAATGCTTATAATTATGATATTCATTTCTAAAATAAATGGTTATTGTATAGAGTATTTATAAATAAATTAGAATAACAATCCTAATTTAATACTTTATATGAATTAATTATATTAAAAAAAATATTCAATGAATTTTGATAATCTTACATTGAACAAATGAAATCAAAAAAATTCATGTAATATAGATGAATTAGATTTAGTTAACTGATATTATATTATTATTTATTAACAATTCCTGAATATCCAAATATTTAAAATCTTTACAGAAATAAATTCGCATTTTCTAGATTTTTCAGAATTTTTTAAATATTTATATAACAATTAGAAATTAGAATAGTTTAAAAATGTGTTATTATGATTTACAGTATTTTTAGTAAACATTATTTATTAAATTATTCATAGAATATAATCTATTAATAAGATATGGGATGATTAAATAATAAATAATAATTGATTCAAAGGGATAAATTATATTTTCAGATATACATTTAGAAATAGAGGAAGAAAATTTATTTAAAAAAATGAATGAATAATTTTTTTAATTTTTATTTGGAAATAAAAAAGGGTTTCAAAAATATATAAATTTTACAGAAATTATAATATTATTAATAGTTTAATAATTAGATTAAAACTAATTTTAATGAATAATTTAAGAATTTTAGTTAGAAATATAAAATTAATTAATTTATTTAATAGACAATTAGGATAGAATATAGTTAAGATTCTATATTTTATGTTTAAGTAGTTTGGAAGTATGTAATATATTAAAAATATTCATTATAATTGATAATTTAAAATATAAAATTTATTCATTAGTATTATTAATAACTAAATTTAAATAAATAATTTATGAATAGTAAAAGTACCAATATTAATAAAGGAAAATTATTAATAAAATATAAGAAATATGGGATAGCTAAATAAAGTATTAAAAAAAGGAATGGTAAAGGTTGATCAAAATTGGAAAAAAATAAAGTCAAATTAGGGGATGTTATTAGGAGGATCAAATTTCTTAAATAAAATTTATTTAGATGAATCAAACAAATTATTAACAATGGCCTAAAATATCCTCTTTAAGAATTAAGAATTCTTGATTTTGTGACTGGAATAAAGAGTTAACATATTTATATAACTCAAAATAGAAATTTAAAAGGAGTTATTTATAAATTGGTTGAAATAAGAATTTAATTGAAAATAATCATATTAATAGTTAAAAAGCAAAAAAAGAGCTTGGAAATCAAATACATTAGTATTATTGCACTGGTTACATTAATTATTGAGTATTAAAATAAATATGATTATTTTTGGATTGAATGAGTAGAAAATAATTTATCAGAATGTGTATTTAATTATGTTATTAAGAGAATGAAAGCTATAATTTCAATGAAAATAAATACAAAATATTAAAAGAGAATATATAAAATATTAATGATGATATAGAAGCTAAAAGTATTATAAGATTAGATTCTATTTTTAAATAAATATTTTTGTATTCAAATTTAGATTTGAAATACACAGGTTTGTAGTGCAACTAACTTATCTAAGGTATTATATTAAGTTAATAAATATATTATGAATTAACTTATTAATTGTGTAATATATATAATAATATAATGACTTGTCATTCAGTTTATATAGGATCAATAATTATGTATATTAATCCTTGAGTTATTTTATATATTTATTAAGTTTAGAGACTTTGAAATTAATTATTTATTCAAGTTCTTATGGTGTAATATAAATATTAATTAATCTTCCTCTTAGTAAATTTTAGAATGTAAACAAGAAATTGGAGAAAGAAAAAATAGATTTTGGAAAAACTAACCAGAAAAAATGAAGCAAGTAATAGAGCGATATATAATTGATAGTAACATAGGCTAAAAATGACCAGTAGTTATTTGATAGTAATAGGGAATTTTTCTAGAAGTTCTAGAATTTCTATGAAAACGTCTAGGATATAATAATTCCATCCTTATAGTAAATTATATTTGTATTCAGGTTTCTTTAAGAATAATTTCATATTTCTGAATTATTAACTGATCAGCAAGTATATTAATTATAAAAGGATTTACATGAATAATGGATTCCAAAATTAAGAAAAAATTGGACTGATTAGGATAAATAGATTCTTATTTGGATTGTTTTAAAAATTTGTTCAAGAGACGGAATTAATATACGGAAAATAGTATATTTTAATATAATTTAAGCCTAATAAAATTTGGGAAGAGGTTGTATAGTTGATTAGTCGACGTACAGTTGAATAATGTAAAAATAAATGGACTGACTTATTGAAATTATCATTATAATAAATTCCTTGGATGGAAGAATAAGATATATATTTGATTGATTTAATAAGGTAAATTTGATTTGAATACATTAGAAAAAGTAGAGAAGAGGGTAAATAAAATAAATGGTGTACATTAGCTAATTTACTAAATTAATAGTTTAAAGAATCACCTAGAACTGGAAAACAATGTAGAGAAAGATGGAATAACCATTTAAATCCTGATATCAATAGACATCCTTGGAATCTTGAAGATGATATTGAATTATTAGAAATTGTTAAAAAACATTAAAGAAAATGGGCACTGATTTCAAAAACATTAAAAACTAAAAGAAGTGAAAATGCAGTTAAAAATAGGTTTAATTGTTTACTTAAAAAAAATCATTGCACATCAATTACAACCCTTATTAATATTTTAAAAAATAGATTTAAAACTGAACATCCTACTATTCCTTTATCAGCTCTTAAAAAATAAATGATGCAAAAGTATTATCTAAAAGATTAAGATCATTTAAAAAAATAATAAGATATAAATTAATTAAAAAATCAAACATTATTTACAATTGAAATATTTGATAATCATACTTTAAGTAACTTGAATAATCTTCAACCAGCATTTTATAATTCTAAAACACAAACTATTATAATGAGCACTAATGCACAATTATAAACTTTTTTAAATAACTAAAAAATTAAGGTTGAGAATGACTTAAATATCAATTTTATTAGTGAAATGAATATTTAATAACCAGAATTTTCAAATCATGGTTCTAGTATCCTTAATATTATTGATTCTTCAAATTGTGTTAGGTATGTACCATGTGTTATCCCTAATTTAGGATATCAATAATAATAAAAAGTAGATAAAAAGTAAATTATAATTTTAATTATAGATCTTAATTTAATATTCCTGGTTTAATAACCTAGAATAATCAATAATCGGCACTTTTAAGAAATAAAAATTGTAGTTCATTCACATTTTTTTCAAATTAATAATAAAATGAAAGTACAGAAAAATCTATTCAAAATAATAGTCCATCAGAATAGTAAGATTAAAGTACTATAAATAAATTACAAATAGAATTCACATTAAATGAATGAAAACAAATTTTTTATATTAAATTTATAAATAAGAAATAAAGAATATAAAATCAAATTAATATAATTAAAAATAATTAATTTATGTTATTTAATAGTTTAATTAAAATATAAAACTATAAGTTATATTTCTCTATCTAAATTACACTATTGTTATTATTCTAATTATAAACACAGAATATAAAAAATCAATCATCTCATGAATTATCTTCCATCTGACTATTAATTTTTATTCCATTATCCTGGTTTCTTCTTATTCATAAAAGATTAAACCTTTTATTTCCTTTTTGTTGAACTAGCAATCTTAATATCTAGATAAAATTATAATATTCAATTTACTTAAAGAAACTCTGGGAGGACATTTAAATCCAAATGATTTTGAAACTTTTACAAGATCTAAATTGTTAACATCATAAACATCTTTCAGACTATGTGATTAATAAGACTAAAAAAGAAATTATATAAATATAATACATGTAAATATGATCTATAAGCTTCGAAAGCACTTTTATTAAGAAAATAATTCTTCTCTATAAGTTTTTCAAATTAATCTTATATATTTGCTAATTTTTCTGATGGAAATTCAAATTCATTCATAACAACTTTTGCCAATTTTAAATGAGCCAAATAACCTTTTTCTTCAGGTAATAAAAATATCAAAGCTTTTCCTGAAGAATTGAGTCCTCTACAAGTTCTTCCAACTCTATGGATATATTCTTTTGTATCATCAGGAGGATCATATTAAATAATCCAATGAACTTCTGGAATATCCAAACCTCTTGCTGCTACATCAGTACATACAAGTACTCCTTTTTTTGCATTACAGAATTCATAATATGTATTTGTTCTTTTACTTTACTTTTACTTTCCATGAATATCAAGAACAGGCATATCAACAAAATTAAGTAATTCTGCATGAAATTTAACTGAATTGCATGATGACATAAAAACCATTATCTTTTTATCTGAATTTAGTTATAAGAATGTAAATAAAAGTAAAAACTTCTTATCTGCCTATACTATAACATAACCTTATTCTAAACCATTAACTGTTGCTTCTTAAGCAATATCATCAACTCCAATATATATTGGTTAATTAAGTGATAATCTAGCTAAATCATCAACTTTTTTGGTTTGAGTTGCTGAAAATAATACAGTTTATCTTTCACTTGGTAATAATTTAAGAATTTCATTCATTTCTTCTTCATAACCAATTTTTAATAATTGATCTGCTTCATCTATAATTAAACATTATAAATTATGATAAATAAATCCTTTAGTATTTTATAAATGATCTAATAATCTTCCAGGAGTAGCAATTAATATATTAACTCCTTTTTATAATCTAATAGCTTCTTCTTTTCTATTAGCACCTCCAATAAGTAATCCTAGAGTTTTTTAATGATAGAATAAGAGATCTTTAGCAACATCAAATATTTATTAGGCCAATTCTCTTGTAGGAGTGAGTACTATGATACCAGTTCCATTTTTTTATTAAAATTAATTTTTATACAAAAGCTCTAAAGCTGGTACCAAGAAAGCTAAAGTTTTACCTGAACCAGTTTTTGCAGCTCCTAAAACATCTCTACCTTTTAATAAATGTGGTATTGCTCTAGCTTGAATATGTGTCATTTTTGCAAAGTTCATCTTTTCTAATGCTTTCTTTGTAGGTTCACAAAGTATGAAATCAGTAAATTTCTTATCAGATAAAATGGCTGTATTCATATTTTTATTTTATTCAGGTTATTCTTCCAATTAATCTATATTTGAGATTCTGACTTTTTCTTCTGATTCAGATTATTCTTATAGTACTTATTGATCATCATTTTCAAGTTCAACCTTTTTAGTTTCCTTTACTAATTATTTCTTTTATATTTTCTTATTAATTGTCTAAACTTTCTTAGTACCTTAGTTTATTATCATAATTATAATATTTATGATTTTATATTGAGTTATGGTTAAATTCTTTTATTAATGATTATTGTATAATGGATATAAGATATTAATTGTTTTTGGAATAGAAAATGAGAATCTATAAACAGTATTATGATTATTAGTTTGTAATAAGATTGTTTATTTTCTTTAATATTACCAGTTATGATGAAGAAATATAATAAAAAATTTAAGAAAATTATTAAAACATTTTTTTAGTGGTTTTTTAATAATGATAAGCTCAGTTAGATCGAGAGAGAATAGAAAGCATTCTCAAGTTAGCAAATCATTAAATTTCAGTCTTCCAAAAAGAGCTTCATCATAAATAAAGTAACTCATAATTTTTAAAACACAGAATCCATCATTTACCTAGTATATCAAATAATTCAACATGTTGTAGTAATTCAAGTACATCAAGTCCTCCATAAAGTTGTTCTAAATTAGAAGATGATTGTGTTGATAGTAAATTAATAGTTTGATTAATAGTTTCTCCTGTTTCTAAAAATACATCTGATGATCCCTTGAATTATTTTAATTATGATGACTTCAATACAATACTTCCAATTACTATTAATGGAGTAAAAATCTTAAAAATTGATTGGAGTTACTTTTCAGCTCCTCCAAATAATTTATCACGTTGGAAAGCCCATTGTTTTTGGACAGTTGGATACACTTTTGATATTAATATGAAGAAAATGAAGAAATCTTCAAATATCAAATATAGACTTGTTATTTAAAGTTGGTGTTGTTTAAATAATAAATCTTGGGTGAAGAATAAATGGGATAGATTATTAGAACATGAAACTGGACATTATTTAATTGGATGTCTTTGTGCTTTAGAATTCAAATATAAGTATATTTAATATATAATAATAGAGCTGATAAATTTAAGTATACTAAAAATTATAGGATGGAATGTACTAAATTATTTTAAGACACATTTTAATTTTATCTTTAGATGGAAAGATAATATGATGAAGAAACAAATCATAGTTAGAATGTATCAAAATAAAAAGAATGGAATGAATTCATCAAATCAGAACTATTAAAATATTGATCATTTATATAAAAATCTATCTCATTAATCCAATAAATATATTATTATTTATTTTTTAAATTGAATAGTTTATTATATATATATATATATCATAAAGGCTTAAAAGTAATTTTATCTTTCCCATATCCAAATTATTATGAATACATATTATATTATTTTTTATCAGAAAACTTTTTTTTAGAAGTAGATTCTTATTATGGTTTACTATTTCTACAATAATTTTTAACAGATGCCTTTTTCATTTCAGTTCTTTGGAGTGTAGATTCTTTTAATTTTTAAAGTTTTTATTGCATTTATAATTTAACACCTTCATTTTTTACTTATTAAATTCTTCTTTATAATTCATGTTATAATTCTCTATCTTCAATTTATTTATCATCTAATTATTCTAATAATTCTTTCTCTTCTTAATCTTCTCTACGTCTTTCTTCATCTTCCAAAATCTATTATTTTAATTATTCATATTCATCAATTAAATTATTAGTATTATCATACATTAAATGTAATTTATCATCAATAGCTTCATCATCAGGATTTAATTTAAATTCCTCTTTTATTTCCAAATTTAATGCTTCATCCAGATTACCTTCTAAGATTTCCAATTTCTAAAGAATTGTTAAATTTTTTCCTTCCTTTTCAATATCCTTTACTTTAACTTAAATATGATTAATCTCTTCTTAATAATCCTAAAATTCTTGCATTAATTCATCTATGCATTTTTCATTCCTTTCAATTTCATAATTTATTGCATTCATCATTTTATTTTTTCTATCTTATTATCTCTTAATGATTCCTTTTTAATCAAAAAACTCTTCCAAATAGTCTCTAGGTTGATACTATTATAGTTATTCAATCTTTTTTGGTTCTTATTTTAATGGAATAAAATTTGCATAATCATTTTCATCCAAGTCCTCTTCTACAACAAATTCAGGTTATATTTTAACAACAGCTTTCTCTTTTTAAGCCTATTAGCCTTTATATCAAACCATGTACATACTTTTCCTTAATTCTTCCTACATTTTTTGAAATTCTAAAGACTATTTATGTGGTGGTTTGAGAAGTTTGGGAATTTTGTACATTAATGCAAATTATATTTCAAAAAATTATTATAATAGTTCAAAAGATAAATTAAATTATTTAAAAAGATCTCTTAGAATAAGGGTCCAAAATGAATTACCTTATTTTATATTCAGAGTATTAGAATTGGGATAAATATGAGAAAGATTGATAAAATAAAAAAGAATTAGATCTAAAAATAAATCTAATAAAAGACTATAATTAATTTATATATGATTTAACTCTTACTATTTCTTGACATACTAAGTTTTAAACAATATCTACAAACAAAGGACAATGGAAAATTCTTCATTTTTATCATTCATTTGAGTAATTTAATTACAAAAACTGATCTAAAAATAATAGAAATAAACATCGATTCAACTATCAAATGACTTGAAAAGTATATGAATTAATTTAGGAAAATTGGAATGATAAAATTAACCTTAATTATACTTTGAATTTGATGGGAAAATTGATTTGAATAATATAGATAGATCTAGTAATTTCACATAAAAAAGGACAGATCTAATTGAAAATAGTTTGGAGATATAGTTGAAACATAATATTCTTGTTTTGTAATTAGAAATTAATTGAATAATAGAATTACTTAGAATCAGAAAGACAGAGTTAATGAGAGTAAAATTATCCAAAAAATAGTTTATTTGGCATCTAAATAAATTTTAGAATTAATTAAAATTCATTAGATCATATTATAATACGCATTATTTGACTTATTTAAGATTTATGATAATTTTATGTTATATATTGACTAATTAGTGAATTAGGAAGAAGAACCTGTATGAAGGAGTTGATATGTTGTGAAAATAGAAAGTAATAAGTAGTTTAAATTGATTTCAGTATATGTTATTATATTAATAATATGAAAATGGAATTTGGATAGGATATCAGAGATGTTCAAAAGATATCATAAATTTGATGATTAAAATTAGTATAGTTTAATTTTAATATATTTGAATCACTTAAAGTCTATTGATGATTAAATTCTTCTCATTAAATAAATTATTTATTATTCATAGAATCCACAATGAATTTTGAAGAATAAATGAATCTAATCAATGGAAATCCTTTATTGTAAACTTTCTTTTTGAACAATCTCCTATATAATCCATAAATATTTTAATACAGTACAATTAATCAATAGTCTATTAGTGATTTCTTAGATGTAATATATTCCTAGGGTCGATTTAAGAGAAGAAAACACTAAAACTTATGATGACTAAAATAGTGATAGAAAAATACAAAAGTAGGAGAAGCTCACATAAAATTCAAAATAACTACTTGTAGGAATAGACACAGAGTAACCTCATAAAGGGAATAGTCACTCTGAAGAAGAAGAAAGTTCATCAAGAGTAAATGGTATAAATTTATATGATAATTTCATAGGTCATTGGAGTAAACAAGAGCATCAATTGTATCTTTAGTTTGTCAATGATCATGAAGATATATTGAGATCTAAATATGATAAGAAATCAAAAAAAATCTTTAAATTGATGAGCCAATGTATACTTACAAGAACAGCCACTTAATGTAGATCACATCATTAAAAGTTCAATCCTCTTTAAAAAAGCAAGAGAAAAGGAAAAGGCTTTGTACGACCAATCCCATCTGTTATTATATAAGAAAATTGATTTATAGCTGTTAACTATCATTTAAGAATTATTTCATGTTTTTTAAATAACTTAATTCCTAATCAGGAGTCTTAAAATATTAAGAAATTATAATAGAGGTGAGACATAAAAATATGAAAAAACAAAGAAATTAGGATTTTTATTGGTATAATGTAGCTACTTTCATTCGACCTTCTGTTAATTCATGTACTTAATTTATATTTAAAAAATCACTATTTATTAAATTAACTGAATATAATATATTTTATATATTTATTAAATGAAAACAACGAATAAATTACCCCCCAGAAATACGGCTATCCAATTAAATTATGGGAATCAAAATATATTGATATTTTAGAATCAAAAACCATTAGAATTAAGAAGATACACAACAGATGCAGAAGAAATGAGAAGACATTAAAAGAGTTATGGTTCATAAAAAAGAAATGAATCAAAGTAATATTTTTGAATAGAGTTTAGTGAAATCCAAAAATAACCAAAAGGTAAGTATTAATATAATACAAATGATAAATAATTTACAGAAAATGGAAGACAATAACATGTTTCAAGTTTATCAGATAGTCAATCATAACAACCTCCTTTAGTAATGATAAAATGTTAAGCCAAACCATAATTTGAAAATTTTAAGAATCATGCAAATGCAAAAAATCATAATTTTATCACTTAATAATAAAGAAATGAAAAACCTCATTCATTTAAATAAATAACATAAGTGAATAATAAAAATTTATCAAATTGTAATAAGATTATTAAATTTTAAGTGTATTATATTGGAGATTTGTAAAATGCCATTTTAAATTAAAATGCTAGAAATTCTGAAATGTTTAGAGAACATATTGTTGTTTCATTTACTTATATTCCATTAATACAAAAATCAGTAATTGATAATAAGTAAATATAAGATAAAAAGTTAAATATTCCTTTTGCATAAAATAAAAAATGTAATTATACACTTGATTATTTAAAAATAGATAATAAAACTATTATTTTTGATATGGATGAAACTTTAATGCATTGCAATGAAGATGAAAATGATAAATGTTAATTTAAAATTCCAATTGAATTTGAAGATGGAGAAAGAATAGTAGCAGGTATCAACATTAGAAACTTTGCAAAAGAGATAATCTAAAAACTTAGTGAAGTTTGTGAAGTCATGGTTTTTACTGCCTCATAAGATATTTATGCTAACCAAGTAAAAATGAACTTTTGTTATTTAAGGTTATAAATATTCTAGATCCATATAATAATTTATGTTATAGAATCTTTAGAGATAATTGTATAACCATAGATGATAATCATTTAATCAAACATCTTGGAGTTTTGAATAGAGATTTGAAGAATGTAGTCATAATTGACAATTCTTCTTGCAGCTTTGCGTAAGTTTTAAATTTCAACAATAAGTTAGACATCATTTAGAAAATGGGATTCCGATTATTTCATTTTACAATGATGAAAAAGACAATTAATTAATTAAGTTGTATCGATATTTGTGTTAATACATATTACCAGCTGATGATGTAAGACCAATAATTTTATCACATTTCAAATAAGACAAACTTAATTAATATGAGACTGTAGAGGAAGCAGTAAAATAATTGTATTTTTGAGATATTTGAGTCTTATTTGTTTCTGTAATTTTTGTTAAAACATATTTTAAATGTGAAAGTACTTTAATTTAATACAATATTAATGTTACTTGAAAGTGATCAACAATAAGAGAGTTCAAATATCAATAATCAATAACTATATAAATCTGTATATGTACTATCTCTTATAGATATGATTTCAGTCTATAAGGAATCGACGAAAAATTTATGATGATAATGATTTTAAGGAAGTTGTCAAAAACTTTTATAATTTAGTATCAGAGTTGAATAAAAGTAATAATTCATAACAATCTATTATAAGTAAAGAAAATTTCTAAGCCTAACATAAGAAAATAGCCTAAATAAACTAAATAGAGAAATGCATTACCAACAAAATAATTATCTAAAGAACCTTAAAATATGAAAAGAGATATCAATAATAAACCTGGATTATTTTAAACTTAACAATACTTTAATTGTTGTTTCAGTTAATAAATTGTAAGTCAATTAATACCTAATTTCAATCAAACAAAACATGCTCCTGATTTCTATGATAAAAATAAACAACACTTCCATTTCTCACGTAATCAAACTCACATATAAATTGCATATAACATCTATATTAAGAAATTTGGTTCATCCCTTGTTGAAAATTAGGATCCAACTTCTGTTGCTAAAAAAGTCATGAATAATAACTTTAATCCTATAGTAATTTTCCTTATAAGAACTAGTCTCAAATACAAGAAGAGGATAAGCAAGGTGATGCATCTGACTTAAAAAAATAAATTACTGAAGATAACAAATAGAAACCATTGAAAGACTTAGTTCGAGAATTTTAGAGTGATTAATGATTTCAAAAAATTATAGGAAGTAAGTATATAAAATAAATCCATCAAATATCAAAAATTTATTAACCAAAAATCTCATTAATTTTTAAGTAATCTTAATTTCATCTCCATACTTGTAGATTAGATTTCCTTATATGGTTTTTAATTTATTACTGCATTTCTTGTATTTTATTATTCTAATATTTTATTTCTTACCACATCATAATTCACACTCTTTCTTTCAGCAGAATTATCTTATAATTTATATGATTAATTAGATTGCTAAACTTTTGAAATTACATATCTTTTTTAATATTTTTCTTAAGAAACATTATCATTTGTGTATTAAATTTACTATTATTTTTGTATTGGGGATACACTCAATTTTTACATTTAATTTCGTTTATCTCTTATTGAATTCTCATTATTCATGGATATAGTTTTAGATATTTTCTATTTTTCATAAACAATTCCAATAATTGAATCAAGAGGATCAACAAAATCATTAATTGATCTTCTTATATCTGAATAATTCAATTAAAAGAATTATAAATATGGTAACTATTCCTTAGCCATCTAATAAGTGTAATACCAACATAATGAGTTTTATTAAAATTATGCATTTTGTAATTTGAATATAGTATCATATGAAACATATTTTGATATCTTTTCTGGTATACCATTTAATGTAATTTTTGAATTTATTGGTATTAAATCAGATAATTTTAAAAAACTTTCACAATTGTCTTCATTTTATAAAATGCAACATAAAAATAAACATGAAATCTTTCTAAGAGTGATATTCTTTTTATCATTCAAATTTTTCTAAATTTTATTTAAATCTTCATTATTAAAAGATTCAAACATTTTTCTTTTAAAACTTGGATTAGAATTCATATATTCCATTAATCTCAACATAGATTCAATAAGAGATTCAATATCCGAATCAGAATTTTTTTTTAAATTTATCATAATAAATTAAATTATTCATTTTTCATTGTAAATAGAAATGCATATGTTTAGGTAATCTTTGAATATGTTTTTCAACTCTTTATCTATTTTTAGAATCTACCTTCTTGTTTATTTAATCAATAATTTTCATTTTTAGTTAATCAAATAACTATCTATTTTTTTCAAGCACTCTCAAAAAATTTATAAGTTCAATTGGATCACAATCATCTATGATTTTTTTGATTATCTTTACAGATAATGTAATATCTTAATTAGCATCCTTTTTAGAGGCTAAATATATTATATTTGCTAAGCCTTAAGCACTTGACATATCATTACTAACTGCTTAAAGACTTAATTCCACTAATTTTCCAAGATTGGATAAATATTTATCTATTTATAATAATATAGCTGCTAATTCCTTAACATTGAAAGCAATGTCATAATATTGATAATCAATTATGGAAGTAGATATAGTTTTTTAGAATTATTAATAGGTTGCTAATTTCATAACTCCTGGAATATCAATTAACCTATTTTTTAAGTATTCCTCAATTAATGAATCTAATTCTAGGAGATTATCATTGTTTATTGAAATTAAATTAACAATGTTTTATGGATGAATTATTTATTTATTCTATGTAATAAATTCACATAAGTTTATTTGATAATTTCTAAATAGATTGACACAAAATTCTCCCATTTATTTAGGAGTCATCATTAGAAGTATTTTAAATAAATATCCTTATTTAAATTCCTAATAAATACGTGTGGCTTCAATTGATTTAAAATAAGTTCCACATAGATAAAATAATGATAGATTTTCTTCATTAATAGTTAATTTTCTTAATACAAAGAAGAGTCTCTATGCTAATTGATCATCTTTTGATTAAGAGACTCCAATCAACAATTACATTAAATCCTTTAATTCTACTTTATCATTTATAATAATAAGATTGGCTATCTTTTTTAATAGTTCTTGTTTGTTTCTAAGAAGGCTTAAATTTTGATAGAGAGTAATAAGGGATAATTAATTCGATTGATCAGAAGTTAAATCCATCTTTTCGACTGAATTGGCAACTTAATTCAAATAATTAGTTCCAATATCTGCATAAATTCGACTTAATAATGCTAAATTCTTTAGGTTGTAATCTTGCAAACCAAATTTAGAAAGTTGAATATAATTTTGAACCCAAATGCATTAAAGCAATTATTTTAATAGCTTTTTGTTATGTAAGAAATGTAAGACAGTGGTTGATTCTTTGTAATCTAATTAATGTGATTTGATGATTTTATTAAGTACTGAATGTGGAAGTGTATCAATAGCACTATTAGGCATAGTTTGGAGGATCTCTAGATTACATTGAGAATTCAATTAAAGACATTTAAGCAAAAAGGGTTTTGAGGGAAACCTTTTTTAAACAACATCATTTAAGTAATTTTAGTAAGAATCAAGTGGATCTTATGTGATATGTTGGGCATATTTGACAAATTAAACTAATTAGTAGGAATCCTATTTGAACATACTAATAATTTGATTCTGATTTTCAGTAAGAGATTAGTGTATTAATGTTTTGTCGAATTGTTATTGATTTTAAAGAAGGTGTTTCAAATAGGAGATAGCTGAAATACAATCAGTGAAAGGGATGGTATTCAAAGATATGGTGAATTTAGCAGCTAATTTCATATTAAAATATATTGTTGCGAAAAAGAATATAATAAACTCAATATCTAATCAATATTAATCAGAGATTTCAGTGTTTTCTAAAATTGCTGAATTAAACTTTATTATCAAAACTAACTTTTTTGTTTGATTTAATAAACCCTATGGATTGTTGATCATTTGATAAATGTTCAGAACTATGATTGCCATTTTTTTTTTAAGTTTAATGATGGATTTAGGTATTAATAAATCAAAACTAGAGTTATTTGGTTCAAATGATACATTCTATATATCATTTTTAACTAAACTTTCATTACATTATGGTTATGTATAATTCTTTTTAATCCAAGGATGTTATATAGTATTGTCTATTTCTTCTGATTATTATGCTGTATATGAAATTTTTAATTCATCCATTTCAATCTTCTATAATTATGGTAATTATGGAGAGTCTTCTCTCTCTATTGTGTAATCATCTAATACGATTTTTGAGACTTTTTCGAGTTTGACCATACAAAGAGGTCTTTTTATTAAAACTCAAACTTGTACTTCTTAAATTGTATTAGAATGTTGTTTTGGACAGATGCTAATTCCCATTAGTTCTATTATAATTTGAATATTAATTATATAATACAAATTAGCAGAAATGAATTGTATTGATTAGTAATATTTTCAATAGAATACAAATTAGTTGGTAAAAAAGGAGAAGGAACATTTTCAGAAGTGATAAAATCATAATCATTTAAAACAGGAAATTATGTTGCAATTAAATGCATGAAAAATAAATTTACATCTATTGAATAAGTAAGACATAATGAATATATGTAGGTTAATCATTTAAGAGAGATACAGGCATTAAGAAAGCTAAGTCCTCATGATCACATTATTAAGTTGATTGAAGTTCTTTAGTATGAAAATCATATAAAAAAAATTTAGTGATGAACCAACAGGACGATTGGCATTAGTTTTTGAATTGATGGAATAGAATTTGTATGAACATATTAAAGGTATTATTATCAATATTTTAAATAGGCAGGAGATAACCTTTGAATCCTTAAAAAGTTAAATCTTATATGTACTAACTGCTAAAATCTATTGAACATATGCACAGAAATGGCATCTTTCATAGAGACATTAAACCGTAATCAATATTCAAATTATTAGTGAAAACATTCTACTAAACACAGATCATCTCAAACTTGCTGATTTTGGTTCTTGTAAAGGAATCTACTCCAAACATCCTTATACTGAGTATTACTATCAAATTTATATCTTATTTTAGATATATTTCTACTAGATGGTATAGAGCACCAGAATGCTTATTAACAGATGGTTATTATGATCATAAAATGGATCTCTGGGGAGTAGGATGTGTCATGTTTGAAATTGTAGCATTATTTCCACTCTTTCCAGGAACCAATGAATTAGATTAAGTCAACAAAATACATAACATTCTAGGAACTCCCAATTAAAAAGTTTTTGATAGATTTAGAAAGTTATATTTAAATAATATTTTAGATAAGCTACTCATATGGAAATTAATTTTCCACCAAAACATGGGAGTGGTATTGATAGATTACTTCAAGGTTAAAGCAAAGAATGCATTGATTTAATTAAATTATTGCTTACTTATGATCCTGAAGAAAGAATTAATGCTTAATAAGCTTTAAAACATGAATATTTTAGAGAATTATATGAAGCTGATACTTAAAAAAGTTTTTAACATACTTTATAATAAATTAGAATATCTAATCATAGAGAATAGTATGAATTAAATTTAAATAATTTAGAAATGATAATTCTTTAGAAAAAAGCCAAAGAATAGAAGAAAGTAAATAATAACATTAGTTGAATTTCAAGAAAACTCAAAATTACTATGCAAAATCTTAAAAAAAATCAGGAGTATATATAATATTGTTATTGTTAAAAGTTACCATCTTTGTAATTTGATTTGAGAGTAGAAAGCATTTATAAAAATACTTAACATCATGATAGTGATGATGATCTTGAGAAATAATCATCAAATAAATAAATGATGCTACCTTAAATTCCAAAATCTAAAAAATATGATCCTAAAAAAATATATGGCAAATAATAATATGTGTCATCATCAAATTAACCATATTAGTTTAATTAAAAAGGTAAGAAAATATTAATATTCAAATAGGTAAAAAAGTTGCACATGGTTTGTAAGGTGAATATATAGTTTTTGGAAAGAAAGCAATGAATTAATGATATATTTTAAGTTTTTTTAGTTGACTGATCAAAATATTTAGTAATTTTGAATTTCAATTAGAAATATTTATAAATTTGTATTATCATGAAAAAACCTTTAAATTATCTAATATGTTAGATGGATTATTTCCCTTTTACAAGATGTGTTAAAAATTATGTTGTGAATTTCAATTATAAAAACCTATATTATATTATTTTCTATGAACACAAATTATAGAATTAATCATTAATTTTTTTACTCATCATCCACTTCATAAATTGCTTAATGTTAATGATAATTTTTATAAGTAAGCTTTCTTTTTAATGTTTAACTCTATACAAGTTTAGGACTATTGTTTATTATTAATGTTGGATGTTATCTTGCAGAATCAGGTGAACAAGTATCAGGTGATTATTGATCGAATTCTTATGTAGAAAACTTTTTAAATGCACTCTTCTTAGGATTTTCTGTAGGTGAACCATCAGCTAATGCTAAATTTTTACGTTTAGCATGTTATGCTAATCTTGGACTATTCATAACAGGAACTTTAATTTTTATTTTTTCATCTTCTACTTCATCTTCATCTCTTTATCTTGATTTCTATTTGATTTCTGGTAATTATAATTTATCTGATTTTTCCATACGAAATGTTGAAGTTTGCCATAATTTCTCTTATCCTTAGACTCTTTTCTATGTTTAGAATTTTAATTTTCTATCAGTAAAACCCCCAGAAAAAAATGGATGTTCTAAGGCCTATTATGCAGTGATTCTATAACGAGGATCTATTTATAACATTAATTAAATAAGTTCTATGGCTGCTTAAGGTGTTCTGTAAATGCTTAAATTATCTAAATTGATAATGCATTTCTTATTTAATTTTAAGATTTCATGATAATCATTTCCTGGAAATAAATCCTTTTAAGTGATTCTAATTAAGTTTAATTATAAAATATGTACAATTTATAGAAAATGCATCCAACACTAAAAATATCACAAATCTTATCATATTTAAAACTTAAATCTTTAAGATTTGCTATTTCAGGAGCAACATATCCAGGTGTTCCACATTTAGGAAATGAATAATTTGAAACTTATGTTGATGTTGCTAAACCAAAATCTACAATTCTCAATCCTGTTATTTGATTAATTTCTTTAAACATGATATTTTCAGGTTTTAAATCTCTGTGCATTATGTCCAATTAATGCATTCTTGCAACTCCTGTTAATATTTACTAAAATAATAGAGATATAAATATATACCCATAATATTGATTTGATTTAATCCCAATTTAATTATGTTATTTATCCTTTACTTATGAGATCATGTAATGAATTACCTTTCAGATGTTCTAGAATCAAATAAAATGTATTTTCTCCTTCATAGACTTCCTCTAATTTTACAACAGACTCATGATCTAAGATGGCCATTAAATTTATCTCATTAAATAAGGCTTGCTAACAATGAATTTTAATTTTTTTACAAATCCTCCATCTTCTTTTAAATATCTCTTTTCAACACATTTTGATGCAAAATCTTACTTATTATCTTTGTCCACTACTAAATACACCTTTGATAATTATAATGCTTACTTTAGAAGATCCACCCTTCCCTAACAATTTCAAGGGTTAATAAAAATCACTCACATCCTTGAACATGACTTTATTTTTGAGATGAGATTTCAATTTTCTAAGTTCCTCATCTTTAGCAAAAAAATATTTGACTGACCCTTTGTACTCAAACCCAAATTAAGTAAGTTATCTGTCCTTTTCAATACACCAAAAAATCTTGGTTTCAAAATTCAATTCCAATTAGTATTTAGGCTATTAAGACTCAAGTTCCTTAACAAATAAGATGTATATGTACATTAGTAAAAATCATAGTGTCATCAATTATATAAAGAAAGTAGGTAATATCATTATGTATATGCTTTCTCTGACAAATAGTGGTGAAAGTAGCTAGATCATAATTGATTTGTATTTTGTTTTGCATCCAAATTATAAATATTAAATAAAAATATTTTAAAAAATACCCTGTTTAATGTAATAATCATAAATAATTAATCAGAATTCCTTAATTATATATTTTAATAGTTAGTTATGTAAAAAGAAAAAATAACAGTTAAGAGAAAATTTAATATGTTGATAGATATTATTAAATTAAAATTATTAGATATTTCAGAATTCATCATCAGATAATATATCATAAGTATGAAAATACTATTTTGATATTTGAGTTTGCATGATTCCTATTTTAACATCCATATCTCTTATGTCATTCTATCATAATTAATAATATAAATACTCTCAATTAATTAATTAATTATTTTTATTTAGATCTATTATCAACCAAAATAGGTGTTCTTTCTTTTATATCCAATAATTATTAATTTAATTATTAATCGATCTCTATATTCTCAATATTTTTTTTGCTTAATTGAGAAATTTGAAATTGCAAATCAGATATCATATTTCTATTTTCTTTTAATGTAATTTAGATATCTTCAGGAATTTACTCAGTAACTTTAGTTTCTAATTTTGGTAATAATTCCAAATAATCAATCCATTATTATTAAATTTATTATACTTCATTTGATTTTAAGTGTTCAGAGAGCAAAGACAATTACTAAAATACTAAATGGAATTACTTTAGAACATTTAGAAATGGTAATTATTGTTCTTTCATAATCTTTTAAATAATGTTTATTAACTTTAAGATTAGCCTCAAATTTAGAAAATTCTTTCTCAACTCTATTAAATTCTTTAGTCCATTCATTTATTGCTACTTTAGTTTCAATTACTTGTCTATCTTAAGGAACTTGATTATAATCTGTTTATTCATTATTATATTTCTTATGATAAAATAGAATACTCTATGTTAACTCATCTTATTCAACTTCTTCATTTTCATTTTCTTCCTCTTAAATTTCTACAAGATCTTCATTATCTATTTTATTAACTTAAATTACAGAACTTTCCATATCTTTACCAAAATTTGGTGATTCAAATTTAAAATTAATTCTAATCAATTCTCTATTTAATAAATCATTTAAAATAAAACAAACCATATCTCCACATCCTTATGAAATATGAGGAGATCCCAATTATTCAGGTAATTTTATACCCCATGCTTTAATATCAATAAGTAATTTTCTTGCAGTTTCTTCTACATTATTATAATTAAGTTTAATTGGTTATGCCATTTTACTTTTTTTTTACTTAGGCAAACTCATTAACCAATAACATAATTCAACAAAGTAATAAAATCTCTGATTTTAATTAACATTTTCATCTAAAGAGAAATAATATTTTGAAACAGGTTTCTTTTTTAATGGAATACAGAAATATTCATGATATTATACCAATGACAATTTCTCATAGATATCCTTAATTAATTGCATAATTAATTACTTCCATCATTAAAACATTAATTATTTATGGAGTCTTCTTAGTATCAAGAAATGTATCATGAATCTCTTTAGCTTTCTATAGAACTGTACTTGCATCTAGTCTTTTTTGTGGATCTACTACAATCATACCTTCTATGACATCTCTCAATTATTGGCTATATCGATTTGAAACTGGTTTAAATTCCCCTTTTGTAATATTATTAAATAAATCCATAAGAGACATCTTCTCGCTTTATTTAAAAGGACTCTTGAATTCAGCCATCTCATATGCAATGCATCCCAATGACCAGATATCTGATTTCATATCATACCCTTCACCATGAAGGAGCTCTTCCTTTTTAATGATAATTTACCTCAGGTGACATATATAATGGTGTTCCAACTTTAGAGTAAGCCTCTATAGTCTCTGATGAAAATATACGACCCAAACCCAAATCTCCAACTTTTAATGTACCATCTCCTCCTATAAATATATTTGCTGGTTTCAAATCTCTATGCATTATTCTCTTTTCATGCATATGGTCTAATGCACTTGCTATTTACATTATATAATTCCATAATTGCACTTCTTCAAATGGAGTATCATCTGATTAAGCATTTTTAATTAGTTTTTTCAAATCTCCTTTCTCTGCCCACTCTGTAGCTATAATCAATTCATTATTATAAATGAATGAATCCAAGTATTTTATAATGTTAGGATGATCTAAAGGTTACATTAGTTTCACCTCTTTTAAACATTTCTCTCTTTGTTTTGGATCCATCATATCAAATATCTAACATAAATCCACAAATTACTTTAATCTTCTTCAATGCAACTACATTTCCTTCCTTATTCATAGCCTTATACACTGTTGAGAATTTACCCTCCCCTATAGCTTTTTAGACCTTATATCCATTTATTTCTTGATCAATAAATTGAGACATTATTAAATTATGTTAAATACTAAACTAACTAAATTCATAGATTCAAAAGCAGATCAAGTCAATTCATAACTTAAATCTGCTCAAAACACCCTACAAAATCAAACATCACAATTAACTAATTAAATTACAGATGCAAATCAAACAATGAAAGTTGCTGCTCCTTTACTAAAAGCCATGGGTAATGATTAAATCCTATTATTTTAAGGTCATTCAGAAGTTGCTCAAATTTCCAAAGGATTAGATTTGGCTTAGAAGAATCTAGTACCTATTATAGATTAAACCAATAAAACTATACAAAAGGGCACTGATATCGTTAATTCTTAAATTTAAAAAGCATCTAACTTAGCAAATTAGTAAATTCAGAAAGTTAATGTAAAATATATTATAAATAATAAAGGAATAAGTTGGACCATAATTAGAATAGGGTTAATAGATTATTAAGTAATAATATGAAAAGGGTATGGAAGCGATTAAAGAAAATTAAAATTTTTAATCTATTGCTGTAAAAGCTGCAGTAGTAGGGATGGCAATAAATTAAATGATGGAAACTCCAACAGATGATGGATCAGGCATATTAAATTAAAAAAAAGAAAATACATAATAATAATAATAATAATAATAATAATAATAATAATAATAATAATAATAATAATCAATTATTACTAATTAAGGTAATACAGATATTCATAAATAATAGTTAAAATAAGAATTAAATTTCTTTCAAAATAAAATTAAATAATATATTAAAAAAATCACAGGAAAATAAGTCAATTCTAGAATTGAATATTTATGTCTTATCTAATAAAAACTTAAAGATAATATAGATGCTAATTATTAATAATAATCTAAATAATCACTAAAAAATGAAATGTGGAAAGCAGCTTATTAAGAGAGAAGAATTTAAAGTCATTAAATTTTTATTTAATATATGACTAAAATGGTTGAATTTATATTTGAATACTTAACAATTGTTGAAACTGTATTTTAACAAATAAAAATGAGATATAAATCTTCAAATAATTCATTTGAAATGATCCTCAATTATTGCAATAATTTATCAATACAATTAGATTATTTCACAACATATAGTTATGTTTAACCAAATTAAAATTTTTTAAGCAGACTATTCACTAATTAAACTAAATTATAAATAAAAAATAGTTAAAAAATGAAAAAATCAACTAAATCAAGTAATTTAAATGAGAATGCAGAAACTTAAAATTAACAATTAGATTAAAAGGAAGATAAATAAGAAGTATAATTCTATCATTAAGAATTATGCTAAAAATTTAATAATCTTGAAAGTGAATATTAATAGCATATATAAAATATACAAATATTAAAGAACAATTTGAAAGGAGAAATTAAAGATAAATTAATTATTTGTTAATAAATGAATTAATAAAAGATATCTGATTATTTGATGTAAGTTTAAGGATAAAGAAATATCACTTTTGAAGCAGTTGAACAATTTTATAAGAGTTTCATTTAATATGAATAAATTTATTCTTAAAATGTAGAAGCAGCATTTGAAGGAGGACAATAGATAAAAGATATATATAATGAGGAATATAGAATGTATTGTAAATAATTTATTAAATTTAGATTACTTTAAAACTCTCATAAAACAATAATAATAATTTGGTTTATTTACAACATATATTCTTAAAGAAATATCATAATTTGAATATACTAGAATAGAATTTCTATAGAAAGTATTTACACAATTAACTTCAGAATTGGGAAAATATTTTCAATTTCCAAATTAAAAAACAATAGACTTCTCAAATCCATTAATATTATAATAAGCAAAATCAGCATTTGATATAAATTAATTATTAACTTCTGAATAACTTGTAATAATTAAGAAATACTCAGGCATACCTTTATAAAATGATATTACAACAGATATATATTCAGCATTCGCTTCAAATTTTACAAGTATATAATATTAATAAAATTCTAGTACCTTCTCCTGAATCTCTATTGTAATCGTCTCCTTTGATTCTAAAAAAGTATGAAATCAAAAGGGATGTTGCTTGGGAAAGATCATTAAGTTTTGGAAAAGACTTTGTACCAACAAATTTCATAATAACTGTTGATGGGTTTTTGTTATTTTATGACACAGATTGGAAAGAACAGAATAATGAGGAACCTATTTAATGTCATAATTTTATGGTTATAAATGAAGTATTGAATATGAATTAATTAAATAGTTAGCAATAAAGGAGAGATAAAGTAATGAAACTATTGTAGAATTGATAGTGAAGAAACAAGGAAAATTATTTGATACACATAAGAAATAAATATTAATGATGAATGATGTTATGGAGAAAGAATCTTTAAAATTATTACTAAATTAATTTAAATGATTTATTATAATAAATAATTGATACTTAAAATAAATATGACATAAATAGACTATCATTATCTTGATAAAATATATTAAGCATTTGTTGGTTAATTAACATATTAATTATATTAAACATGTTAAGATTATTCTAAATTAGAATTTTGATTATAATAATAATTATTATAACCAGATAAATTATCTTGACTAAAGGCCATTTAAGAAGCATTGTATTTTCTTTCAAATTATTGAAGTAAATCTTATTATTGATTTTGAGAAGGTTATTCATTGGGACTTTAATAATGTTTAGATTTCATTTAAATTGGAGTTGAAGCTTTAATGCTTTGATCAATAGAGTTCTAATAAAATTATTATTATTATTAAGGTTATTATATTTATACAGGTTTAAAACTCATAAGTAATGCTTTATTTTAAGTAGGTTAAACTTTAGGAGGTCCATATATTTCTTAATTTTATATAGTTTCATTTTATTATTATTTTTTAGATATAAATTCTTATTAAATATTATAATCTTTTTAAGTAGAAGTTAATTTAATTTTATGTTCTTCTGGTTTGAAAATGAAATCTTCACCATCATTGATTTAATCCTTACCCAATAATTAATCTAATTGTTAATCATGATTAAGAACATATTCTTAAAATCCATCTCTTGGTGGTTATATTTCTTTGATCAATTCTTTACTTGGAAAGATAGCATCACTGAATTCATCCTTTTATAATATCATATCTTCATTTCTATTGAATCTCTTTAAAAACATATTGTATTCTTATTAAGTTAATGATTGAATTTCAAATTTATTTAATAATTAATCCAAACATCTTTTATCAATAACAGGTAAATTACCTGCAACATACTTAAAAACTGTTGTGAATTTCCATTCTACTAATTAAGCTAAATTCATTTTATCTATTTCAATAGTTCTTAAATAATCAATTTCTTTATAAATCAATTTAGCTACAAACTCTTCTAAATAAAAGGACAGTTTGTCTATTAGTTATTAATTATTCATATATACATTTTCCTGTTTCTGAATATAATTTTCTAACAATGCATTACATAGCTGCATCTCTATCATATTTTGGAACAATAAATTCAAGAAATAATTAATATCTTAATTTATCATCTCCTTTACTCCATGTAAAGATCCAGAAATCACAAAACTTTTAATGTACACTAAATCCATTCTTACACATGAATCTAAAAATATCTTAAGAAGTAATATATCCTTTCATATTTGAATCTATAGCTCTGAATGCATCACTAATATCAAATCTAATATTTTCTGCTAATGTGATTTTTAATTCTTCAACCTAAATATAAATAACATTTAATACTTCTCTTTCTGTTATTAAAATAGTTCGTATAATTGTTATGAGTTTTTCACCTATTTTTCTTTAATGTTCATTTTCTGTGACTGTTGGGCTTAACATTTATTTTAAAATGAATTAATAAATAAAAATAAATTAATCTAATTATATCTAAAATTCATATTAATCAATTAAATTAATTTTCATAAATAATATAAAAATAATAATCAATTATAAGTATCTTTTTAATTTTTAGAATCAATATGATTAATCAATTCTACTTGATGTTAAAATTTCAATTCTAAATCTTCTATTTTTTAAATATAAATTTTTGGATCTTCATCTTAATGAGATTCTAACCATTTTTCCTATTTATTAATTTCATCCATAATTATTCTTTTATAATGATAGATTAATGATTCAAATTTATTTTTTGCTTCATTTTTTTATTTTACAATATCTTCACTACTCCTTTATTATTTAGATTCTTCAATTAATCTCTAAATTTCTTCATCTAATAGAGTATATTATTCAAATTATACTACAATATTATTATTTTATTTAGAATCTGTATCCTATGTAGATATAATCAATTAATTATTTGCATCAATCAAAAAAGTGATTATAATTTCACCTTATTAATCTTTATTATTTATATCTATATCAAAATATCCTATTTTTTTATAATTTTCTTTTTGATTAGATATTTCTCCTTCATATAATAAGATTTTTAATTAATTATTTATATTCTCTTTTGATAATTTAATTGTTTATGATTCTTTACATGGAATATGAATATTTTTTTTAATCATATAATACTAATAATAACCATTTATTCCTATTCCCAAACCATAAGGTATTGTATCAAGAAGTAACCACTACTTACATTACTAAGATTATGCCTTAAGAAGTGCACCCATAAATGCAGCCCCATAAACACTAGCTTCATCTTTATCTATTGAATGATAAAGCTATTTTCCATTAAAATATTCTTGTAATAATTCCTAAATTTTTGGAATTCTAGATGATCCCCCAACTAGAATAACTTAATTTAGAGAAGCTTTAGTTAAACAGGCCTCCTTAAGAACTTATTCTACATGATTTATACACTGTTAAAATAAATGTAAACATAACATTTCAAATGTTTATCTAGTTATTTGAATAATAAGATCATGTTCTTAAGTGATGAATTCTACCTCAATAGTAGTTTGATTAATAGTTGATAAAGTTTCTTTAGCTTTTTAGCATTAAATCTTTAATCTTCTCATTGCTCTTGCATTATATCTTAAATCAATTCCATATTATTCTTAAAACTTATTACAACAATAATTGACTAAGAGATTATCAAATTCTTCACCTCCTAAATTTCTATCTCCTGATGTAGATTTTATATCTATTATTGAAAACTCAATATCACTCACACTTACTGTTATGGATCCTCCTCCAAGATTTAAAATTAAAACAGTTCTAAGATTTTCATTCAATAGACTCATACCATAAGTAAAGTGTGCTGCAGTTGATCCAATTATAATCCTTAAGATTTTTAAACCTGAGATTAATCCAGCATCTTCAATAGCACGTTTAGAACAGAAATTTAAATTGCAAGATGTTGTTATGACTGCTTAATTTATTTTAATTCCTAAATGATTTTCTGCTATTGTCTTCATTTTACTTAGTATCATTGAACATACTTCTTCTGGATGCAATCTCAATGTTTCTTATTTAAATTAAACAACAATCATAGGTCTATCATAAAGACCAGCTTCAACTTTGTAAGGTAATTTTTAAATTTCTTCTTAGACAATCTTATCACTAAATTTTCTTCCAATTAATCTAATTACATTAAATATAGTATTTGTAGGATTTTTAGTTTATTAATTTAATGCTTCTTCACCTATAAGTCTTTCATTATCTGTAAAAGCTACATATGAAGGAGTAAACTTATTCCCATATTCATTGGCTATAAGTTAAAATTAATCATTTATAATTACTCCAACTCTGGAGTATGTCATTCCAAAATCAATCCCTATTGCTATTTCTTATTAATATTTCATTTAGAATATTTATAATTCAGTATTAATTATAAAAGCCTTTGATATTAATTAAAATTGATTTATTAGTGAAAAATCATTTTTTATCAAATATTTAATTAAATTGATAAAATATGCTAGTATTTATTATTATTTGATTTTTTATTATAAGATTGAAAATCAAAGATGTATTTAAAATGCAATTTTGAATTCCACATCAATTTAAATCACATTTCAATTATACAAATTCATTATTAATTAAAAATTATAGCAAATGGGTATTTAATGTTTTAAATGCTAAAATGAAGAATAATAAATAATAACTTAGACTCAAGTTTAAAATTATATATAACAGAAAAATGTATAATATTAACAAAAACAGGATAAAAAACGATAATATAATAGTCTATACTAAAATTCATATTTTGGCCCATCAAAATAATAGTATGAAAGCTAATGGAATCCCAGTATATGTGTAACTGCAAAGAATGAGTCCAATATAGAAGCATTTGAAGAATCTTAAATATAGACTAATCAAAATATAAGGGAAACTCAACAAGAACAATAAATACAAAGAATTACATTCATTTCCTCAGATCAAATTATACCATCAATGCCTTTATTCTTCTAAGTATCTGAATAATTAGCAATGGATAAAATCTGCTAAAATTGTAAACACCATTAAAAGCATCGAATTAGAACTAAATCAGAAAATATAATAAATAAAANAGTTCTAAGATTTTCATTCAATAGACTCATACCATAAGTAAAGTGTGCTGCAGTTGATCCAATTATAATCCTTAAGATTTTTAAACCTGAGATTAATCCAGCATCTTCAATAGCACGTTTAGAACAGAAATTTAAATTGCAAGATGTTGTTATGACTGCTTAATTTATTTTAATTCCTAAATGATTTTCTGCTATTGTCTTCATTTTACTTAGTATCATTGAACATACTTCTTCTGGATGCAATCTCAATGTTTCTTATTTAAATTAAACAACAATCATAGGTCTATCATAAAGACCAGCTTCAACTTTGTAAGGTAATTTTTAAATTTCTTCTTAGACAATCTTATCACTAAATTTTCTTCCAATTAATCTAATTACATTAAATATAGTATTTGTAGGATTTTTAGTTTATTAATTTAATGCTTCTTCACCTATAAGTCTTTCATTATCTGTAAAAGCTACATATGAAGGAGTAAACTTATTCCCATATTCATTGGCTATAAGTTAAAATTAATCATTTATAATTACTCCAACTCTGGAGTATGTCATTCCAAAATCAATCCCTATTGCTATTTCTTATTAATATTTCATTTAGAATATTTATAATTCAGTATTAATTATAAAAGCCTTTGATATTAATTAAAATTGATTTATTAGTGAAAAATCATTTTTTATCAAATATTTAATTAAATTGATAAAATATGCTAGTATTTATTATTATTTGATTTTTTATTATAAGATTGAAAATCAAAGATGTATTTAAAATGCAATTTTGAATTCCACATCAATTTAAATCACATTTCAATTATACAAATTCATTATTAATTAAAAATTATAGCAAATGGGTATTTAATGTTTTAAATGCTAAAATGAAGAATAATAAATAATAACTTAGACTCAAGTTTAAAATTATATATAACAGAAAAATGTATAATATTAACAAAAACAGGATAAAAAACGATAATATAATAGTCTATACTAAAATTCATATTTTGGCCCATCAAAATAATAGTATGAAAGCTAATGGAATCCCAGTATATGTGTAACTGCAAAGAATGAGTCCAATATAGAAGCATTTGAAGAATCTTAAATATAGACTAATCAAAATATAAGGGAAACTCAACAAGAACAATAAATACAAAGAATTACATTCATTTCCTCAGATCAAATTATACCATCAATGCCTTTATTCTTCTAAGTATCTGAATAATTAGCAATGGATAAAATCTGCTAAAATTGTAAACACCATTAAAAGCATCGAATTAGAACTAAATCAGAAAATATAATAAATAAAAGATAGAATTAAGAAAAGAATTTTCTTGACTCTAAATATATCAACAAGGAATTGAAAAAGGAGAAAATTAGAATGCTTTCTCATCCAAATATATAATAAATTTATCCAAAAAAAAAGTAACATTAGAAATAAATACTTAAAATCTTAGTTAATGGTTAGAGCTAACAAAAAACTTCTACTCCTTTTTCTCAACAATCAAATAAATCCAAATCAATGAGTCCTACTCCAAATAAAGTTCAACTATATATAATTTGATATTTTGTATTAATATAAATTCATAAATTAATATTATTTATAAGAATTTAATTAACAATCGTGTGTCTATTTTTATAACTAAATATTCATTTGATTATGACCTAATTTTATATTATTGACTTATTTAATGATTTTTAATAATAAAGATTTTTATCAATCATAATTATTCTAATTATTCTTGGATTTAATCTAAATTAGTAAAAAGTCCTTTAACATAAAATATTATTTAAAATCTTTAATAATATTCAGAATTACCTACTACAAAAAAACAATTAAGATCTTATAAACTTCAGATAAATAATTTAAAAAAAGTATAAATAAATAAAATATCAATTCAACTTAAAATTTTGTTTTATAATAAATAAAATATATTTAAAAATTTCATCACTGAAAAATTAAATGATTAGATTATTGACAAATAGTATCAAAATCTATAAACAGAATATATTTTTCTTTATGATATCTTATTTATTATTTTTTTACAATTAAGTCTTAATTGAATTAGTAATAAATAATATTAAAAATTTAATGTTTTATTAATAAACTATCTTTAAATTTTGTTTTGAAAAAATTATTTATAAAATAAAGAAGAAAAAAATATGATTCAGTCGAAATATAATATCATTTCAATTAATATCTATATGGATTAGTATTATTTATAATATTTAGAGGATTTATTTGATTTAAATTATAAAGATTTTTAATTATAATTTCTTAGTTATCATACAACATTTTTCTTTTAATATTTTTACATTTCAAAACTAAATGTTGGTGTTTTAAATACTATTTCTAATTTTGATGTGAGAATTAAAAATATTCTTAGCTTTGAAGTAAATACTAATGATTGTGTGAACAAATTTTAAATATTAGAGGGTGATGTTGAGTATACGGATAATTATATTGATATAACCAATTATTAGGCTTAAGAGGCTTATTCTTATTCTTTTTGGATAAAGTATGCTATTCTTGATCCAAAATATAAAAATAATCAACCAAATGATGGCTAAAATTGGTGTAGTGGATTTTATTATATCATTTGGTCATAAGTCATAGATTATGATTTTTATAAGACTTCATTGTTAATGTTAAATATTTAGAGAAATATTTGTGAATTCAAGTTTTATTATAGTGAAATTGATGCTGATTAGCCAACAGAGGTAACAATTTAATAAGATGCATAAAAACTTGATAATTAATGGATATATTTTATGATATCATATTATCCTAATGAAAAAAATGTAGTTATATAGAAAGATTCTGATATTACAATCCTAAATGTTCAATCTATTTATTAAGGAAATGTTTAAACTACTTTGGGGAATGATAATTTTGTATTTTTAATTATTTATTATTAGATTGTAATTGCCAATAGATTTTTTTGGGTCAAACTAATTCCTGGGTTATTGACAAATTAAATATATTATGAGAAGCTAAAAACATAAAATGACTTTTATTACAGTGGTTTTTTAAATTGTAAACCTTAAGATGATAGCTAACCTATAACTAAAATATATGTAGATGGATTATAATAATTTAATTCAGGACTTGTAATTGTGGATAAATTTTTGAGGGTTGGTTAAAAATATATGATTCATAGTTGGGTAAAGTTGAATCTTGATTTAGTAACGATTACAAATCCATTATCTTAATTACTTATGAGAATTACAATAAATTCATATTATAATGATTATAAATATGAAGGAGACAGAACATTTTATTATAGATATAACATATACAAATAGGAAATATAAAACTCAAATGTATATGTGGAAACATCACATTATAAAATACCAGTATAGTGTTATAAATTTAATGAAATATATGGTGAAGTTGAGGATTTTGAGAAATGGTAATTTGAAGATGTACAACTTTATAATTTAATTTAAAATTGGCATTTTTTTATTTTTGAACATGTAGGACAAGAAAGTTTAGAAGAGAGTTCTTGCTTTTATTTATATTTTTAATTTAGTCTTTAACCTATAAAACATTGTTTTGGTAGTGCAAATTAAAGAAGTCAATATTCAAATGGATACTATTATGTATATATTGGATAGGATGATTTTATCAATAAGAAATTAGTTGGTTCTATATCAGATTTGACTATTAAGTACAATTATAATGAAATATAAGAAATTAAAATAAGTATAATTATACATAAATTTTAGTTTGTCATTTCTCATGCTCAACATGTGATGGTCCAACAGCTAATGATTGTCTAAGTTGTGATAGTTAATATAATAGAATCTTTGATGATATAAATAGATCATGTGTCTGTTTAAAAAATCATATGCAGATTGAAAAGAATAAAAGTTGTCAATCAATCTAGACTATTTTTCCTTATTCTCAAGAAAATTAAATATCTACAATTAATTAAGAAGAATGTGATTTTGGTTATTTTAAAATCCCTAAGAATAATGGATTTATTTGTAAAAAATGGTAATTAATATATCTATAATTTAGTCCCTTTGAAATTATAAATCATATTCATTGTTTAGATTGTTATGAATATCCAAATCATTGGTATTTAAATCCAATATGTACTACTGATTTTTTTCAGCAAGACAGAACTTAGGATCAAGGCTATATATTTTATGAAAGAAGTGAAAATGAATATGAAGTCTTTTTACTTGATATTGAAGATAATCTTAATTATTTCTAGTAGTATCAATATATTTGTAGTGAATCTGATATTAGATTAGGTTTAAGGAATTGTGTTCAAATAAATATTGCTAATTTAAAGTAAGAAACATTTGTTGAATGCACTTCAAATTATTATTATGAAAATGGAGATTGTATTTAATGTTAAACTAATTGTTTAAAATGTAAATCTAAAAATGAATGTGATATTTGTATTTAATAACATTATGTAAAGAAAGGAGATTGTATTCAATGCCCTCTAAATTGTAATTCATGTTATTATGATGAATTAATATAAGATGTTCAATGTTAATCTTGCATATTGTATAAATTTATTTAAAATTAAGAAAATTTACATTATTCAAAGGAATTTGTTAATAATGTGGAAGTTATTGTTAGACTTGTATAGAAGACTTTGATATAAATTCACAATAATATTTTAATAGATGTTTATAATGTATAGATTCTTCAAAATATTACATCTCAATAACAGGTGGATATTGTTTAGAAAATACAATTGAAAATTGTTTATATGCTTATGAATACATTTAAATAGATGATATAATAATTAATACTCTAGATTATAAGTTTTAAACTGTATCTTAACACTAACCTATAAATAGTTGTGCTAGATGCAAAGATAAATATGGAGTTAACGAAAACAATTAATGTTAAGATATAGATAATTTTAATTTTAATAACTGCATATTTTCAGCTTATCTTGATACAACATAAAGTTATGTTTGTATCATTGGATCTGAAAGTAAACAATCAAATTAATGTTCTTTAACATCTCTTTATTGTTAAACATGTTTATATTTGAAATCTGTTTAAAAGAATTTTTGTATTACTTGTTTGGATGGATATTATGCAGATAGATTAACAGGACTTTGTTTTTAATGTCCAAAATCCTTATTTTGTAATACATGTTATTAATAAATGAAAATCAATTAAGATTATTGGTAAATTAATATAATGAATTATTATGAGACTATTATAAATAAAGATGGACAACATACATTTCGAAATAATGCTTAAAGTTAAAATAATTAAGATTATGAAGTAATTTGTTCTTCATGTATTGATTAATATTTACTTTTAAATAATTAATGTATTAAATTATGCCCAGATGATTGTGCCTAATGTATTTTATAAGATAATTAATTTGTTTGTCTTAAATGTATATATGAAAGTTAAGGTCGTATGCTAACTATTTTTAATAATCAATGTTAAAGATGTTCATAAAATTGTAAGGTTTGTAGAAATAGATCTTAAAATGAAATTACTGCTCTCAATCCATTTTTTTAAGATGAAACTTATATTATGTATTCAAGACAATGTTTAATACCTTCCAATTAAAAAGTAGTTTATAATAAAGAATTTGGTATTTTTCAGGAATGCAATCTTTAAGGATATTGTGAAAATCATATGTTATTTTAAATTAATCTATATTGTGATTTTGAAGAATATAAGAATGCTGAGTAGTTAAATCAAGATAATTTATAATTTTTATAAGGGAATATGTATTTAAATGATTTATTTAAAAATAACTTTACTATCTTTTCTAATAATTTACTCTTTTAACATGGAAATGAAGCATAAATTTCAACTATAACATTTTAAATAAATAGTAAATAACCTCAAAATTGTTTTTTAGATGAAGATTTCATAATATCATAAAATCTAAAATAACATATCTTTACCTTAAAGTATTAATTTAAATTATTTTAGAACTGTAAAAATTTAAATAATTGGCCACTCTCTCTTAACATTTAGATTAACTAATAATCTGTTATTTGTTAATTTTGAAGACATACTACTATAAAATATTAAGTTTGTTATTGCACCTATTCTCAATTAATAACTCTAAATTTCAACCTAATCAATAACTTATCAAAACATTAAATTTTTTAATTTAACTTTTACTACTTTGGTTGGAACTTTTGGTTGTTCAATTTAAATATATAATGCTTAATAATTACTCTTTCAAAATATTATACTATAAGATTATAAATAAGGGGGATCTAATGGTTTTATAGATATTTATTCTTCTAATCTAAAGGGTTATACTTAAATTTAGGATTTTCATTTAATTAATACTGATATTCAAGATTCTTAATTTATATAATTTTAAACTTCAAAAAATCACATAATAGAATTATAAAATCTATTCATTAATAGTAATTTATATAGATCCTAATTTATTGTATGTGCTTTGGCTTCTGGGTGTGGAGAAATAAAGATTTCTAATTTAGAATCTAGCTAATCATTAAGTATGAACTCTCTAATGTTTTCACTTGAAAAATTTAGTGAGACTGAATTAATTAATCTAAATTTCAATAATATAGAATTAATGGAGTCTACCTTTATCTAATTTATTCAAAAATTTACTTTAACCAATTTTACTATTAGAGATTCAATAATAATTAATAGTTTGTTAATAAACAATGATCTATTAACTAATTTATAAAAATCTATTTACACATTTTCAAATCTTTAATTTATATCAAATTCATACAATAAGAAATCGAAATTCATAACCATATATCGATATGCTGCCTAAGAATCAATAATAATAGTATAAGAAGCCAGCTTCCTAAAAAATAAATTATAAGATATGATAACTATAGAGAATTTGAAATAATTTGATTAATCTCTGATAGTTTTTTAAAGTGATTAAATTAAACTTAAAGACATAATAATACATCAAGGTAATGGCTTACCTTTAATTTCTTTTATTAACTCTTATCTTATTGAAATTAATAATTTATACATTACAACCAGTAATCAAATAAAAGATTTAATTCAAACTTAGGAGATAAGTATACTATAATTAGGATTGATTTTGTAATTTTTTGCTAATCAAAATATAGAAATTAATAATATGATTGTTGAATCAGTCTTATTAAGTAACTACCCTTTAATAAGTTATGAATCAATTACAACATCAATATCTGAATAAAATGAATTAGTTGTAATTAAAAATTCATCTTTTTTTAATAATATTTTAGTATATGATTCAACTAGGAACGTTGTTTGTCTATTTCAATTAGTATCTGAATAAAATGTTACATTAAGATTTGAAAATGTTAATTTTCAAAATAATATTTTATATCATAAAAATCAAGGTCAGAATTAGAGATCTGTAACTTTACTTTATTAAGATTGTTAAGCTTGTACATATTATTTTATATCTAATTAATTTGTTTCCAATATTGCAATAAATGCAAGTGTTAGTATCATCTATATTAGATCAAAAGAAGTAAATATACTTGGATCTCTATTTTCTTAAAATGGTGTCTACAATACTGAAATTAATAATTAATTAAAAGTGCTTTCTGTAAAAATAAATGATAAAATGATCAATTAAAGAAGTGCGAATGGAATATTTTATTGTTCTCATCTTAGAATTTATGATACATCATTTGAATTTTCAAAAGGTTCTTTGGCAAGTGGATTTTAATTTTTATCATCCTCAATTGGGAATTTAGATGTGAAAAGGACTATTTTTTAACATAATTAAAATTTATTCTTTGGTGATAATTCATAAGGAGGATCAATTTACATAGAAGGTAATAGCAATTAGTATTAAATTAATCTTGAGAATAATATATTCAAAAACATCTCCTCAGGATATGGAGGAGCTTTATAAATTTAAAATAGCTTAGGTAGATCGTTGATATCTATGAAAAATACATAAATTGAAGATGTTAATTCATTATATGGTACTGTTGTTTATGCTGTTTTCTCATATTAAGTTCAAAGTTAATCATTGATATCCATTTCAGATCTAAAAATAAATAATAGTTTTTCCAGCTTTGCTAAATTTCAAAAACAAATATTAGAATCTATATCAAATTAAGCAATTGATAAGCTTTTTCAATATAGGTCAATGTTTTATTCTGAATATGGAAAACTCTCTATCTTTAATATGTATATATTGCAATCTCATTAAGAAATAGTCATAATAGATTATTTTATTAAAGGACTTATTCTTAAATAAGTTGATATTAAAAATACAAATTATTCTTAATATGGATTAATATTTATTTATCCAAATACTGGTAATCATATTTATATGTATTATAGTTTAAAAAGTGGAAATTTCAATCAAGGAATTATCAATATCAGGATCGTTAATATCTGATTTAAATATCTTTTCTTATGATTTAATTTTAGGTTTGATTAATATATTAAATCTAAATGAGTAACACTATGTAATCATGGATGATATTTAACTCTAAAAAATTAATTGTAGTGTTTGTCAAAAGGGATTAATAAATATTGATGGTACAATTACATTACCTAAATAAATAATGATGAGGAGAATAAATATATAAAACAATACATGTGGTTTGAGAGGATGCGTAAATATTTGGACAGATAATGAGATTTTAGATGATACAAAATAAATAAATCAATCAACAAAAAGGTAGCTTTAATCAAAGACTTTGAATTTGGTTTTTCCTTATTCAATTGTAATTGAAAATTATTTATGTAATGGAAATATAGCTAATTTTGGAGTTTGTCTGAGGAATAAAGATTATTCCATTTTACTTGACTCTTTATAATTACTTAATAATAAGGCAACTAATTAAGGAGGAGCAATAGTATTTTCAGGTAGCAAGGCAATATTTAAAATAATAAATAGCATAATAGCAAATAATGTAGCCTCTGTTGCTGGAGGAATTTATTATTCTGAATCATTTTCACAAAATTATTCCAATCTTAACTCTTATATTTTTAATAACAGTGCAATTTATTATGGAAATGATACAATTGAATTACCAAATTAAATAAAAATAACTATTCACAATCATTCATATTCAAATTAATAAATATTCTTCAAAAATGAAATAGTGATAGATTAAGTATTAATTTCAAATTAATATCAAAATAACTAATCTAGTGTTCTCTTACCAAGCGGATAACTTATATATTTATATTAATAGTTTGATTGGGAAAATAATAATTATATTATGATGAATTATACTTTAAGATTAATTCCATATGATTAAAGGAATAATAGAATAAAAAATTTAACATCTAGTAAATGTTCAATTAAAGGAAGATTATATGATTATAAGAAATTAGAAGAGAGTGAACAAAAAGCATTTAGTAATAATTTCACAAATTTAAATGAAGTTGTTTATGATAATTTTATGGAAGAATACAATTTTGATCATTTGATTATATATTTTGATCCTGATTTACCTGAAAATATTGTTTTATAATTTGAATTTACATGTGATTCAATTAGAATACCAATTTTAAATGAGATTTAATAAATAGATACTATAATTAAATAATCAAAAGATTATTATTTAAGATTAAATATAAAAACATTACCTTGTTAAATTGGAGAATTAAAAAGTGAAGAAGATTTATCTTGTCATCCTTGTGATTATACTTAAGATTATTATTCAGTTAATTTCAATTCAAATAAATGTAAAATTAGAGATAATATTTAAATGGAATAAGTTAAATCAGCATAAATTAAATTAAGACCAGTAAATTATATAATTTTATTATTTATTAGAATTATTGGAGACCTTATTTTTATGCAGATCTTATTGAATATTGTTATAACTTTGAATTTAATTGTTTAGGTGGATGGAATTATGGAGATGTTTCATGTTCTTTAGGTCATATAGGAGCATTATGTGAATAATGTGATATTTATAATATTAGAGGAGATGGTGCATATTCTATAAGTTAAAAATATAAATGTGGTTCATGTGATGATACAAAATCAAATACTTTAATCATAATTGGTATATCATTATGGTATTTATAATCATTTATTATTTAAAAGGACTCTCATTTCTATTTCAATATCTGTGAAAAGTACTGTAGAAATCATTAAATAATTAGCTAAAGCATCTAAATTAAAATCAATTGGAATCATGATAGTAGTCACAAAGAATAATGCTGTTAATTTTATTAAGATTCTTACTAATTATTTATAAATTATTGCATCTATAAGTACTTTCTAATTATAATTACCTTAAAATATTGAATCAACTATTAATTCTTTAGGTAATCCAGTAGAAACAATGGCATATTCTTTAGATTGTTTTTTAAAAGATATGTTTTAAAGTATTTCAATTCATTATTCAAGAACAATTTGGTAATTAATTATGCCTTTTATTTATATTCTCTTATTTTTGTAATTTTATGGAGTAGGAGTAATTTTAAAGTATGTTGAATTTAATAGTTGTGTTATTTCAACATCATTAATCTATATGTTCATATATTTTTAACCTAATATTATTGCAGGATAAATTGGATTATTATCTTATAGAACAATCTCAGGATTTAAATGGATATTAGGTAATGTAGCAAATAGATATGATACAAATGATCATATCAAATGGTTACTATCATTTTGTTTACCTATATTATTTACTTTTGGTATTTTAATACCTGGATTACTATTTAATAGACTTTATAAAATTAGATAGACTTTAAAAGATCACAAAAACAGATTGATTTGGGGTTATTTATATAATGAATACAAAGAAAGTGCGTATTATTGGGAAATTGTTAAAATAATATAAAAAGAATTAATAATAATATTTCTTACATTTTATTAAGATTAAATAATTGTAAAAGCAGTTTTAGTTTATGGAATTATCTTTATTTATAATTATTTAACTTTATATATGTATCCATATCAATCTATGTAACATAATATTTTAGATCATTAATCAACTAGAGTTTGTGGTTTTTCAATTGTTTTAGCAATTGGAATTTATGGATCATTATAAAGTGGAATTATTGAAGTTTAAATTCCATTTTATATAATTATGACTATCATTAACTTTTTATTTTTGATTAAATTAATCTTATAAATAATCAAAGCATATTTTTAATAATTTGAAGTATTAATTGATAACATTAGAGATTTTATTAGAATTAAAATTCCATCACTTTTAAATTATCCTTTTTTCTAAAAAATATTAAAAAATTAATAATAAACTAGATTAAAAGCTTAAAAGAATTTTAGAAAAATTAAATTATCTGTTATATTATTATCAAGATAAATTATATAAAATAAAAAAATTAATAATACTTAAGAAAGAAAAGGAACCTTTATAATTTAAACAAATCTCATTCAATCTTTAGATAAAGTATAAATTTAGGATAGCTCTAATAGACTAAATAAGAACAATTAGGAAAAATAAAAATTGATAGATTGAATTCAATTTATAAAAAAATATATGTGATATATGTATCTTACAATATTGATTAATTGTCTTTAAAATATTATTTAATTAATTATTATATATATATAAATAATGATATATCCAGGATATGCATGTTAAAGTTTCTTAATTAAAAATATAAAATCAAGATCTGAATTTTAAAATTAGATGGAAAAACTCTTAATTTTTATTTTTTTATGTATAAGGTAATAATAGCATACTTATATTGTAGAGTGTTAAGTTAACTAGATGAATATCCAAAACACTTATTTATTCACCATAAGAATTAGCAACGATTACTTTAATCAGAATGCCATTATTCTTGTTAAGAATGTGACGGATCTACTGAATAGGATTGTTTATCATGTAATTCAGGACTTGGTCGATATTATGATTCAATAAAAAGAATGTGTTTTTGTGAGAAAAATCTTTTTGATGTTGGAATTTCAGAATGCTTAATTTTAAATGAAGCTGTTCCATCTGGAGAATTAAGTTAAGAAAACAATACAATTAAAGATTTTTGCAAATTTGGATAGTTTAAAGTTTTGCTTTAAAACGATACTATAATTTGTTTAAATTGGTATTTATTGAATAAATATTCAGTCCAAAGTCAATAAATAACAATCTAAATTGTTTAGACTGTTATCTTAATCCAGATAGCTGGTTTAAGTAACCTAGATGTACTTCTGATTTTTTATAGCTTAAAAATGATGAAAATTATGGCTATTTGATGTAAAAAAGGGAAGAAATTAATTTTGTGATATACTTTATAAGCGAAACCTTTTCTTTGATATCAAACCCTTACTATTCATATATATGTTCTGAATAAGATTTGCTTCTTGGAGATGTTGATTGCTAGTTGATGGATGAAAAACACATAAATAAACAATTATATGCTGTATGTAAAGATTATTCCTTTTATGATACTAACTCTTGCATTTTATGTCCATTGTTTTGTTCAACGTGTAATAAGAATGAATGCTTAGGTTGCATCAATCATTCTTACTTGTATAATGGTTTATGTTTTGAATGTCCTTAAGAATGTAAAGAGTGTTAATACAATTAAACATTGAATATTGTTGAATGCAATTAATGCTATGAGTAATTTTAATTTATAATTAGAAATTTTGGATTAGTTTAAGGAAATTGTATTGAATGCGGTTTAAATTGCGCATCTTGCATGTTTTGGAGATTTTATGATGCATATTATGGAAAATGGATAGAATAACTCAGATGTATTTAATGTATTGATCCTTCTAAATATTTTCTATCATCAAATGGTATTGATTGTCTAGAGAACATGCTTTAGAATTGCTTATATGCGTATCAAACAAACAATCTTTTTTTTTATTATATGACAACTTATGATTATAAATTCAAGAGTTTTTTAGAAGCCATATCTGGATGTGCCAGATGCAAAGAGGGGTATGATATTGATTAAGATGGTAAATGTGTTTCTTCAGAAAACTTAATCGTATCTTGCTTGGTTGTTTTTAGATCCTCACCTCAAGAAAATAAATGTTTGATAAGTGATTATTCATGGAGCTAATAGAATAACTAGTGTTAAGAAGTCATCTCAAATTGTTAGGAATGTATAAAAGAATCCTGGACTCTCAAACTACTTTGCATATTATGTTAACCTGGGTATTATGCTCACAGATTATTTGGATATTGTATTTAATGTCCTGAAGAATTGAATTGTAGAATTTGCTATTAATAACAAAGTCTCTTTTAAGATGATTGGGTAGTAAATATAAGAAGCTTTTATGAAGGTGTTATGGATGCTGTTTATGTATAAACAGAGACTACACTTCCTAGGACTTTTAGAACTTATGCATAAAGTTAAAATATAAGTGATTATGAGATCTCTTGTAAACTATGTTTAGATGGATATTAACTTCATAAGAATATTTGCATTTTAAAATGTCCTCAGGATTGCCTAGAATGTAAAATTGAAAATAATTAAAACATCTGTATAAAATGTTAAAATGATTAATATGGAAAAGTATTATCTTTGGTTGATAATAAGTGCTTATCTTGTCCTTCAAACTGTGATTTATGCATTCCAAGGATTCCTGAAGAAATTAAAAAGATAAATCCTTATTTTAAAAATTAAAAATATTAAAATTTTGCAAATCGATGTGTTAAAAATTCTAATTTAGAATCTTTTGTTTATGATCCAGATTTTGGATATTTTATTAATTGTGAATCTAAAGATAAATTATGTTAAAACATTTTGACAATTAATTTAAAGTTATATTGCGATCAAGAATAATACAATAATGATTTAGAAATTTCATCCTAAACTTAAAAAAATAAGATCAAATTTTTGAAAACCACATTATTTTTAGATGATCTCTTGCTTAATTCATTTTAATAATTTGAAAATGATTAATTTTATTCTTTATTGAACATTAAATAAATAGGGAAACTTAAAATAAGAATTTCAACTCAATAAAATTAGGATTGTTTTATTTATAATAAAGTCACTATAGCTTAACTTTTTAGAATGAATGTATTTTCATTAAGGTAACATATATATGATTATTAAGTTCTGTAAATCTTGAATTTATTGGGATTAAGGATACTAATTTTTATATTTTTGATACTTTAGAATTTCACAATTTTTCAAGCATTTCTTTTGATTCAATAAACTTTGGTTTCAAGACTTCATCTATTATTAATCAGTAAACTGTTAAGTTTGTAAGTATTTTACAATAGACAATAAAATTCTAAAACTTAAAAATTGAGTAGGAGGCTAATTAAATTTAGGATATTAATATTTAATTTAATAACATTGATCTAATTTATATTCATGATGTTTAAATCTCAAATCTAAACTTGAATTCTACAAATGGATTATTTTAATTTATATCAGCAGATTCAAGTAATACTGGAACAATTAAATTTGAAAACTTAAATATTTATTCAACAAATTTAATCAATACTAAAATAATGTCTTATGAGATTTCTAATTCATTTATGATTTATTTAGATAACATCTCACTTAATTTAAATTTAACAAATTCTAATTTTTTTACATGTAATTAGATAATTAATTTTGGAAATTTAATCATAAACAAATTATAACTTACTAATTCTGTTATTAAAAACACTTCATGCTTGATTTAGGGAAATTTCTTGAAACTAATAGATATAAATACTATTATTTTACAATAAAATTAATTTGATCATAGCAATCTTATATTATTGAACAACAACATTACATTGTCAAATATTTAAATAGAAAATTGTGTATTATTAAACAGTTATTTAATACTGAATAAATTAGCTGAAAAAAATCATCTAGATACTGAGTATTTATTTAATTTAAAGAATTTCTTGATTATAAATAACTAATATAACGTTGGTACGAAGTATATTACAATCTATCGTTATACTTCTACTACTTCTAAGATTATTTTTGAATAATTAAAAATTTAAAATAATATAATACTTGACACTGAATTAAGAAACTAAAAGAAATAATAAAGTGCCTCAATTATATTAGAAAGTGATGAAATATATCTTAAAAATTTTGAAATATTTAAAATAAGAGGAATACCAGATTTTTCTATTATAAATTCACATAATTTAACTATTAATGATTTATACGTTACTTCTTAAATCAATAAAGAGAAGCTGTTTTTATAGAAATAATCATTATAAACCAACGATTTAGGAATAGTATTTCATATTTATTCAGTGAAATAAATTAGATTTCAAAGTGTACATTTAGTATCTCTATTTATTCATAATTATCCAATTATCTATTATGAATAAGCAACAAAATCCTTAATAAATTAGGATGGTTAAATTGAAGTTTATAATTCAAAATTTACAAATAATTTGTTATATTAAAGTAATTCATCATTTAGTACTAACCTTATTGAAATTTTCTCAGCTTAAAAGGTAATAATAAATTTCATTAATTCTACTTTTGAAAATAATATTATCTATTTTTAAACAACAAGTACTAGTGTTTAATCAACTAATCTTTTAAATATTGATTGCTCTGAATGTTCAGTTAACTTGAGGGAATTCAATTTTTTATCTAATGTGGCTATTAATACAACTTCTTCAACTCTCTTTATTAAGTCCACTAAAGTATCAATTAGCGAAAGTGTCTTTAAATAAAATGGCTTTATAAGTATAGATATAATAAATTTTTTAAATCAGATAGAAGTATAATTTGATAATAGTTTATTTTACCAAGGTTCTGGAAATGGAGTATTTTAAACTGATAATATGTATGTTCTTAATTGTAACTATTTTAATCAGTATGGTTCAAAAGGAGCATCCATATCATTTTCCCCTTTAAACTAAGGGTTGTTAAAAATAGAAAATACTATAATTGATATATCCCAAAACTATTTTATCTAAGAAAATGAAAAAGGAGGTGTAATTTATATTAGCTCTTCGTCAACCAATTTATAATTGGAAATTATTAATTGCTAATTTTCCAACATATATTCAATTTAAGGAGGGCTAATAATGATAGAAAGTTCGTAAAACAGTATTTAAATTCTAATCAGCAATACTTATATAATGGATTTCTTCTCTTTATAAGGATCATTAGTTTATGTAAATTTTGAAGAATAATACACTGATAATTCATTAATATAACTTTAAGATCTAAAATTATCAAACACTTTAGAAGGATTTTCTAAATTTTTTTAGTTATACAAAGATAAAAATTATAATTTATAAGAAATCGAAGCATCAGAGAATTTTTAAATTATGTTGTATAAGAGATCAATTATATTTTCGAAATTAGGAAGAATATAAATAAAGAACCTAATCATTTGTGGACTAATTAATGAAATCATTATTTATGATTAATATCTTAGGATGCTACAAATAAACTCCATCTATATAACAAATTCATCAATATCAAATTAAGGATTGATATATTTGGCTCCTTTTTAAAGTATAAATTAATTCTTAATTTTTTAGATAAAAATTTCTCAATTTATATAAATTCTGTTCTTGTTGAGAACCTTAAAACAAATACGGATGAAATTCAAAGTGCATATTATAAGTATGCAAAAATAAGTAGGTAGAATATTTTTGGTATAATTAACATATTAAATATCCATTAGGAGGGGATTATGGAATTTAGGAACATAAAATTTATAAACAATTAGTGTTATAATTGTCAAGCAGGTCTAATGAACTTTCAATTTAATAATTATAGTCAGAATAATTTATTCATTTAAGACATCACTTTTAAATATAATATATGCGGAGAGCGAGGTTGCCTAAACATAGTTTAGGATAACATCTATTATTATCTTATTGATGATTAGGATAACCTGAGGTTATTAGAAGGAGAAAAAGTAAATAATATCTTAAATTATGTATTTACAATTTAAGACTATTATTGCTATTAAAATTTAGGAACTTATGGAGTTTGTTTATTTGTTTAGAATTTAGCAGGATAGATCGATCGAGCAATATTTTCATAAAACAATGCTACAGTATCAGGTGGTGCGGTTTATTCATTTGGAAATAAATCTAATTTACAAATAATGAAAGCTCAAATAGTAGAAAATTATGCTAATTTTGGAGGTGGTATGTCAATAAGAAATCACTTTTCTCCAAATTTGAAATAGTACGAAACATTCTCTTTCGAAAACTAAGCCTCTTATTTTGGAAATGATTATGCAGAGTATCCAACACATCTTATCATTTAAATAAATAATTACAATCAATTCATATATAAATAACATTCTTCTTTAAACACATAATAAAATAATATTAGAATCTTTACTGCTACTTTGTTAAACAATGAATAATAAATAAAATAGATTTTATTACCAAGTGCATAACATCTATATTTATACTAACAGTTTGATTGGGAAAATAATAATTATATTATGATGAATTATACTTTAAGATTAATTCCATATGATTAAAGGAATAATAGAATAAAAAATTTAACATCTAGTAAATGTTCAATTAAAGGAAGATTATATGATTATAAGAAATTAGAAGAGAGTGAACAAAAAGCATTNTTCTCATATTAAGTTCAAAGTTAATCATTGATATCCATTTCAGATCTAAAAATAAATAATAGTTTTTCCAGCTTTGCTAAATTTCAAAAACAAATATTAGAATCTATATCAAATTAAGCAATTGATAAGCTTTTTCAATATAGGTCAATGTTTTATTCTGAATATGGAAAACTCTCTATCTTTAATATGTATATATTGCAATCTCATTAAGAAATAGTCATAATAGATTATTTTATTAAAGGACTTATTCTTAAATAAGTTGATATTAAAAATACAAATTATTCTTAATATGGATTAATATTTATTTATCCAAATACTGGTAATCATATTTATATGTATTATAGTTTAAAAAGTGGAAATTTCAATCAAGGAATTATCAATATCAGGATCGTTAATATCTGATTTAAATATCTTTTCTTATGATTTAATTTTAGGTTTGATTAATATATTAAATCTAAATGAGTAACACTATGTAATCATGGATGATATTTAACTCTAAAAAATTAATTGTAGTGTTTGTCAAAAGGGATTAATAAATATTGATGGTACAATTACATTACCTAAATAAATAATGATGAGGAGAATAAATATATAAAACAATACATGTGGTTTGAGAGGATGCGTAAATATTTGGACAGATAATGAGATTTTAGATGATACAAAATAAATAAATCAATCAACAAAAAGGTAGCTTTAATCAAAGACTTTGAATTTGGTTTTTCCTTATTCAATTGTAATTGAAAATTATTTATGTAATGGAAATATAGCTAATTTTGGAGTTTGTCTGAGGAATAAAGATTATTCCATTTTACTTGACTCTTTATAATTACTTAATAATAAGGCAACTAATTAAGGAGGAGCAATAGTATTTTCAGGTAGCAAGGCAATATTTAAAATAATAAATAGCATAATAGCAAATAATGTAGCCTCTGTTGCTGGAGGAATTTATTATTCTGAATCATTTTCACAAAATTATTCCAATCTTAACTCTTATATTTTTAATAACAGTGCAATTTATTATGGAAATGATACAATTGAATTACCAAATTAAATAAAAATAACTATTCACAATCATTCATATTCAAATTAATAAATATTCTTCAAAAATGAAATAGTGATAGATTAAGTATTAATTTCAAATTAATATCAAAATAACTAATCTAGTGTTCTCTTACCAAGCGGATAACTTATATATTTATATTAATAGTTTGATTGGGAAAATAATAATTATATTATGATGAATTATACTTTAAGATTAATTCCATATGATTAAAGGAATAATAGAATAAAAAATTTAACATCTAGTAAATGTTCAATTAAAGGAAGATTATATGATTATAAGAAATTAGAAGAGAGTGAACAAAAAGCATTTAGTAATAATTTCACAAATTTAAATGAAGTTGTTTATGATAATTTTATGGAAGAATACAATTTTGATCATTTGATTATATATTTTGATCCTGATTTACCTGAAAATATTGTTTTATAATTTGAATTTACATGTGATTCAATTAGAATACCAATTTTAAATGAGATTTAATAAATAGATACTATAATTAAATAATCAAAAGAATTATTATTTAAGATTAAATATAAAAACATTACGTTGTTAAATTGGAGAATTAAAAAGTGAAGAAGATTTATCTTGTCATCCTTGTGATTATACTTAAGATTATTATTCAGTTAATTTCAATTCAAATAAATGTAAAATTAGAGATAATATTTAAATGGAATAAGTTAAATCAGCATAAATTAAATTAAGACCAGTAAATTATATAATTTTATTATTTATTAGAATTATTGGAGACCTTATTTTTATGCAGATCTTATTGAATATTGTTATAATTTTGAATTTAATTGTTTAGGTGGATGGAATTATGGAGATGTTTCATGTTCTTTAGGTCATATAGGAGCATTATGTGAATAATGTGATATTTATAATATTAGAGGAGATGGTGCATATTCTATAAGTTAAAAATATAAATGTGGTTCATGTGATGATACAAAATCAAATACTTTAATCATAATTGGTATATCATTATGGTATTTATAATCATTTATTATTTAAAAGGACTCTCATTTCTATTTCAATATCTGTGAAAAGTACTGTAGAAATCATTAAATAATTAGCTAAAGCATCTAAATTAAAATCAATAGGAATCATGATAGTAGTCACAAAGAATAATGCTGTTAATTTTATTAAGATTCTTACTAATTATCTATAAATTATTGCATCTATAAGTACTTTCTAATTATAATTACCTTAAAATATTGAATCAACTATTAATTCTTTAGGTAATCCAGTAGAAACAATGGCATATTCTTTAGATTGCTTTTTAAAAGATATGTTTTAAAGTATTTCAATTCATTATTCAAGAACAATTTGGTAATTAATTATGCCTTTTATTTATATTCTCTTATTTTTGTAATTTTATGGAGTAGGAGTAATTTTAAAGTATGTTGAATTTAATAGTTGTGTTATTTCAACATCATTAATCTATATGTTCATATATTTTTAACCTAATATTATTGCAGGATAAATTGGATTATTATCTTATAGAACAATCTCAGGATTTAAATGGATATTAGGTAATGTAGCAAATAGATATGATACAAATGATCATATCAAATGGTTATTATCATTTTGTTTACCTATATTATTTACTTTTGGTATTTTAATACCTGGATTACTATTTAATAGACTTTATAAAATTAGATAAACTTTAAAAGATCACAAAAACAGATTGATTTGGGGTTATTTATATAATGAATACAAAGAAAGTGCGTATTATTGGGAAATTGTTAAAATAATATAAAAAGAATTAATAATAATATTTCTTACATTTTATTAAGATTAAATAATTGTAAAAGCAGTTTTAGTTTATGGAATTATCTTTATTTATAATTATTTAACTTTATATATGTATCCATATCAATCTATGTAACATAATATTTTAGATCATTAATCAACTAGAGTCTGTGGTTTTTCAATTGTTTTAGCAATTGGAATTTATGGATCATTATAAAGTGGAATTATTGAAGTTTAAATTCCATTTTATATAATTATGACTATCATTAACTTTTTATTTTTGATTAAATTAATCTTATAAATAATCAAAGCATATTTTTAATAATTTGAAGTATTAATTGATAACATTAGAGATTTTATTAGAATTAAAATTCCATCACTTTTAAATTATCCTTTTTTCTAAAAAATATTAAAAAATTAATAATAAACTAGATTAAAAGCTTAAAAGAATTTTAGAAAAATTAAATTATCTGTTATATTATTATCAAGATAAATTATATAAAATAAAAAAATTAATAATACTTAAGAAAGAAAAGGAACCTTTATTTTGGATTCAAAAATATCTTTATTAGATACAAATTAAAACCAATAAAAGTCTTCTTTAGAAGAAATAAATAAAAACCTTTTAGTAATCGGATAAAATTTAAAGTGAATTAATAAAAATAATATAAATTATTGATATTATTATTATTCTGTTTAAATCATTATAAACATTTAAATCCATCTATTGGTATAAAGGGGACAAATTAAATGCTTTATGGTAATTTGTATTATTTTTTTACATTTGGCTAAATACAATTTATTTATATATTCTATATGCTTTTTATTGAGGATTCAGCTTCTATACTAGATTCTAATAGACTAATAAAAGGAGGAATCATGATATCAGACTAAACCAACTCTGAAATTACTTGATCATCCTTTCCCAAGATCATTCTGCTTCTATTCGATAACTAATTTGACTATTCCTTTTAGTATCCATTAAAAATGCGATGACTATTTGTTATTTAAAGTGTCTTTAGTTAAGATCTCTGTTATACTAAATTAATTATCTCACTTTTGTTCTTAGATTAATTGAGAAAAGAATTAGGTAAGTTAGAATCTTCACCCAAAACAATCCTATTTAAATTTCTGTTGATTTCATTATAGTCTTATTGCAGCTATTCAATTGAAAAATATGGTTAAAATAACTAAATATTGTTTTTTTCATACATTAAGACGTAAATCTTAGAATTTTTTTAATTCTATAGCTACCATATAATGAAAGTAAATCTTTAAACTAATTGCACATTATTAAGAACATATTAATCCAACATTAGATTATTTTTTAANTTGGGGTTATTTATATAATGAATACAAAGAAAGTGCGTATTATTGGGAAATTGTTAAAATAATATAAAAAGAATTAATAATAATATTTCTTACATTTTATTAAGATTAAATAATTGTAAAAGCAGTTTTAGTTTATGGAATTATCTTTATTTATAATTATTTAACTTTATATATGTATCCATATCAATCTATGTAACATAATATTTTAGATCATTAATCAACTAGAGTCTGTGGTTTTTCAATTGTTTTAGCAATTGGAATTTATGGATCATTATAAAGTGGAATTATTGAAGTTTAAATTCCATTTTATATAATTATGACTATCATTAACTTTTTATTTTTGATTAAATTAATCTTATAAATAATCAAAGCATATTTTTAATAATTTGAAGTATTAATTGATAACATTAGAGATTTTATTAGAATTAAAATTCCATCACTTTTAAATTATCCTTTTTTCTAAAAAATATTAAAAAATTAATAATAAACTAGATTAAAAGCTTAAAAGAATTTTAGAAAAATTAAATTATCTGTTATATTATTATCAAGATAAATTATATAAAATAAAAAAATTAATAATACTTAAGAAAGAAAAGGAACCTTTATTTTGGATTCAAAAATATCTTTATTAGATACAAATTAAAACCAATAAAAGTCTTCTTTAGAAGAAATAAATAAAAACCTTTTAGTAATCGGATAAAATTTAAAGTGAATTAATAAAAATAATATAAATTATTGATATTATTATTATTCTGTTTAAATCATTATAAACATTTAAATCCATCTATTGGTATAAAGGGGACAAATTAAATGCTTTATGGTAATTTGTATTATTTTTTTACATTTGGCTAAATACAATTTATTTATATATTCTATATGCTTTTTATTGAGGATTCAGCTTCTATACTAGATTCTAATAGACTAATAAAAGGAGGAATCATGATATCAGACTAAACCAACTCTGAAATTACTTGATCATCCTTTCCCAAGATCATTCTGCTTCTATTCGATAACTAATTTGACTATTCCTTTTAGTATCCATTAAAAATGCGATGACTATTTGTTATTTAAAGTGTCTTTAGTTAAGATCTCTGTTATACTAAATTAATTATCTCACTTTTGTTCTTAGATTAATTGAGAAAAGAATTAGGTAAGTTAGAATCTTCACCCAAAACAATCCTATTTAAATTTCTGTTGATTTCATTATAGTCTTATTGCAGCTATTCAATTGAAAAATATGGTTAAAATAACTAAATATTGTTTTTTTCATACATTAAGACGTAAATCTTAGAATTTTTTTAATTCTATAGCTACCATATAATGAAAGTAAATCTTTAAACTAATTGCACATTATTAAGAACATATTAATCCAACATTAGATTATTTTTTAATTAGTTCTTCCTATTTAATTTGAAAATTGCAATACATGGATATCTTAAATAATTTTTGACATTGAAGTCTCTTATGATACATTAAATAATTGATCAACTAATATTTAAAGGGGTTGAGTCCCAGAATAAAAAATTGTTTTTATTTTATTTTTGCTGATTGTTTCATTAAGCTATCTAATTTCAGAATGTTATGTAGGCAGCCTTAGGACATAAAGATAAACCACAAGCAGAGAGTGCTAAATTTTTTCCTCTAGATAAATTGGGTCTGTGTTCATTAATCGATAGAATATTATTATATTTATTAAACTAAAATTCAATAAGAAAATTATTCATCAAATATAGCACTTATCTCATAAAGAATTAAAAAATCATAAATGCACTTATATCAGGGGTTTATTCTATCTTAAAAGACCTTATTTATTTCAAGTTTAAGTGTAACAATAAATATCTATAATATTGATTAAATGGAGTGCTTTCATTTTAAGATTATTATCTTCTACCTCCTCCTACATTTTAATATATGAAAAAGTATATTGAAATATTTTCCAGTTTTTGAATTTTCTAATATTTTAATATTCTAGTGTGTTTATAAAATGTATTGATTTTAAAGGGGATTCTCTTAAAATATAATTCAGCATTTATTAAAGCAATTTATAGACTTAATATCCTTAAAAAAATTATGTTTATTTATTATAATTTTAAGTATAATTTGTAATATGAAATAGTTGATCTTAAAATTTCCAAATTTTTGATTAAATCTATTTTCTCAACAATAGAAATCATCAAGATAAATTGATTTTTTTTTGTCAATTTTCATTTATTCATCATCAAAAAAAGGATTTAAAGGCAGCTCAATTAAAAAGAAAATGATGTAAACATATAAAAATTTCATGATTACTCATATTATTTTATTGACTCAAAAACAAATAGGTTTTTAGAAATTGAGAATAGTAATAAGACTATAATTATCTAATTTTACAAAAAAGTAATAGATAGCTATCAATTATTAATTTTTAATTAAAAAAAAAATTATAGATAAAAATTAGTAAGATTATGAAAATGATAAGAAATAAAAAAAATATTTTTTATGAAAAGCTAATTCCAATTTGATTACAAAAAAACCAATTATAATGTATATATATTTAATAAATTTTTGTAGAATAAGACATTCATACTTACTAATTTATGTATGAAAGAATGAAATATATAATCTAGCATATTCCTTGTTATTTTCAATACAGTATTGATGGTTGATAAATATTATATTTTATTATATAGGTTGTATATATTTTAATATCATGAATCAATTTGATTAATCTCTAACTTTTCCTTACTAGCTTTGTTAGAGTTCAAAGATAAATATTTGGATTTGACAATATTTTTAAACTTCTTCTCTTCATACATTTTATTTCCAATTCTTCCCCTTGCATTTATAAACCATATTTAAATCTAATAATTTTAATAATATACTTATTTTTATGTTAGATTACACTTTTCAGCTAGTTACTCAACTTATTCTTTACTAGGATATGGGTAGAAATAGTGTTTATTCAACCAATTTTTTAAAATTAAGTTAGACTTCTTAGAAAACTTTTAACTCTTTTTTTCAATAGTCTTATCACTTATTTTCATAGTTTATCTTTAGTAAGATAACTTAAGTTCATTTTACAAGATTTGGGACATATAATCGAAATACTGTTGTAATGATTTCAATGTATGAAATTCCAATTGAGAAGGATTTTCACTTAATGATTTAAGGTACATGAGAAGACCTTAAAAATGAATGACGTTAATGTGGGTTTAACTTTAAGAATGAACTTCGTCTGAATGAGATTGTAATATATCCTCACTAAATGTAATAATACATTACTTAGGACAATTATGTGAAACCCATTTTGTTAATTATGACTCTAGGTTTGAAACTTACTGTAGAACAAATTGCTTTCTCAATTCTTAATGAATAGTCAATGATTGAGACATTGAGATTTTATGATTAAAAATCGAGAAATTATTAATAAAAATAGATTTAATAATTAATGACATAAATATTCAAAAAATAAATTGATTGTAAGTTAGAATTGTAAATATATTCTAAAGGAGATTTAAAAATGCTAAAATATTTTGTTTAAATAACAAATAGAAAAAATTTTAAAATTGTGGATATATGTAATTTTAATTTGTGTATTAACTCAATCCCAACTACCTATGCATTTATCTGTACCTAATCTTACTGATTAACCTTTTGCACATTCATCCCATCCATAAATTTTATTGGCACTACAAGCATTTGGATTACAACAACCTATAATTTTATAATTAATAAACATACCCTTTCTTTTTCCACCACAATTGACTCCTCCTTTACTTGTACATAATGAAGTACAAAATTCATAATTGGCTTCACCTTTTGTGTATGTTTCATGAGATAATCTTCTTAAGTTCTATATTATTATTTAATCTATACATAATATTATTCCAAAGGTGCATATTAATACATAACTGCTGCTAAAGTGGCTGCCAAAGCTAGAAGAACAAGTAATTTGATTTTTTACATTTTAATTAATGAATATATCTTGTAACAAATTTTGGTTGGAAAATTGTTTTTAAATACTTATTTTTAGTATATATAATTTGATTATATTGATTAATACAAATATTTATTAATAATTCACTTAATCGTTATATTATTTTGAATGTTAAATTCTTCATTTAATTTTTTTGAAGAGAATGATATAGGCAAATTAAGAAAATATGTATCTTTATAATATATAATAACAAGTTTATCACAAAAGAAAATGAATGGAAAAAAGATAAGGCAGTTTTAGAGTAAAAAACATAATTACTTGAACTCTAATTGGAAGACTATAAATTGAGGGAAACAAACCAGAGAAAACTAAATGATACTATTAGTTAAGCCATTAATGATTCAACAGCCAATTAGAAAGTATTTGGTTGTTTTTACAATTTAGAAATCAATAGCTGAATTATAAAAGAATATTGATATTTAACAGAAAGACCATAATAAAACAAAGTTTAAGGAATAAATAAAATAGTTAGAACTTTAAGTAATGCTCCTGTTAAATTTAAGGTTAGATCATTATAAGAATAACTATTAGAAAAGGAATCCTAAATAAAAGAGTTTGAATTATAATACTAAAAGCAATACTTACTTTATGATCATAGAATTTCTTAGCTTGAACAAGAAAAACTAGTAAATAGTCAAGAAAACTAAAGATTAAAAGAAAATTTAACCAAATAAGAAGATGTTTATAAATATAAAGAATAATAATAAAAATAGTTATTTGAACAAGAACTATAAAAAATAAAAGATTTAAACATTCAAGATTAAAAGTCTAAGTAATAGGAATATGAATCCAAAATTATATAATTATCTACATTACATGAAAAAGAAAAGGAGCAATTTTAATTAAGAATTAGTAAATGCTAGAATACAATTACAAAATATCAGTAACATATTGAATAAAATATTGATATCATAAATTTGAAAAAACAATATGAAGATTAAATTAAATTATTAAACAATACCAATAATGAAATTTAAGCTTAATTTTCATATGAAAAATAGACTTTATTAAAATAAATTGAAGAATTAAAAAAATTAAATAGAGATGTAAATTTAAAAGAGAGTATGAATTATCATGAGAGTACATCTAAAAAGAGAAGTATTGATGCTATTAAAATAAAGAGTTCTCTTTAATCATATGATAGTCCTGTTTAATGTAAAAGTTTTCATATTGCATGTCCTGAAAGTAAAGTTTAAATTTTCAATAATTACTTAAAAAATTCATAAACTTAATCTATTATTTTAGCTTAAAAATAATAAATTTAATAACAATTTTAACAAAATAATCAATCACTTGATAAATCATAAAATATAAATGATGGAATGCCTATTTGTATAGATTAATATAATTTAATGAAAGATAAAAAATAAAAATCATAATCAACTTTATCAATTCCTACAAGTAATAATTATAATCTTAATTCTTATTTATAAGAATAAAGTATATTTTAATAAAATTAAGAATCATTTTAATTAGATTCTAAAAGCAATCTGAAGGATGAAACATATAAACCTAAAATCATAAAATAATTGAATCCTAATATTTCAAATAGACAAATTTAATTTGATTACAATAGATCAATAAAACATGAATTATAAAAACATAAAGAATTAAATAATTAAAGATCTATATCTTAAGAAGGAATTAAGTAGTAAAAATCAAATCTAAGTAAAATATTAGGTTAAACTGAAATAAGTTATTAATAAAGTACTTCTACTTAATAGATAACAAATAATACATCACTAAATAGTTTTAAAGTTCCTGCTTTTACTCAGAATTAATTATAAGTATTAAAAAACAGTTCATAATACTTATATCCTTGTACAACATTAAGGATGAAAGAAAGCCACATAAAAAAGTTTAGAAATAATAACAACCATAGTACTCATGAAGAGACTAAATAAAATAAAGAGAATTATTAGCCAATTAAAAATAATTCAAAAAGTGACATCAAAGTTATAATAGGCAGATTATTGTAAAATAAAGGAAAATAAAGTGAACATCTTGAAAATACAGGATATATCTTTAAAAATAATAGGATTTGAAGCACTTTTATATTTTATATAGCTAATACTACAATAAATTATTTTATAATGTTAATCCATGAATTCTATTTAATCTTCAATTTATTCTTCTTTAATCATTTAAAATCTATAATTATTTTTTAATAATTTCTTTGTAATTGAAGTAAAAGATATATTTATACTTATCATGAAAAATAATATATTATTATATAATTAATATCTATTAGTGTTAAATAAATTATTAATTAAAAAATGTTAAAGAACATGATCAAAATATTTCGGTTTTCCTAATTCAAAACAAAAATTGATCAAATTTAACATCATAATTATGGTCCATTGTAGGAAATTGATTTTAAATTGTTAAATGTTCGTTAAAATACACCCTTAAGAGAAATCTACTATTCATATATGAAACATATGAAATTATATGAAATATAGTAATAAGAAGAAAAAATGGAATAAATTAAAAGAGCATATTTAAGGATTTTGTCTAAACGATTAAATAATTTGGATGAAATAACAGAATAAGAATAAAAAGATTTAGGATTCTTAATGGACAATAATTTTGGATTCCCATTTGTTGAAGGATTAAGAAGATCTGAGATGATTACATAATTTTAAGAGGAAATAGAAGCAAAACGGCTTTATCATTATCCTCGTATAACAATAATTGTATTATGGATAATATTGGGCATTCCTAGTTTCTATTTAAGTGACAATTATGTATATGAAAAATGAGTAAAAATAATTAATAATTCATTGTTTTTCAACTGATTAAGGTATTATAAAGAATTCTGTATCCTAAATTTATAGACACTGATTTGTTATTGGAGTCATAATATTTTCTAAAGCTTTGATTATTTAATCATTTCTGTTTTATAAATGTACACTTTTGCTTAAATTTTTAGCATTTTGATTAATTTTAGTATCAAATTCAAAAATTGGTATGATATCTGATAATATAATGGCTTTGTAATTTTAAAATTATTCAAAGTTTGTTTAATCACAAATTAATGTAAAGGGTTCTTCATTTTAAATAAATGATTATTTTTAATCCAATTCAATAAATTCTTATAAAGAATCAGAAGATGTCATATCAACAGATCTTTCTTCAGAATAAACATCTTCGGCTATTTCTTCTTCTGAATCTAATTCATATTCAATGAATGAATATTGATGGAAAGGTTATCTTGGATTGACTTACTTATACCCAATAAGTTTTCCATTATAGTATCTACAAGAATCAAAAACATCAAAATGAACTTTTCTTTTAATAAATTATAAAGGTTTTTTAGGTTTAGTAGAAATATCATCATTGAACAATTAGTTTGATAATTCAGAGAAATTTAATACATTAATTTAATCTAAATGAAAGATTTACTTTTCAAATTCAGATTATCTCTCTTGATCCCATTTTAATGAAAGTTCTTAATGAGATTTTTTCATATTATTTTTTGTTGATTTTCTCATAAATTTTGAAAGATTATCATTTTTTATTTTAATTTTGGTATATTCTTTATTTTCTCTTTTTGATTTTAGTAAATTATCTTCTTTAGGTATTTTATTTATTTCTACTATATTGAAAATAAAGAATACTTTTTGTACTTTAATCTTAATTTTTGGAATGATCATTTATTGATTAAGCAAAAGAGACTTTATTAAATGTCTGAGCTGATTCATCTGTAATGAGATCTTCAGAAATATACTTTTCTATGAATTCTTAATTAATAGATTTAGTAAATGGAAATTACAAGGATGCTTTGATATTAATATATTTTAGAAATGCATCTTCAATTCTAGTTATATTCAAAGATTCAAGTGAATCTAAAATTTCAGCAATAGCATGAATAATTTAATAAATTTAATGTCTCATTTTTCTGACAGCTAAAAATGTTTCAATTTATTCATGATCTCTTAAATCTTAAATATTTTTGATTTCATAATATCCACTTATCTCTGTTGTATTAAATGTAAGATTGCTTGATAATGGTTCAACATGATTGATATTAAGTAATTTAAGAAAGAGGGCATAATTGAATTCTTGTTCATATGTTAATTATGTATAATCTAACCTTTTAATTTGAGCAAAAGTAANTTTCTAAAGCTTTGATTATTTAATCATTTCTGTTTTATAAATGTACACTTTTGCTTAAATTTTTAGCATTTTGATTAATTTTAGTATCAAATTCAAAAATTGGTATGATATCTGATAATATAATGGCTTTGTAATTTTAAAATTATTCAAAGTTTGTTTAATCACAAATTAATGTAAAGGGTTCTTCATTTTAAATAAATGATTATTTTTAATCCAATTCAATAAATTCTTATAAAGAATCAGAAGATGTCATATCAACAGATCTTTCTTCAGAATAAACATCTTCGGCTATTTCTTCTTCTGAATCTAATTCATATTCAATGAATGAATATTGATGGAAAGGTTATCTTGGATTGACTTACTTATACCCAATAAGTTTTCCATTATAGTATCTACAAGAATCAAAAACATCAAAATGAACTTTTCTTTTAATAAATTATAAAGGTTTTTTAGGTTTAGTAGAAATATCATCATTGAACAATTAGTTTGATAATTCAGAGAAATTTAATACATTAATTTAATCTAAATGAAAGATTTACTTTTCAAATTCAGATTATCTCTCTTGATCCCATTTTAATGAAAGTTCTTAATGAGATTTTTTCATATTATTTTTTGTTGATTTTCTCATAAATTTTGAAAGATTATCATTTTTTATTTTAATTTTGGTATATTCTTTATTTTCTCTTTTTGATTTTAGTAAATTATCTTCTTTAGGTATTTTATTTATTTCTACTATATTGAAAATAAAGAATACTTTTTGTACTTTAATCTTAATTTTTGGAATGATCATTTATTGATTAAGCAAAAGAGACTTTATTAAATGTCTGAGCTGATTCATCTGTAATGAGATCTTCAGAAATATACTTTTCTATGAATTCTTAATTAATAGATTTAGTAAATGGAAATTACAAGGATGCTTTGATATTAATATATTTTAGAAATGCATCTTCAATTCTAGTTATATTCAAAGATTCAAGTGAATCTAAAATTTCAGCAATAGCATGAATAATTTAATAAATTTAATGTCTCATTTTTCTGACAGCTAAAAATGTTTCAATTTATTCATGATCTCTTAAATCTTAAATATTTTTGATTTCATAATATCCACTTATCTCTGTTGTATTAAATGTAAGATTGCTTGATAATGGTTCAACATGATTGATATTAAGTAATTTAAGAAAGAGGGCATAATTGAATTCTTGTTCATATGTTAATTATGTATAATCTAACCTTTTAATTTGAGCAAAAGTAATAGGATAAGTGGTCTTTTTGATTAAACCTAGCATATGTTCTAATTCAATTTATTAATTGGAGTTGAGACATTCAGTGATGAAGTTCTTACAGGAGTGAGCTAATTTGCAACGATGATAAGATATTGGTTGACCCTCTAATTTAATAGAAATGAGTCTTTGAAGTTATGGAATATCGAATAGGCCATTATTGATAGAATCAATTAATGTTTGATTTGGAGTAATAGAAAGGACTGGTAGGCCCATTTTGACTAAACTATTGAATAGAGATTCATAAAATGGTTTTCTGGATAGTAGGGCTTCAAGAATTTCTTGATCTGGAGTAACCTATTCTAATTGTGTAATGGATTGCTTATTTACATGGAGGGATAGATTAGCCATAGTAGTCGTTGGAGGAGGATATTTGAACAGACATAATAATAATTAGTAATAAATTAGCCCAAAATATTTGTGTGATAATTTGATTAAGAGAGAGCAAGACTTTAAATTAATTGTTAAATTAAGATGGGGGTAGATTTGATAATATTGATAAAATTTACATTATTCTATAATGTAGTTAAAAGAATAGTGTGTTTCAACAGTATTTGATATTTGAATATAAGTTATATTAATATAATTAATCAATTTATCATGAAATATTCTGGAAAGGATGACAAGTATATATGTGATTTTATTAATCTAATAGTCAAGAGAATTCAGATGATCAATAGAAAACAAGTATATCTCAATATTAAGCAAATAAATTGAAACAACAAGCAAAGGAAATGCATGATATGTTGTTGTTGTTAAAAGAAAACTTTGAAGATGAAGAATGTGACATATACTATATTTTGAGCAAAAAGTATATAGATGTATTTTTATTACTTAGTTGGTTTGATTAATGGAAATAATATGTATCATATGATTAGGTTGTAAATGATTAACCACCTGGCAATAAATTTGGATAAATAATTTTGCAAAATTATAATAATGATTTGCTAGAAACACGCACTAATGAATGCTTCAAATTTTATCCCCTTAGCTCTAACCCTTGGAATATATGGCTAAAACCTAATTTATAAGAAGACAAGGATTATATTGTGATTTCATAATAAATTTAGAATTATCTTAATTAACATTACAGAGGCACTCAGATTTTAAGAAATTCAATAGGATAGGGTAAAAATAAAAAAGTAGTTGTGAATTTGTTTAAGGTATATATATCATTTGATTTTATAAGTTCAATGCAACACTGATTATACCTAATACAATTATTTAAATTAGTTAAGATAATCTAATATAATTTGAAAAAGAATATTTATAAGCAGATGAAAGTTGTGTAATGAAAGATCTTTATGCAATAATATAAAAAACTGTACCTACTTTTAGGGGTAATTACAATAATCAGAATGGTGTTAGAATATGGAGATACAAAAATTAAAATGATCCATTTAAGGCATTATTTGCAGAAATCAAAAAATAAGTTTAAGATCTTGATTTTAATGATGATTAAGTATTTGATTTTTCAGGAGATCCTATTGAGAATTCACAAGATATTACATTAAAATCATTAAATCTAACTGATAATGATCTTGTTGTAATTGAAGTATTATATTAATTATATAAATAAGTTTTAACAAAGTTTTAAACCATGGTGTATTCGACATCCTTCTGTTCCAGTAGAAGGTAAATGTGAAGGTTGTGGTTCAATTAGTGAACTTCCTTTTCCTTGTATATGCAAAAAAGTAGCATATTGTTCTGAAAGATGTAAAGTAAATGATGAAAAATTTCATCTTCCAAAATGTGATCCTTGTGGTTCTGATGATGAATAAGTAAAATAGATAACTATTAATGATAAATCTGTAAAAGGAGTAGCTGGATTAGCTAATTTAGGAAATACATGTTTTATGAATAGTGGTACTCAATGTTTATCAAATACTTATCAATTGACAGAATATTTTATTACAAATAAATATTTTGATGAAATTAATGAAGATAATCCTTTAGGTACATAAGGATAATTAGTCAGAAAATATGCTTCACTTATAAAAAAATTATGGTGTGGTGATAAAAATGTTGTAATACCAACTAGTTTCAAAAAAGCAGTTGGATAATTTTAACCTATGTTTAAAGGATTTTAATAACATGATTCTTCTGAATTAATTACTTTTTTATTGGATGGATTACATGAAGATCTTAATAGAGTAAAAAAGAAACCTTATGTTGAATCAAAAGATAATTAAGGAAAACCAGACTTTGAAGTAGCAAAGGAAAGTTGGGAGAATCATCTTGCTAGAAATCAATCAATTATTGTAGATTTAATGCATGGATAATATAAATCAACTCTTAAATGTCCTACTTGTTCTTAAATATCTATTACTTTTGATCCATTTTTAACTTGTGGACTTAGTATTCCAAATAAAAAATAAAAGTCTATTTAAGTTAAAGTTATTAAATCAATAGTTTAAATTGAAACTAAATATTTAAATTTTGAAGGATCCAAAAAAACTATGTCTTTACTTGAATTTACAAAAGAATAGATTATTCCTGAATTTAAAATTGATCCAAATTCAGAATTACTATTTTATACATCCTTCTCTAATGATATTTAAGGTCTTATAGATCCAAAATCAGAAATTAATTCAGTAAGAAAGAATTCAAAGAGAGGATATCTTGTTGTGAAAATCATTAATGAAGAAGAAAAAGAGATACCTGCAGAGGATAGGATATATTTAAATTATTCATAAAAAGCTTTAGATGGATTTGGATAGTAATATAAAAGAACCATTTTTTAATAATTCTATGTAATTATTTCTAAAGAGTTTACTTTAAAATAAATACATCTTGCCATTTTTAAGGCTCTTCTTCCAATATTTTGTGATGTAATTTCATAAAATGATATATCAACTCCTGAATAATTGAGATAATACTATGAGTAGAATATTTAAGGAAAAGTAATATATATATATATATTTATAGTATTATAATATTAATTTCAGATCTTAAAGTGCTTATTGGTAATAATGTAGTTTTTGTAACTAAAAGAATTGTTAAGATTGTGAAGCAGATTATAAAGATGAAACTTATTAATAGATAAAAACAAAAGTGTTAGAGAATGATCAAAATAATAAGATTGAACTTATTATATTTTGGATTTAGAGTCCATTTTAACATGTAAAGCCAGCTGACATCTATTAATATTATCAAAATTAATAATATAAAAAATAGATGGAAGGTAATATTTAATTTATAATAATTATATAGAAGAAAGAAATGCCACTAATAATGATGAAAATAATGATAACTAAAAGACAAAATAATATGTTATGAAATCTTAGAATTATGCTAACAATAATTAAATTCAAAAAGTTACACTATAGGAATGTTTGATATAATCAGAATAACCAGAATAATTAGCTGAAGATAATGCATGGTATTGTAAGGTTTGTAAGGAACATGTCTAAGCATATAAAAGTATGTAGATTTATAAGGTATATTATATTATTAAATATAATAAAGGCATCTGATATTTTGATATTTACATTAAAGCGATTCAAAGCTTCAAGTGGATTCTTCAAGTAAAAGTTAGAGACATTTGTGGAATTCCCTGTAAAAGGTTTAGATTTAACAGAATTCATTTTGAATAAGAATAGACCTTTGGATTATGAGTGGGAATTAAAACAATAGTAAAAGATAGAAGAGGAATTACCAGAACAAAATGAGAACGATAAGAACGATGAGAAACTCTTATATGATTTATTTGCAGTATCAAATCATTTCGGAGGAATGGGAGGAGGTCATTATACTGCTTTTGGAAAGAACCACGTACTTTAAGTGTTTAGTGTTAGTTGAATGGAAATTGGTACAGTTTTGATGACGCTTAAGTGAGTGAAGTGGATGAAGATTAGATTGTAACTAAGAGTGCATATGTGTTATTTTACAAGCGTAGATCAAAACAATAAAATACACAAGACTTCAAAACACAAGATTGAAATTTATCTATGTTTGAGTTGAAAATATTTATGTATAATAAAAAATTAAAGTGGAAATCTGATTTCGAAAAATCTGTTATTATTGAGAACTTTTTGAATAGAGGATGGATTAAATCATAAGAAAAAGAGGATGATTCAACAGATTGGAATGTATATTGGGCAACTGTATGGAATGTAAGAAATATTTTTAATCCAAAAAATGGATTTAGATTAAATGATTAAGTAACTACATCATAATTGGTAGTAAATTATAAATCATTTTCCAAATCATTATGAATTAACTAGAAAAGATTATATGGTTAAAAATTTAAAACGATTTAAAAGAGAATAAGATAAAGAAACATATGAATAATAGGGATGGAATTTTGATTTTTTACCAACTACTTATATATTTCCAGGAGAATATTCCCTTTTTGTAGAAGAATTTCATAAATGTCCAAATTAAACATGGATTGTTAAACCTGCAGCACGTAGTTAAGGATAAGGAATATTCTTATTAAGAAAAATTCAATAATTAAAGAAAATTTCAGGAACCACTGTTACAAGCAATATGACATAACTTAATCTTGTATCTAAAGAAAATTATGTTGTTTCTAAATATATTGACAATCCACTCTTAATTGGTGGCAAAAAGTTTGATTTAAGAATGTATGTTTTAGTTATACTTATATAATAATATATATANAAAAGTTACACTATAGGAATGTTTGATATAATCAGAATAACCAGAATAATTAGCTGAAGATAATGCATGGTATTGTAAGGTTTGTAAGGAACATGTCTAAGCATATAAAAGTATGTAGATTTATAAGGTATATTATATTATTAAATATAATAAAGGCATCTGATATTTTGATATTTACATTAAAGCGATTCAAAGCTTCAAGTGGATTCTTCAAGTAAAAGTTAGAGACATTTGTGGAATTCCCTGTAAAAGGTTTAGATTTAACAGAATTCATTTTGAATAAGAATAGACCTTTGGATTATGAGTGGGAATTAAAACAATAGTAAAAGATAGAAGAGGAATTACCAGAACAAAATGAGAACGATAAGAACGATGAGAAACTCTTATATGATTTATTTGCAGTATCAAATCATTTCGGAGGAATGGGAGGAGGTCATTATACTGCTTTTGGAAAGAACCACGTACTTTAAGTGTTTAGTGTTAGTTGAATGGAAATTGGTACAGTTTTGATGACGCTTAAGTGAGTGAAGTGGATGAAGATTAGATTGTAACTAAGAGTGCATATGTGTTATTTTACAAGCGTAGATCAAAACAATAAAATACACAAGACTTCAAAACACAAGATTGAAATTTATCTATGTTTGAGTTGAAAATATTTATGTATAATAAAAAATTAAAGTGGAAATCTGATTTCGAAAAATCTGTTATTATTGAGAACTTTTTGAATAGAGGATGGATTAAATCATAAGAAAAAGAGGATGATTCAACAGATTGGAATGTATATTGGGCAACTGTATGGAATGTAAGAAATATTTTTAATCCAAAAAATGGATTTAGATTAAATGATTAAGTAACTACATCATAATTGGTAGTAAATTATAAATCATTTTCCAAATCATTATGAATTAACTAGAAAAGATTATATGGTTAAAAATTTAAAACGATTTAAAAGAGAATAAGATAAAGAAACATATGAATAATAGGGATGGAATTTTGATTTTTTACCAACTACTTATATATTTCCAGGAGAATATTCCCTTTTTGTAGAAGAATTTCATAAATGTCCAAATTAAACATGGATTGTTAAACCTGCAGCACGTAGTTAAGGATAAGGAATATTCTTATTAAGAAAAATTCAATAATTAAAGAAAATTTCAGGAACCACTGTTACAAGCAATATGACATAACTTAATCTTGTATCTAAAGAAAATTATGTTGTTTCTAAATATATTGACAATCCACTCTTAATTGGTGGCAAAAAGTTTGATTTAAGAATGTATGTTTTAGTTACAAATTACAAACCATTAAAAGTATGGATCTATAATAAAGGATTTGGAAGATTTTGCAATGAATAATATACTACTGATGTAGCTGAAATTGAAAACATGTTTGTACATTTGACTAATGTAGCCATTTAATAATATAGTGATAAATACTCAAAAAAACATGGTGGTAAATATTCTATTGATGCACTTAAATTTTATGTAGAATCAGCTTATGGTACAGAAGCATTCTAGAAAATGATAGATGATATTCATAATATTATTTTGACATCCTTAAAAGTACTATTCATTTATAATTTAAGTCAGTATAAGCTGTAATTTAGAATGATAAACACTGTTTTGAAATGTATGGTTATGATATCTTACTTGATAATAATTTAAAACCTTGGTTAATTGAAATTAATGCCAGTCCCTCTTTGACAACAACCACTCCTGTAGATAAGAATTTAAAATTGAATTTAATTAATGATGTTTATAATATTGTACTACCAAATGATGATTTTTCAGATAATTAATAGAAATGTAAAAAATATTTATATTCAAGAACAATAAATTAATAAAATAGGTGGTTTTAGTGTTTTATATGATGAAAGTTTAGATCTGATGAATCGTAAAACTCAAAAAAGACAAAGTGTCAAAATATGGAAATGAATTAATATTTTCTATATTTATACTATACTTTTTGTGCCAAATATTATATAATTAAATTTATTATAAACAATTATGGCACCAAAAAAAAAAGCATAAAAAAAAGAAACTTAACCAAGTATGATTTTATCATTATTTCATTAGGCAAAAAGTAACCAACTAAAATAGAGAAAGTTCAACCAGCACCTATAGTTCCAAGTGTTGTATAAACTAAATCTAAGAACAATAAACCAGACTTCTATTTTGTGATTCCATAAGATGAAGAGGAGCATTATAGAAAAGAAGTATACCAAAGGAGAGAGAATAGAAATAAAAGTTGCATAGATATGAATGAAATTAGACAGTACAATTATAATTAAAAGGAGGGATAATTTCGCGCCTCAAGAGATTCCTGTTATTAATAAGGTATCTTAAAAAATTGTGATTGAGTAAGAATGTACCAATGATACCTCGCAGTTATTTACATTGAATCAATCAGAGTTGCCTACTAATGCCTCAAGACAATTAAATAAACCTAAGATATTATCTATAAAACCAAAAAAATTACTTATGACTGTTAAACCTTAAGATGATACTATGGACATGGAAGATGATTGGTATGAAGAACTTAACAAGGATATCAATCATACTAAGCATTTTCTATTAGGAGTTCCAAAATAATAATCATTTCATAATGAAAAATCATTGACAACAGAAAGAAATTCAACTACCAAAAATACTAAAAAAATTGATCTTGATTTACAAATTGAACCTACTCAAACTTAAACAACTGTTAAATTAACTAAGGCTATGAAAACAAAATTAGATTCTATGAATGAATGTTACAATTCACTATTGGAAGCAACAGTTCCAGAAGAAATCTTGTGTAGAGATTAAGAAAAAGACTTAATTACTAAATTTATAGAAGATGGTATAAAAAATAATGGATAATCTTAAGCCTTATGTAATATTAATTTTTATTAATTTTAGATATATCTGGAGTCCCAGGAATTGGTAAGACTGCAACTGTTATGGAAGCATAAAAGAAATTATCAACTAAAAAAGATAATTTCTAATTTATATATGCAAATGCAATGAATTTTGGATTACCAGATAATATATATTCTTTTCTATTAGAAAAAATCACTAATATAAAGGATGCATCAAAAGTCTAAGCTTGCATTTTATTAAGTATTAATAACTCATTATAAATTTAGCTGAACTATTTACTAAAGGTTCTTTACCTACTACATACAAAGCATATGAAAAATCAGTAATTAAAAAGAATAGAGTTATTCTATTAGATGAATGTGATAATCTATTTACTCCTGATTAATAAGTATTATATAATTTGGTGGATTGGCCATAATAAAAACATGCAAAGCTTACTATAATTATGATTGCCAATACTATGGATTTCCCAGAGAGACTTAAACCAAAATTATAATCTAGACTAGGAAATCATAGAGTAGTATTTAGACCATATACCAGTGCTTAAATAGAAACAATATTATAATAAAGAATGAAAGAGAAGAAAATAAAAGAATTGTTTGCTTCTAACACTCTTAATTATCTAGGTAAAAAGATAGCAACAATTTCAACTGATATAAGAAAGACTTTATGTGTTTGTAGAAAAGCTATAGAAATTGGAAAAGAGGAACTTTAAAGAACTGGATAATTTAAATAAATTGAAGTCAATCATGTTAAATTAGCATATGATAGAATTTATAACAAAGCTTATCATGCATGTTTAAATTCATTTAGTAAATCTATGAAATTGACATTAATTACTACTGCTTTAGAAATTCATATTAAAGGATATAATATAGCTTATCTTTAATAAGTTCTTTAGAGATATAATCAATACTTAATACAAAATAAAGATGATCCTATTGGATATTAAGAGATGAAATAGATACTATTGAAATTGAGTGAATTAAATTTAGTTGAAATAAAAGAATAAAATATTCTATTGACCAAAACTTCTTGGTAATAGAAAGTGAATGTAAATAAATGTTTTATTTTAGGATTCACTATAGAAAGACAATTTGAGAAATATTAATGATGTAATGATTCATTTGAAAATTAATGTTGACGATATCAAGAATGGTCTCTCAAATGACACATTATTTTAATAGTTTTCTTAGTTTTTCTGATTTATTTAGAATTTATATTTTAATTATTTTAACAATCTATTTATATATTTTTATAAATATTAATCTATATATTATTAGAATACAGATTTATTATTCTACAAAATGTGATATTATATAATTGAAGTACATTATCTCCTTAGAATTAAAGTCATTTATTTAAATATTTATAATTTATATGATTATTACGAAAAATATAATAAATATGCATAAACTCTGATTATTTAAATTTAGAAATAAAGAAAAATTTAATAATGAATTACTCTTTAAGTGCTATCATATTATTTATGACACTTTAATGAAATTGAATCTTATCAACTAAAATTAATTTAATTCCTTTACTATTTAAATGATATTTTCTTGATACTTTTAGTATTCTTATAAAATTGATAAAATAATTGTTATTTTAAATTTCAATTGATTATTCATAGGTTGATTTAATTTATATTTCAATATATGTAGAATTTATTAATCTAATATATTTATTTATTTATATTTGCAACAAGAATAGATCAATATTTTGAATTATTAATTGTGAAAATATATTATCAGAAATGATAAATATATTTAATGAATATTGATATGTAATAAAGAGAAAAATGATTTAAATAATATTTAGTTAAATTAATTAGAATTAAGATGGAATTGGCTAATTAATGATTTCTATTTTGATCTGATTTAGTATGATTTTATAATTTATATACTTTTAATATGCATAGAAATAATTAAATGTCATATTCTTTTTAATTATTAATCAAAACCACTTATTAATAAGTGTAATATTAAAGAACTAAGAGATGAAGTTGGATTGGGTGTTAAAGAAATTTCTAAAAAAACATTTTAAGTAGTTATAATAAAATTAATATAAAACTCATTTATGAATTCATGGACTCTTTCCTTTATGGATTCAAATTTAGAATCCTAATTTTCACATGCACATTAAAAACATGTTCTAAGATGTTAAGAAAAACAAAGATGGTTAATTATTGTTATTTTAGCTCTTTTAATAATAGAATATGTGTTGGCAGAGTTTTGGATTAGTGTTGTAATTTGGGCATTTAGTTTAGGATTATTATTCATTTCATATAGATTTAGAAATTAATCGAAAATCATCTAAAAAATATTTTTTATCACAATAATTTTGTTACTTGCCATATATAAACAAAATTCTAAATTTTTTGATGGTATATCAAAGGAATAATTCAATATTGATTCAGTCCTTACTACATCTGTTACTTTTTGGTATAATTATGTTAAATAACTTAGTCTAATTAGAAATTTTAAAATTGTGAAATAATACTTAATTTTGATGATCATATTTTTGTTTAATATGGTAATTTAGTACAGAAATGTTGGTGTTTCAGCTTTCACAATATTATAAAATATAATATATATAGCTATGATTATTCAACATATGTATTAAAAAGAATAATATAGAAGAATTAATTATATTGAAGATATAAATTAAATCAACATTAATCAAATACTCTTTAATTAATTAAATCTATAATTATATAGAGTTGCTTATGATATGTCTTCTTGTCAACTTATATTATTACAAAGAAATTTATTATCATCAATAAATTAAGAGGATTAGATTGAATTTACTAATTAAATTAGATAGATTCAAATATCAATCAAAAAAAATAAGAGAATTTCAGAATAAATTGTGTTAAATCAAATTAATTAAAAAATGACTTTAGAATAATTTTTGGTATTGATATTAAACAATAAATCAACTAAATTAACTAAAGAGGTTTTGAATCAAAATGAATATTAATTAGTAGGTGTTCTAAATTTTGAAGATTTTTAGATTTCTATACATAGAACCTTTTATATTATGCCTAGTGTAATAATATTGATTAAAAAGAATTATAAAGAACATCAAATTGAAGAATTAAAATTGAAAAGAGATACACTTAAACGTGGATTAGATACAATATAGGATATATTTGTTACTAATATTAGACCTGTATTAATATATTATACTTGGATTAAATAAAATTCAAATAATTAGAAGGAAGCTTCTAAAATAAAAATATTACATAAAATCATATAAGCTAAACTTTATAAAGCATAACATGAATATTAAAACTTAAAAGACTTCTTTTAAATTAATAAATCATTTTAAAAAACAATTATATTATCATTTTCTATTGATAAGATAATGTAATTTATTATTGATATTGTTTGTGATAATCTTTTAAATAAGAAAAATTTAAAAATATAATTTATTAATAAATTATAACTGAAGGAAATTAATTAAGATTAAGCTTAATTTATTTAATTATTTTTCAATTTGTTATTTTTTATTTCTGAAAAATCAGAGGATATTAAAATTACAATTAAAGATTTTTAAATGCCTGAAATCATACATTAAATACTATAAGTGAAAATAGATTATATAGGTCATCCTATATCTAGATAATTCTTATAAAAATTGCCAATAATTAATCCTGAAAATTTACAAGATTATATTCATAATAGTACAGGAACATTTAGTCTTGATTTGCCAATTGCATTAATGATTATAAGGAAATTAGGACCATAAGATAAATTAATATGGAAATAAGTAAATAGAGGTGAGATTTCATTAGAATTTTATCTATATAGAAATCTTCCAAGTGATCTTCATCTATTACCTGTAATCTCTTTAAAACCTCACAAAAACATTATATATAAATCTAGTCAAACAAGAAGAAAAACTCTAATTTATGATCATATATATGAAACTGCTCATTTACCTGCCATTTAAACAGATAGAGAATTAATATGAACAATTTTATGTGTTGTTTTATACATATAATTATATTTAATATAAATGAATCATTATGAGATATTATCATATATTTTTTCTACATATATTAATGTCTTTAAAAAACTATCTTCTCCATAAACTGATTAGGGTGGTAAAATGTAAGGTAATTATCTTATAATAAAAAAACGATTCTTAAAAAATCGAAATAGTAAAAAAGATGCTAAACATTAATAGATAACAATAATAGAAATAAATAAAGCAAAAATTAATTTTCTTGTATTAATTTCATCCTCAAATTTAGATATTAAATATGATTGTCCTGAAGACATTATATTGTCAAATCCAATACTGATGAAACTTAAACCAAATAAATCTTGAATATCAATATTTGTTATTAAATCCTTATTATAATTATTTTGAATATTTTCTCTTACTTTTTAACTAAAGTAATCTATAGAATGGATTAAACCTTATGTTAATTTTCCATCAATTACAATTTTACACATCTCATCTTTGATTAAAATACATGCATCTGTAGTTAAGTATTACAATAAATCATAGTAACTTGTTTTTGATTAAGATGATAATTGTTAAGTATAGGCTAAAACTTCAATATAAGATTCATTAACTAATTATTTATATTAATCAATCACCTATTCACCTAATCTAGCATTTTATTTAGAATTAGAATATCTTCTTAAAACTGAATCAGACATCATCATTTCATAAAATTATTCAGTATATATGATATTTTAATTGAATAGATCTAAATTACTTTATAAATCATTAATATTCTGAGAATTAAACAATTTAACTGTTAAAAAATAAGTAAAACCTAATAAATATGTGATTACAGAAAATAAAAAAAAAAATCTTTAAAAATTAGGTTTATCATCTGTTATTAGAAATTGCTTTTTTTATTCTAATTATTAAACTATTTATTGATAACGTATAGATATCCTTTTATTTCCAAAGAAATCAGTAAAATTAGTTGTTGGATTACATTTATCTTTAAATTAAAACTAATATTTATATAGATTTAGATCAGAAGATTACTAATAATGATGTTATAATGAAAGTAATCTAATAGATTCTGTTTCTAATGCTTTGAAAGATATCTATTCACAACTTCTAAGAATTCTATTCAAAAGTTTAAATGCTTAAGAGAATATTACAATATAAGTCAAAATAAATAGTATTTCAGCTAAAGAAAATATAATTAAACAGAGATTCTATTAAATTTCCAATTCAGAAACATTAGAATTTAATTAATCTTAAAATTTGATAGTTAATTCCTCATATGTTTCTTTATGTACTTAATATTATCTTATCAAAGAAGTCAATGAACTATTAAATCTTTTAATTGTTGTCTCATTATTCAAATCTATTCCATATAAACCTTATAACATATAAATTACATAGAATTATTCTGTCCATGCACTCACTATTTGTTCACTTTCACTAAATACATCATATTAATATATATTTATAGTAGATAATGTTGATTTAACAAGACTGTCATCTAAATATTCTTGATAATGTGATAAATAGATTAAACTATTATTTTTTACTAATTCAAGTAACTTATCTTAATAATTTATATCTGTAATTCTATATTCTTCAAATTAACTAGTATCTATTCCTATTGCCAATAATGTATTTTTAGTGTAATCTGTAGTTACAAAGGCTTTTAAAATATCAACAATTTTCATGTTATCTTGCAATTTATCTTTGAAATTATAGTAGAATATATGAGATAAACTTAGAAGCAAAAATAAATTCAAAACATCAACTAGCAAAATGATATTTATTAATCTTGGATTATTACCTTATGAAGAGAATTTAGTGTATAATTGTGTTTTTTATAATATTGAAGGAAATCCATTATTAGGAGTTGTAGCTGTTTGTGTAATTCTAATATCTTGTTCTTTTTGAATTTGTTAATTTTCTGATTGATTATTTTCTACATCAATCGATTTTTTAGATACTGATTTATAAAAGTATGATTATTAATCTTTTTATTAAGGTCGTATTTATTAAAGACTTCTGTTAATTTATTATAATTTTTGTAAACTTTGGCCATCTATTTAAACACTGTTAATATTTTAATCTAAATGTATAATGTTTGGTATCTAATTTTTATCTTCGTCAATTATTGATAAAAGATCTCTTTAAGAGTCAAAAGGACTATGAAAATTAGGACCAATCTAAAATTAATATTCTTGAAAATTGATTGAATGATTAAGTTTTTATTCACTTATATTAGAAAATTCACAATTTTGATCACTATTAGAAAACATTCTATCTGTTTATTTTTCTGATCCAGAAAGATCTCTATTAATTGATGGATCAAAATTAGTTTCTGTTCTTGATTATAGATTTCTTGATGATTCTATCCAGATTTAACTAGTATTATCTGCAAATGTTATTTTCTATAATAAAATTAAGTATGATTTATATTCTTTTTAATTGATTTTTCCAATTGTCATAATAAATTTACAAGATATACAATATATATCTGGAACTGCACCTTCTTTAGGAATTCTAACTAATAAATCATCAGCAGAAACAGAAAAATGATTTAAAATTTATTCAGCTTCACTATAATCTAATTTTTATGAACAACTTCCTTATTCTTAACGTAATGCTTCTTATTCTTAGAATTTCTTTTCTTTACCATTCAAAAGATCTAAATACTTTTTGAAATTCTGAATTAAATAAAATATCTTTTTTTAATATAATGATTTGCCATTTTTCATTTTAAATTATTCTAAAGCCATAGTAGATATACCTTCAATTCTTAATTCATGATTTAAGAATATATGTCCTTTAACATTTTCATATGCTCCATCTGATCTAATTTGTTTTAAAAAACAGTAAATTGGAAATGTATCCCCTTATATATTGAAACATATATCAATAAACATTTCTACAAATATCAAATCCTTATTCTTTTTATATCCTAATAATCCTCTTTTTTTTCTTAAAATTTATGGTCTATTAGTTAATAAAAATATCTCAATCAATTAATCATGTATAGCTGATAAATGAGGAATAACTAATTAATGAACAGTCAAAACTTCATCTTTAAATTCTCTTTATCCATATCCAAACATATGAGGAGCATTATTTGAAAATTAAATGATTTCTCCTCTTGATATTTTACCTTTTTAAGCATGTCTTGCTAGATTAATTTTGAAATAACAAACTTTTGCACCTTATTAATAATTATTTGGTACATTAAATTCAAAGAATTTATAATTCTTAGTTTTCAATTAATTTCTCAATCTAATGAATTTATCAAAATCATTTAGAATTTCAAGTGAATAAAACATATATATTAAAATACTAGTTCTTGAATATGAAAATTGATTAAATTATTCTATTTTATGGATTACATCTAAATTATACATTACCATATTATTGATTACTTAATAAAGATTTTCATAATTGTATTTAGTATCAATTAATTTTCTAATAAATTCATATTTCATTTAAATATTATTAAACATTTGAGATATTAGTCTATCTCTTCTTACTTCTGTTATTCGATAATCCTTGTATTATAATGCTGCTTCAACTTCATCAATTTTTACTAAAGGATTCATCTTTTATAAAATTTAATGTTTTATATAACTCAATAAAACAGACATAGCTACATTATATGATTGATTCTTTAAATTAATTAACTTCTCCTTTATTTCCATAACTAATAATAATATTTAATAACATTCTTCTGAAGTTCCAAGATAAGTTAATAATTATGTTATTCTTATCATATCAAAATTTTATTTTTCTTTTTCCAATTCAAATATGAGTTTTGCATAATATCTAATATATCTTTTTATTAATTCAACTTAAATTTAAATATTTTTTATTTTAATTGATTTATATATTCTCATTTCTAATTCATAATAATTATTTTCTATAATTCTTCTTGCTTCTCCTCTAAATCCTTTACAATAGCAATAAACATTGTCACATTATAAAATATGTTATTTCAATAAAACTATTACATTTAATAGAAATTTAGATCTATTTATATTGATAACAGAATTATCTTTTTCAATCATTTATTGATCATCAAGTTTCATCAAATCAACTAATCTCAGATAATGAATGAAATACATAGAATTTTGATTTTATAAATATTCAATTTGAATTTATCTTTAATTATTCAATTCTTTTTCTATAACAAATTATTATTCTTCTTCAACAAGAAGTCCAGTTTTTGATTGAGTCTTTATTTTTGATTTCTATTTTTCTTTATATTATGAATCATATAAAATTTATTCATTTTTATATTTTTAGATTTCATTCAAAAATCTTGAAATTAATGGTACTGCTATAAGAGAGATAGATATAATTTCTATTTGATTTAATTGAAAAATTAATGATACTGTAATAGTTATTGTAAACGGAATAATTATAAGGATAGTTTTAGTTTTATATGTCTCCATAAAAGGAAGACAAATAAAGAAATCAAATAAATTACCAATTTATAGGATAATTATTATAGCATTGTTAAGATAAAAATGTGTTGAATTATTATCATAATCACTTTCTGAATATATTATGAAATAAAACTACTAAATGATAATTGGTAAAACTATAATAAGTTATGATAGATTAAACCAAAAAGATTTAATTAAACGAAGATGATTTTGATCTCTAATTGTATATGTTTGTTGTATTTACATAGATAAATACCAAACTAGTACAGTTCCAATATTTGTTAAGATACTAAAAAAGATAAATAGTCCAAGATAAATACTATTCAATTTTTCATCAAAAAATATTATCTCCCATATCACAAAATTCCATATAAGTAATGGTATTACTATAATATGAGGGTATATATTTAAAAATGAAGCTTATATAAATTTCTCCATTTATTTAAATGAGGATTATTCATTACCCATGAATTGTTTTTAAAGAAAGTATTCAATATAATTATGCATATTATAAGAACGATTTAAGAGATTTAGATTGTCTAAATTGATATATTAAATACATTACAATTAAGGTTATCTTGATCATCTATAGAAGAACAGTATTTAATTGTAGAATACTCTAATTTCTCTTTGTGCATTTCGAAAATTGTAAATAATATAGGTCCAAAAAGGAAAAAGACTATTAAAGATTGTATTACTATAATCCCAGAATAAGGTAAACTTTCAAGTAGTAAAATAGTAGGAATAGTTATTTTTGACATCAATTCAAATAAGGAATATTGATCTGATGATTTAATATTACGATCAAAAATTCTAATTTAAAGAATTTCAATTATGACTTTGAATAGAAAAAGTAATGCTAATTTTTAAAAATGTGCAACTACTTCAATAAAGATCCAAATATATTTAGAATCCCTTGAAAGTATGATTTATGAAAATCCAATAGTAAATTATTAATACTCCAGCCAATATTACTTTATCATTTATAATAAATGATTAAATTTGGATCAAATTATGCTTCAAAAATATAGCATCTATATTCAAATAAGCCATTCTCTTTTGCAGTATAAGAATTAATTAATCTATTAGATAATTGGAAGTGGTCCAGCAGGTCTTTATACAGCTAAACATTTATTTAATGATATTGAGAATATTAATATTCATGTTTTTGAATAAGATATTTGTCCAACAGGATTGATAAGATATGGGATGGCTCCAGATCATTAGAGAATTAAACGAGTAGCAGAAGAACTTTTAACAATTAAATAATATGAATAATGTCATTATTTTGGAGGAGTTTCTATTGTAACTAAGTATTAATAAAAAAGGGTAAAGATATAAGTATTAATGAATTGGATCAAATGTATTCAGGTGTCTTTTATGCTTTTGGTGCATAGATTGATAAACAATTAAATATTAAAGGAGAGTAATTATAAAATGTATATTCTGCTCGTTAAATTGTTAATTGGTATAATAGTCATCCAGATTATTATGATATTGATATTAATTTTAAGAATAAAAATAATATAGCAATTATAGGGTGTAATTAAATTATTAATTTATAGAAATGGTAATGTTGCTCTTGATATTGCTAGAATATTTGGATTAAATTAAGATGAATTACATAAAACTGATATTAATGAGATATCTATATAAAAATTAAAGAATAATCAAATAAATAATGTAGAATAATTTTATAATAATAGATTATTATATTAGGAAGAAGAGGTTTGGTTTAATCTTAATTTTCATTAAAAGAATTAAGAGAAATGACAAAATTCTCATAATTTAGATTTCTATTATATAAACCAGATTTACTTTGGAGTTTAAATGAGGAAAGTCAAACTGAATGTAAAGATTTAGGTATTAATTATGGGAATGTGGTATATTATTTATAATGAATTTAGACAAGAGGGAATAGAAGAAAATTAGAATTTATGAAAAGTTTTGAAATAATTGAAGATGAAGTTACAATGAATGCTATTTTAAAATAATAAAATAATAATGGAAAGATTAATATTATATTAAGATTTTTATTGACTCCTCTTGAAATAGAGAAAAAAGATGATAAATTAAATTTGAAATTATAACATAATTAATTATCAGGGAAACCATTTAATTAAATAGCAATACCATTAAATTAATAAACAAATTTAGAATGTGATATGATTATTAAATCAGTTGGTTATTAGTCTCATAAGTATTATTATTATTAATTATATAGTATTGATAATGATTTACCATGGAACCATGAATAAAATATAGTAGATAATTCTGATGGATGTATTAAAAAAGACCATTAAAAATTGAAAACAGGATCATATACTTGTGGTTGGATTAAAACAGGTCCTAAAGGAGTAATTGATTCTACTTTTGCTTCATCTTAAGAGACTATAGTAAATTTTAAGAATCATATGGATGCTGATTTAATTAGAAATGTTAATGATCCATATTAATAAGTGGTAAATATATTAAGATAGAGATCAATTAATTATATTGATTTTAAAGTTTGGGATAGAATCAATGAATATGAGATCTAATAAGGATAAAAATAATAGAAACCAAGAATAAAAATAACAAGAAATAAGGACTTCTTATAATTTTTATGATTATTATGTTTGTATATTTAACATAAATATATTTAATTCAAAAATGTATATGAGATCAATTATGAAATTGAGATAAGCCTTTTCAGGTATATATTTAATGTGAGTGTCATAAGTCTTAACCAAATATACTAAAGATCATGAATGGATTAAATATGATACATAAACAAAGATTGCTAAAATTGGAATTACAGATTATGCATAAAAAGAATTAGGAGATATAGTTCATGTTGATTTCCAAAAAGTTGGATTTGTATTCAAAACACATTAATCATTGGGAGCAATTGAAAGTGTAAAAGTTGCTGCTGATATTTATGCTCCTGTTGCTTGTGAAATAGTTGGAGTAATTTACTTATTAAATATTAGATAAATGAAGATTTAAAAGATTCTCCTAATTTAATTAATGAGAAGGCAGAAGAAACATGGATATTATAAACTAAAGTGTAAAATGAAGCTGAATTAGATACATTATTAGATAAATCATCATATGATAAGATCATTAATAAATGAGAATAATATTAGAAATACATCATAAATCTAACATAAGTATTCTATAACCATTTAATATATATATTAATCACATTAAATTTATTAATTCAAAATATTATCCCTAAATGATTTTCTCTAATCCATCCACAACAATTAATCACTCTCTCATAATCCATAATTGGTTATTCTACAAAATATTTAATAATTCTTTATCCTTAATTATTTTATTCATTTGTTCTCTCTTAATTATCCAAAATTGCTTCAATCAATAATTCATCATCTGTTAATTATTTACCATTAATCTTAGCCAAATAATAATTCTCTTCTACTTCAGGAAGTTAAGCAATCCTTTTCTTAATTAACTAATAAAATTATTAAATAATAATATTTACTTCTTCAATTCTTTTCAAATCAAGTTATAATGGTCCTTAACTTAATTTTTTATAAAATTCTATTGCTTGATAATACTTTCTAGTTCTTAATAATTTTTTAACAAATTCTATTAATATTTATAAGTCTGCTAAATTCTTAATTATTTCATTTACTATATTATCCTATTCTGGTGTAAATTCAATCTATAATAAATTCAAAATATCCTTCTAATTTATCATCTATCTAATAAAATATTTTAATGCTTATTCTTCTTTCAATTCTGTAACATAAACATATGCTTACAAAGATCTTTTAGATGCTATCAATAATTTAATAATAATGTCACTATTGCTTAGACAATTCCAATCAATCTTACTTGCTAATAATAATTCATAAGCATTTTATTCTTAATGTAATTCCATTAATTCTTCAATTACTAATAATTTCCAATTCTCAATCTCAAAATAATATAACATCATTAGTTTAACAATATTAGGAAATTATTATATTGGATCTTTATCCATTAATAATATTGCTTAATAAAGCTAAACATATTTCCCTCTTACAATATCTATTTCTTAAATTTCTTAAGTATATTAAATGTATGTTATTATTAATTCTTATTGATAAATTGTTAATTCTGACATCATTTTTAATAATTATTTTTATGATTCTTCTTATAACATCTATTATATTTCTGTCTTACAAAGAATAACCTTTCTTAATAGTTTATTTTTATCTTCATTCAAATATTCAAAAATATATTTCCAATTCTATATATAAAATTCAAAGTTTCTCAATACACAATTTATATCATTTATTTTACTAAATTTCTATTATAAATTCTCAAAATCTCTTTATGCAATATTAGAAGGAGGTAATTTATTGATTTCCTTTTTTTTTCTATCTATTTTTTTTAAATAAATTTTATACTTAAAATTGAGTTAAAGAGTTTCACAATACGATTTGATATCTATTTCTAAAATTGATTTTATTCTATTGCTAAATCAAGTAATTCATTCTGCATCTCATATATTATATGAGCCACATCTTCAAGTGTTTTCAAGTAAAAATAACCATTTAATGGTGATTAATCCCGCCTATATAGTAATTTGATTAAAATATCTAAACCAATATCATATTTTAACATTGTAAATAATAATTTCTTTCTTTCCTGTTAATATTCTTAAGGTGATATCACTTCAGGATTTATATTCAATTCAATTGTGATTTTATCCAAAATATCTGGTAAAATCATAAAGTTCATATCAAAGAAGTAATGATCTTAATTAGCTATCAAGGTATCCTCTTCTACTTTTAAGAGATTAAAGTTCCATCTATGTTATTATTAATTTTAAGGGATTTCTTGATCCATTTAATTTATTTATTTAAAGACTAAAAAAATAACTATTAAAATATACAACTATCCTATTTTAATGAAATAAAAAATCAAATTTGATGAAACACTATATGCAGATGTAGAATATTTGGATGATAAGGGTAATTTTGATTTTAAGAAATTTGCTGATGCTGCATCTGAATCAAAGAAAATATAAAATAAAGATAAAGCTTAAAATAATTTCATACAAATTTAATAAAAATGGGATCAATAAAGATAAGCTATCAAAAATCAAAAAATGGAAATAAAATCTAAACCTGTTAATGAAGTAAATNTTTTAGATGCTATCAATAATTTAATAATAATGTCACTATTGCTTAGACAATTCCAATCAATCTTACTTGCTAATAATAATTCATAAGCATTTTATTCTTAATGTAATTCCATTAATTCTTCAATTACTAATAATTTCCAATTCTCAATCTCAAAATAATATAACATCATTAGTTTAACAATATTAGGAAATTATTATATTGGATCTTTATCCATTAATAATATTGCTTAATAAAGCTAAACATATTTCCCTCTTACAATATCTATTTCTTAAATTTCTTAAGTATATTAAATGTATGTTATTATTAATTCTTATTGATAAATTGTTAATTCTGACATCATTTTTAATAATTATTTTTATGATTCTTCTTATAACATCTATTATATTTCTGTCTTACAAAGAATAACCTTTCTTAATAGTTTATTTTTATCTTCATTCAAATATTCAAAAATATATTTCCAATTCTATATATAAAATTCAAAGTTTCTCAATACACAATTTATATCATTTATTTTACTAAATTTCTATTATAAATTCTCAAAATCTCTTTATGCAATATTAGAAGGAGGTAATTTATTGATTTCCTTTTTTTTTCTATCTATTTTTTTTAAATAAATTTTATACTTAAAATTGAGTTAAAGAGTTTCACAATACGATTTGATATCTATTTCTAAAATTGATTTTATTCTATTGCTAAATCAAGTAATTCATTCTGCATCTCATATATTATATGAGCCACATCTTCAAGTGTTTTCAAGTAAAAATAACCATTTAATGGTGATTAATCCCGCCTATATAGTAATTTGATTAAAATATCTAAACCAATATCATATTTTAACATTGTAAATAATAATTTCTTTCTTTCCTGTTAATATTCTTAAGGTGATATCACTTCAGGATTTATATTCAATTCAATTGTGATTTTATCCAAAATATCTGGTAAAATCATAAAGTTCATATCAAAGAAGTAATGATCTTAATTAGCTATCAAGGTATCCTCTTCTACTTTTAAGAGATTAAAGTTCCATCTATGTTATTATTAATTTTAAGGGATTTCTTGATCCATTTAATTTATTTATTTAAAGACTAAAAAAATAACTATTAAAATATACAACTATCCTATTTTAATGAAATAAAAAATCAAATTTGATGAAACACTATATGCAGATGTAGAATATTTGGATGATAAGGGTAATTTTGATTTTAAGAAATTTGCTGATGCTGCATCTGAATCAAAGAAAATATAAAATAAAGATAAAGCTTAAAATAATTTCATACAAATTTAATAAAAATGGGATCAATAAAGATAAGCTATCAAAAATCAAAAAATGGAAATAAAATCTAAACCTGTTAATGAAGTAAATAAAAAGTAAATGGAAATAATAGATGAATTAAAAAAAAGAAAATCCAAATTATAGAACTTAGTCAAAAATTCATAAAATATTGATAATTAAATAAAAGAAACTAGTCATAAAGTTGCTTAAATTAAAAAACAACCTTCTATTTAAAAAGTAGCTTAATAAATTGATAAATTATCTGCAGATCAAGCTTAAATTCGACTCTTTAGATTTGATTAAATGGAAAAAGTTCTATTTCAATGAAAATTTATAAGACTTATTATTATTATCATTAATGTTTTATAACTTTATTTTTTTCTTAATTACTTATCTTAAGACTTGTTAAACTGTATTATCGTGTATATTTATTTGGGTTCTCAAAATTAAACTCACAATTAGATCTTCCCTTATTATTATATTTCAATCTATTATGAAACCACAAATTTATATCGAAATTTTTATAGTCTTACAATATCTAAATTCCTTCGAGAGCTTACGAACAATCTATTCTTTCATTTGGATCTGATTTTAGAAATAACTTAACTAAATCAAATGGTGAACCACTCTCTTTAATTGTGTATTAACACTATTTATTATAGTAAATAGTTGCTTTTTAATTATCACCTTTGAATAAACTTTCCAACGTTAACAATTAGTAAAAGATACACCCTACACTAAATAAATCTACTTTAAAATCATATTTAGCATTCTTATTCCAAGCATTAAGTACTTCAGGAGCAGAGAATCCAGCAGTACCACATGTTGGATATTATTCAAGTTAATTACCATTTAAACATGCCAAACCAAAATCAATAATTTTTATTTAGTTATTATGATACATTAAATTGGCTGGTTTAAGATCTCGATGTATAATTCCAGCTGCATGAATAGTTTATAATCCCGTTAAAATTTACTAATAAATTTAAATCTTTATTACTTCCATTATATTTAAAGATTCTTATAATGAAAAGGGCTTTTATTTATATTCTAGAATTTATTTGAGATTGGAACCAGGAATATATTCTGTTACAATATAATAATTGTGATCATCCTTATATATTTCTTATATCTCTAAAATATTCTAAGAATCTTTTAGTTTTTTTAAAATGTCGATTTCATTTTTTATTGTTGGACTTTGATTGTTCTCAACTTAAATGCATTTTATAGCCACTAATTTCTATGTAAATCGACAAATTTCTTTTGTAACCTAAATAATAATTTTAAAGTAAACCTATCCAAATGAGCCTTATTAAATAATCTCTTCTTTCTTATAAAACTTATCTATTTTCTCATAACAAACCAATAATCCCATTTTAATCTTCAAATTCAAAATTTCATTAGCGTTTCCAAAAAATTCTTTAATTTGTCCTTAATATGGAAGTTAAAATCCAATAATTTTGTTATCTTTAACTATCCAAAAGAATACTTTATCTAAATTAAGTGCATATCTATATTTAGGATTCTATTGAGTTTGTTTCTATTGGATTAGATAGTATTCTTACTTCGCAAAGTGTTAAACATTGGTTAGTTAATTACAAATAATATTTCCTATTTAGAAAAAAGTGCTTTCTTTCAACAACACATTAATACAAAATCTGAATTTTTGTATCTGATGAATTTTATTATTAAGATCGATGGTGAATAGGATGTTTTTACATTTATTAATGTTAATATACAAAGTATTTCAATTTATAATATTTTATAGTATTTTATATTATTTAAGAAAAAATTATACAAAAATGAACTATTGTTTTAATTAAATGAGTAAGGTATATATATGTATAACATTAAGATTAAACTGAATTTTAAATACATTAATTAATTTTTATCAGGTTTTTCTTTTAAACTTAGCAACAACAAAATTCATCACTTTCCATTTATAGAACTAATTGGAAATGCCATTCATTCTTTTTTATCATTTCAATATTATTAAGAATGATCTTTTTGATGCTTATTTAGTACATCACCTTAAAGGCTTATATGTTTTTTTAATAAATAATTTTTATATAAGGGTCTAANTCCAAGCATTAAGTACTTCAGGAGCAGAGAATCCAGCAGTACCACATGTTGGATATTATTCAAGTTAATTACCATTTAAACATGCCAAACCAAAATCAATAATTTTTATTTAGTTATTATGATACATTAAATTGGCTGGTTTAAGATCTCGATGTATAATTCCAGCTGCATGAATAGTTTATAATCCCGTTAAAATTTACTAATAAATTTAAATCTTTATTACTTCCATTATATTTAAAGATTCTTATAATGAAAAGGGCTTTTATTTATATTCTAGAATTTATTTGAGATTGGAACCAGGAATATATTCTGTTACAATATAATAATTGTGATCATCCTTATATATTTCTTATATCTCTAAAATATTCTAAGAATCTTTTAGTTTTTTTAAAATGTCGATTTCATTTTTTATTGTTGGACTTTGATTGTTCTCAACTTAAATGCATTTTATAGCCACTAATTTCTATGTAAATCGACAAATTTCTTTTGTAACCTAAATAATAATTTTAAAGTAAACCTATCCAAATGAGCCTTATTAAATAATCTCTTCTTTCTTATAAAACTTATCTATTTTCTCATAACAAACCAATAATCCCATTTTAATCTTCAAATTCAAAATTTCATTAGCGTTTCCAAAAAATTCTTTAATTTGTCCTTAATATGGAAGTTAAAATCCAATAATTTTGTTATCTTTAACTATCCAAAAGAATACTTTATCTAAATTAAGTGCATATCTATATTTAGGATTCTATTGAGTTTGTTTCTATTGGATTAGATAGTATTCTTACTTCGCAAAGTGTTAAACATTGGTTAGTTAATTACAAATAATATTTCCTATTTAGAAAAAAGTGCTTTCTTTCAACAACACATTAATACAAAATCTGAATTTTTGTATCTGATGAATTTTATTATTAAGATCGATGGTGAATAGGATGTTTTTACATTTATTAATGTTAATATACAAAGTATTTCAATTTATAATATTTTATAGTATTTTATATTATTTAAGAAAAAATTATACAAAAATGAACTATTGTTTTAATTAAATGAGTAAGGTATATATATGTATAACATTAAGATTAAACTGAATTTTAAATACATTAATTAATTTTTATCAGGTTTTTCTTTTAAACTTAGCAACAACAAAATTCATCACTTTCCATTTATAGAACTAATTGGAAATGCCATTCATTCTTTTTTATCATTTCAATATTATTAAGAATGATCTTTTTGATGCTTATTTAGTACATCACCTTAAAGGCTTATATGTTTTTTTAATAAATAATTTTTATATAAGGGTCTAATATAGTTGTAGTTTTTAACTTATTCATGTTTTTTTTAATTTAAGTATTATTATTAGAATTAGAATATTTGGTTTATTTATAAATTAATCTTTCTCAATTTTTTTGATTTTTAGTAAATCCTTTTATATAATTGATATTATCATGCAAATGTTTAGTATTTAATTTATCTAGTATCAATCATTTAAAATATATTTTAATAAAAAATTTCTATAAATTAAATACTATTTATTATAATTACTCATAATTCTTTTTGTATAATTAATATTTAACATATTATTTTACAATTAATTACTCATTATTTAGCAGCATTTGATAATATACCTCTGAATATTTTAGATCCACCAAAATTAAGTACCTAGATATTATCAATATATATACTGGTGATTATTATTTGCTTGTTTTTTTCCTTTCATTTCTTTATTTATTATTTGCCGGTTTTTACTCAACAGATTATGATCTTTCTTTTCTTTCTTCAGGAGTTGGTGGTAAATTCACTGGATTTGGCATAGGAGTAATAAATTAACCAAATTATTCTTTTTTCTTTTTTGTTTTGTTCTGATTATCAGATCTTCTTGCCTTTTCTTTATTTTCCTTAATTAAATGATTTATAAATACTTTTTAAACTTTTTTATCATTTTCTTTTTAGGCGGCTAAAATAAAGTTTTTATATATCAAAGAATCTCTAACTAGTTTGATTTAGATCAAATTTTTGAAATAAGAATCAAGTAGCTATCTTCTTTGTTCTATAAGTTAAATATTAGAATTGACAGATTTCCACCAATATGATCCTGGGAAAGCAGGTAAGTCTGCTTTTAATGTTTCTAGAGTTTCATGAAGCTTTTTAAGTTCTGAATATCGATAATGATATTCAAACATTTAAAGTGACTTTTAGTTTTGAAACCTAAAAATTATAATTGATATATTACTGAACTCGATATTAGACTAAATCCTCATTTTTCTTGAATTCTGGGACTGTAATGAGGATGTCTATTTCATTATCTAACATAAACTTTTCGATTAAATTCACAAATATATAAAAATAATTTATTTATTTCTTTAGTAAAATTTGTTTTAAATTTTAAGAAATGTATAAATAAATAATATTATTGAATTATTCTATGTTCTAAATGAATAATTAATGTAATGAATAAATTATATTAGATACTTAAACTAATAAGTAGTTTGAGTATTATAATTATAAACAAATTTGATTCATTTTTGATATTTTTAATTAGATTCTTCTTGTTATTATTGTAATAACTATTTTAAAAATTTAACTTCCTCTTTTAAACTATTTTTTTCTTATTTCCAGAGTGCTTCCTTTGTTTGATAAGAATTCAAGATTTTAGAGGTTTTTAAATATAATTCTTAGAGATGATTTTAATTTTATTATTTTGAAAGTGATATTCTTTTGTTTTCAACTGAATGTATTTTATTATCTTTAACTTTTTTATCATTTTTTTCATCTTGATTTCGAGCAGTACCATTCTCTAATATAAATTAAACTCATACATTTTTTATGACTTTTTTATTGTATATATTATCTTAAGACTTCGTTTAATGATCCAAATACATTCATATGAGTCTATTTTGAATGAGTACTTGTAAAAAAGCCTAGAATTATAAACAAATATACCTGATGCAATTTTATTCATATTATTGGGACTTCTTTAAAGACTTTTGGATGTCATAACATTTTTTTCTTTAGCATTATCATCATCTTGTATAAAATCACCTAGTTAAGGAGGTCTTTTCTTTTTATAATCAAGTTTTGTGCTTTATTCCTTTTAAGGTTGATTTATTTAAGGTTAAAGTAGTTAATTTAAAGAATTTCCATTTCTTTTTATGGTATTTTCTTTTACATTTTGATTTTGTTTTAAAACATGAATTAAATCATTTTTTACATTCCCTTAAGGTTTAACATTTAATGATGCTTTATTTATACTATGTCTTAAAAGAGACTCTATTCCTTTTGAAGGACTTGGAATTTTTTATTTTTGTCTATTGTTGATGACATCTTATTAAGCATTACTCATATATTGCTAAGATTTTTAATTGCTTTTAGAGTCTGAGTGTTCATGATTACGTATTTCATGTGAATAAATTGGTGAATTTACAGATAATAGTTTCTGTAAAGCGGTTAATGCTTTAGGTGTTATTTACATAAATAAATATTATTTACTATATTATAAGAATAAAATGATAACGAATAATATTATCATTAAATAATCATTTAAAAATAGTATCATTATGAATTTACTAATCTATTTTTGGTTCACTTTAATTACTTGCTTTATCAATTGATCTTTAAACAGAATGATGATATTTATCATCATTTTCTTCTTGAATAATATCTAAGTTTTCATTATAAGCAATGACTTTTTTAGTAATGAAACCTTGAATTTCCAAATTATCTTATTAATTAATTTAATTTATTTATTATTATTAAGTAGCACAAACTGTTTCAAATTCATTTTCCAATTCTTCATAATCAACTAATGGTTCTTATCTATTAAAATTATTTGAAGGAGAAGTATTTTCTTCTATTAATACTTCATCTTCAAAACTATCTTCAGCATATAAATTCTAATATTATGATGGTGCACCATCTTAAGGTCCATAACCATTAATTTTATGATCTGAAAACATTGCTTTCTATTTATTTAAAGTAGAATTCATATCATTCTAATATTATTATTATTATTATTATTATCTTAATTCTCCTTAAAAAATATAGATTGGAATTGCAATAGTTAGTTGATTACAATTTTAAATATTCTATGAATAATTAGCAATTAAACAAAAGTTATAATGATAGATAATTCGATCAGTAAATAATGAAGATTGAGGAAATATTGATTTTGGATCATTCTAATCTTATTCTAATTTCAATTTATATTCTAATTATCTTTTTTATCTACCTTTTACAACAACTACATAAAATAATATATTATTACTATTATATTATGATTATGCTAAACCAAAATAATTAGATATCCTCAATTTTAAGACAGGATAAAGGATTATCAATTATGATTAAACAGAAAAATTTAAATTCAATAAATTTAAATCAGTTTTAGTATTATCTATCTCAAGATTGATATCTATTACATCGCCTATTACAAACCCTTATTTATTGATTTGAAGTGATATTGAAGCACTCTATTAAATATGAATTATTGTACTCCACCATTAAGAAAGCATAATTTCTTTAATTCTCTTTGTTCTCCAACATAGCATATTGATTACATTAATGATGGTTAAGGTAAATGATAAACATGAATTGTTATTTTATGAGATTGTTCTATTTTGTAAAAAGTTTATTGACTTTCATCAGTAAAGTAAATTGACAAAATATACATCAATCTACATTACAAAGTTTTGTAATAATTGATACAAAAACTTGGAATTTCTTATGGAGTTTCTATTTCAAAATGTCTTTTTTATATTCCTTATGTAAGATGACTTTAAGATCAATATAACAATTACGATCCAAAATTGCAAAGCCATTTATGTTTACTATAAAAAATGTCCTTGAATCTAAAACATTAATTTTATTTATCAAATTGATTAACCTTCTATACACCAATTAACTAAATGAAGAAAACAAATGTTACTTTTAGAAATAACATATTACACTCAAGATCAGAAGATTTTGCCTTTAAATATATTACACCTTTGATCACATCACCTGCTCTATAATTAGGCTTATCAACTTTAAGAGACACTTATATTTAATCATTATCGAGTTTCGTAATCATTAAGTATTATTAAATTTTATTATAGCAATTTACATTATAGAAAATATACATTCATATGTCAATAAATATTTACATAATATTTTGGTACTTCATATTAAATGTCAAATAATAGTTTTTTATCAACTACATACATTTATTCTCTTTTTGGAGATTTAAATACTAATTAATTCACATATTTCACTACTACATTTTTCGATTCATTATCCTATTAAGAAACACTTGATTAAGGTTAAACTTTTTATTATACTAAATTAATTTACCTTGTATTTCATTTTTATTCTATTCTAAATGGGAATAATCTGATGATGCGTTTTTTAATTAAAAAGAACTATTTAAATGATCTATTTATTTAACTTCCTCTTTTTCTAAATAAGGTTCCTATCCATCCTTCTAAAATCTCAATACTCCCTTAAATTTAGTTATCTCTCCTTACTTAATTATAAAATTTAATGTACTTCATCTATTCCATTCTCAAATTAAGAATCTTATTGTGACATACCAAAATTAGTTGGTGTTTCTGGCAATAAAATATCAGATTAAATTTATTCATAATTTTATTAATTTTTTTATTGATTATCTAAATCAGCTAAAATACTGCTTTCATCAATATTCTAAGAATTTTTCATCTCAACTTAACTTATTATTTATTATTATTCAAAACCAACATTTTATTAATTTTCTTATTATACTGATGTTTTTGTATTTTATTTTGATTCACTAACTATTAAATCATTAATATCAAATAAATTACTTTATGAACAACTTAAACTTAATGCTTTATCTATTGAATGTTCTTAAACATCATTAATTTTATCTAATGAAAGTGATTTATTAAGTTCTATCTATTAATCTTCATTGTTATTTAATATTATATCATTTTATTCTCTATTTTCAAATTTTTATTATTATTATTTTTATTCCTCATTTTATTATTATTATAAATTATCTTCATTATTTAATACTTCTTTACACTCATCACCTTCTTAAGGTTTTATCAATTAAGAAAAATTGAAAGAATGTAAAGCACCTGATGCAAATTCACATCCTAAAGCTCCAGGTCCTCCCCAATTAAATTTAGGTTCTAATACAACAACTCTAGGTGATTTTTTAGTTAATGGTGAAAATATGCATAACTTAATTATTATTATTATTATGATTTACTTCAATTAATTATTTAGAATATGCTTATCCTGTTACTATGTCTGAGAATTCATCTATAGTTTAATACCTATGAGATTTAACACCTAATAGATAATCTTAATTGCTTTTAAGTCCACTTGATTCTGCAGGACTACCCTTCAATACTTTTGTAATATGTAGAATCAAAGGATTTATTGATTCATATCTGATGTAAAGACCCAATTTAATTGTTGATCGTGGCTCAGAAATATAAATTTTTCGTGTTTCCAAAGAAAATATATTCAAAATAGACAATTCAATAGGTTCATCACTTTCAAGTAATTTAAGAGCATTCACTTACGAATCAGATTTTATCTGAACTATATAATCTAGAAAGATTTCCAAATCTAAAATAATCTTAAACAATTATACTGAGGTTTGATCCAAATGAATTTGGTTCAATAGATATGATTCTGTATCCATAGCCATTACCAATTTATGAGGAATTATTGCCCATTTACAATATTATATATTATATATATTATTATATATATATATGTCATAAGGCACACGCAAATACATTAACTATGCCTATAATTGCTTCAGTTTCATGTTTAATGGTGAGTGATCCATCAGTATCATTATCCCAATAACAAGATCCTGATATGTTGAGACCACACTCAGCTTTCTACATTAGGAGGCAGTTAACAATGAATTTGAAATTTTTGTTATGAGTTGTTAATTGTTTCAATATTGAATCACATATTTTATTACTTCTAGCTTAAGCATCATTATGATCATATGTTAATTTATCTAATTCTCTTTATAAAGTAGATTAAACAAATTTCTAAACTTCATTTTTTAGAGGACCATTAAAACTAACTACATTTCCTAATTAATCCATTTATATATTTTTAATTTAAATTATATTAATATATAATCAGTATGTTGATTTAATTTAGAACTTATATACACTTCCTAAATGTTTTTTTTTGTTAAGTAACTATGAATTAGATATAGGAGTGAAATCTAGTCTAACATTATGTATATTTTCAACATTAGTTTGATGATGATCAATTTTTGTAGTTTTAGATGAAGAAAATTATGGTTTATTGATATCAATAGTTGGTTAGACATTAATAGATAGCTTTTTTAGTTTGTTTTACATGATCTTAGCATATGTTAATGAATTAAAATTAGATTAACTATGAGATCTAGTTTAACCTTAAGTTTTAATACTAGATCTGAGACTAAATTACAAGTCCTTACTTTTAAAATCGTTTTCAGATTAAATTTGCATTCTGCTTCTTTAATTCCTTGTTTCTGATCTTATAAGATTCATTTCATTTACATATGGATCACTTCTAAAAGGAACTAAAAAGGAGTATTTTTCAGCTTGGATTGTCTCAATATTTTCTATACTCTACTTAAGATTTTCAATTTCATAATAATAAATAGCCTTTTATGCTTATTCAACAGTTTTTTCCATTTTCATTCTTAATTTTTCAATTTATTATTCAACTTTTATTTTTTTATAATATGATGATTTAATTTAATCTAAATCAAATTAATAAGTTTAATCTCCAGTTCTTTCTGTTAAATTTGGATTTTAGTTAGTTCTTTATCCAAGATGACTCTATATCTAAAATTTGACATTTTCATATTTAAGGAAATCATCAATTGATGAATAAATTTAAAAATAGTCTAATAATTATCTATATTTAATTCTATAATAAGTAGAATCTGTTTTGGCTTTAGCAGTAGTTATTCTATAGTTGAGTTATTTGAAATGTTCATAATCTCCAAAAAACTATCCAGAATTGATTATAGCCATAATACTAGGTTTAGGAACAAAATTATGATGATTAGATATTTAATCTTTATTAGGAGTTGACCATTAAATAACTTCAATTTCTCCATTAATTACTAAATATATATATTCATCAGGTTTCCCTTTTTAAAAAACATATTATCCAACTTTCTTATTTTATACTTCAAGACTTTATAAAAGTACTAATTGATTTTATCGTTGCCAAACACTAAAGATAGGTATTTTAGTGATAAATGCTATTTTTTGATTAGTCAATTCATGTTAGAAAGCACCAAGAATTCTTTAATATAGATCGTAAGTAATGACAGCTAGAATGACTTCAGTTTTAGCAGCAACAGTAGCTGTTCTAGTAACTTTTTATTCAATTGCTATTTCTCCAAATTAATCTCCTTCTATTTTAGTTGCAACTTATGTATAATCAGCAAATACATATTTAACCCATTCTTCAAAAGAACTAATATATAAATAAGTTATACTTGAATTTTTGTTTTTTTTGAGGTTGATTTTCTGAAGTATTTTTAGTTTTAGGAATTAAGATTACTAATTCACCTTGAAGTACAAAATACATTCTTCTACCAGGATCACCATGTCTGAAGATTATTTTGGTACTATCATACCATTCTAGAGTCATTTCTCTAAATAGAGATTTACAACTTTCATGATCTAATTTTTCTTTAAATTTACTAATCTAATTTATAGTTCTTGTACCTATAATAAGGGAAATTTTCTTCAAAATAGGTTTTAACTGCTTCTAATTATTCATCTGTTCTATTTTAAGAGTATTATTTCAAAATATAAATAGTTCTTTATAACTATATTGTTTTAGTATGTGAACTATCTCTCTGCCAAAGAGTAGCCACTTTCTCTAAAATGCTCATATTTCGACGTTCATGATCTTCTTTTTATTTGGCCGATATTACCATTTATTAGAATGTATTCGTAACTCCTTTTAATGTTGTGCTATTTTTCATATAAAATTTAATTATGTTTTTAACTAGATTCAGAAATCTGTACAAGTTCTCATCTGTAATAGATCCTTATTAAGTGTTGGGAGTTGATAAATTTACTCCATTTCCAGATATCAAGAAGGCTTATTATAAAATGGCAGCTTAATATCATCCAGATATTAATAAAACACCTGTGTTAAGATCATTTAATATATATAGTCTGCCTAAAAACAATTCATATTAATTAAAGAATCTTTTGAGAAGATTAAAATGATGAAAGGAGAGGCTGTCCAAATGAATTCAGAAGGTTCTGTTAAAAAAGAAAATGAATATGAATCTGTTCGTAAGAATTATAAAGATTATGATGAAAACTTTTCAGAATCAAATGAACAAAAAGATTATAAAGAATTCTATCATTAAGCTGAAGATTTGAAAGGATAAGAATATGATCATCTTAAAAAGTCTTTTTAAACTATTCATGAAGTCAAAGATATCAAATTCAAACCAATTGATATGAAAATGCCTGATCCATCTAAAAGATTTCATTTAGGTCAGGTTATGCATTTAAAGGTTTTCTCAGATGGTTCAAATCTATATATTATCACAATCTGTGTTGGTATGTTTATACTCTTTTTTGTTATGTAACATTCTCATTATTATTATTTTTTAGTAATTCAGTATTTCAAATGCAAACTAAAAGAAAGACTAATTCTTAATTATATAATTTATTGAATAAATAGATAATTAAAGAAGATTTGGAAGAAGAGTAACTCTTACAATAAGTCACTACTTAAATAGAAAAAACATAAGAATTTAAATAGTTTAAACAAGAATAACTATAGAAATAAGAGAAATCAACTCAAAGGAGAAGGTAAATTGTCCCTGAAATCCAAACTTTTGTATCAGCAACTGATCTTAAAGATAGTGTGTTATGAAATTAAATATATATATAAAATGTTAAATTTATCTCATAATAATTCTTGGCATATTGTCATATTGTTATCGGATTATCATCAAGTATTCGATTGGAATGCTAAGCTAATTCTATATTTAGAATATAGGTTTTGAATTAATTATATTATTTAAATAGAAAACTAAATTTTGAATAAAATAAAGTATTAGTTTATCAATAAGTAAATGCTTCTTAACAATAATAAGTACTTTTAAATGATAGTAAATTTAAATTAAGTAAAATATTGAATTATGAAAGATCGTTATTAATTTATAATAGATCTTAAATTACTAATTGCAAAAAAAATATTCTCATTTATTAATTAGTAATCCAAGTATAACAGCAATATATATTAAATCTTTTTAAAGCATAGAAGATTGTAGTCTTTATGAAGTGTCTGCCAAAAAGAAACAAATAGAATTATATGATCTTTATGGTGAGTACTATTAAAACTATCAATAAGATAAAGTGTTCAAAAAATTAAAAATAACTATTCACCTTTGTCAAATTGAAAAAAGTAATCAGTTTAGAAGAAAATATTTAAAAATAATAGAAATTAGGATAAGATATTTATTGAATAAACAAAAATATTGCTGTTGCATTAATTGTTAGAGTTAAAAAGTAAGTTCAAAGGCAAAAGATATGGGTATATTTGAGAGCGAAGATGGTTTTAATTATATCAAATGTTATTGGATTTATAAGTTAAATAAACAATTATTAAAATATTCGTTGAATGTTTAAATTCAAATTAAATAAATATTAAAAAAAAAAAATGTTCAGACATAGGGATTTAAATACATTTTTATCTAATTACTAGCAGTTTGATAGATAAAACAAGAAACCCTTTGAATATTTGAATCTGTCATATCATCAATAATTTGAACATTCGCCAATAAGAAAATAAACATATACTTCAAAACCTAATGACATTTAATATAAGAGTCTTCAAGAACCTTCATTCTTAAGATAAAGCTTATTACCTAATTATGAACCGACAAAGTGCTCTAGTTAAAGAAATGGAATCATCAAAGCTTATGCTGCTAATACAAATTAAGGGATTGTTAGAGATTATAATGAAGATAGAGTCTCTATAATATTAAATATAATAAAACCTTAAAGTAGAAATACAGAATAATGGCCTAAATGTTCATTTTTTGGAGTTTATGATGGACATGGGGGAGCATTGTGTGCAGATTATTTGAGGGATAATTTACATTAATTTGTAGTTAAAGAACCCGATTTCCCATGGAACCCAGTTGGTGCTATTACTAAAGGATTTGAAGCAGCAGAAAAATCATTTTTATAAATTGCTTAAGAATCCTATAATAAGGGAATACCTGAAAGAAGTGGATCTTGTGCAGTTGTAGTATTAATTATAGGAGATAATTGTTATGTGGCAAATGTTGGAGATAGTAGAGCAGTGTTAAGTGCTGCATCTGGAAGGAAAGCTATAGCATTATCTCATGATCATAAACCTGAATTAGAATAAGATAGAATTGTAAAAGGTGGAGGATCTGTTTATTAAACACATGGAATTAATGAAGAAGGTATACAGATTTTAGGACCTGTAAGAGTAAATCCAGGTAGATTATCAGTATCAAGAACATTTGGAGATATAGAAGCTAAATTTGAAAGGTTTGGTGGAAATCCAAAAGTTGTTATTGCTGAACCTGAAATTAAATAATTTAAAATAACTAATGAACATGATTTTATTGTTTTAGGAAGTGATGGAATATTTGATAAATTAAGTTCTTCTGATGTTATGAATATTATATGGAAAGATATTTTAAATTGTCAAGTAGGAAATAATTTACATAATGTATTATCTACTTCTGTAGAATCAGTACTTAGAGAAAGTATTTAAAGAAAGAGCACAGACAATGTGACTTTGTTAATAATTGCATTTTCTGTGGCATCTTTAAAAGAAGAAGAACTTAGAATAAAGACATCATCATCAATTGAAAAATTAGTAAAGGTGCCATTGACAAATAATATTCCAAGTATGAGAATGAGGTATAAATTTAATCTATTTATTTAGTTATTCTAAAAAAACAAATGATGAAAATAATCCATTCTTACTTAATACTTAGAAAATAAATTAAAATTAGAAGTTGAAAGTAGAAGAAACAACAAGATATAAACCTAGTTATATAAATTGATTATAAGCATTAGAATAATTAATTATTTTTATTTCAATTTATCAAGTTCTTTTAACTTTTTAACTGTATGGTCTTTAAGTATTTGTTTATGTTACTTCTTCATCAATACCAGCTTCAATCAATTTAAACTTCAAAGTTTTGATTTATTGTTCCAATAATTAATTTTTTGTTTATAATATTTCTATTTAAGTAACTAAATCTGATTGACGATGTTATTCAAATCTCGACAGATTTTATTTATTATAATTTTATCCTTTTATTATTTTACCCTTTTTTGGAAATCTATTTGTGATATACCCATTTACTAAATCAACAGATTAATTTAATGGTTACAAATTGGCTTCATCTTATAAAATTGCACTATTCTTTCTTGTATAAACTCAAAAATGTACTTCTTATTAATGACTTCTTCGTCTTTGTTCATACTATTACATAGAACTCGCTCTAGTTTATGTTTTGAGTAATGATTCGTATTATGATATCTATTTAGCTAATTTTGTTTCCAAACTCTTTTTTCTTTCTAGAACTTAATTCAAATGTGTTAAAAGATGCATATTTTCTTAAGTTTTTAAATAAATTTCTTAATCTCTCCATAATAATAGTTTTTTAAATTTTTTATCATTTTCTTAGGAAGATTTAACTAAGAATTGATTTTGTCTGCATAATTCATTTGTTATTTCTCCTGTAAAATGTTTTTGATATAATTATTTTAATTATTAAGGCCAATCCTAATTTTATATATATATAAATTGAATACAGTTTCTCTAAATTCATGAATCATTGAAGTAATATCTTTGATAAATAATTTGATAGCTATTTCTGTTTTTTTATCTTATTCAGTAATATTTTCTGGATTTCTAATATCATTCTTTTCATTTTTACTTATATATTTTTGATACATTTGTTTCATAAAATCTACCCATTCCTAAATAAATAGATAAATATACTTTTTCTTTTTTCTCATGATAACAATTATATATATCCATAGTAATTTATTTTGATAAATCTTAATATTTTTTACAATTCTATTTTAATTTATCAATATCTTCATTCATAACTTTCATTTAATTAATCATTCTCTTATCTTTTTCTTCATATTATTTTAATTTAGTTGATAATTCATTAATTTCATCTTCTAATTTTGGTATACTTTCTAATAATTCTCTAATTTTTTTATCTTTTGGTTCCATTTCAGTTTGCATTTCATACGTTTTAAAACTAAGTACTAATTTTGATTTTTATAATCCTCCTATATATTTTTAATATTATTTAATCTAATCATTACAATGTGATAATTCTTATTCATGTAAATTTATTTTTTCCATTAATTCTTTATTTTAACTTTATAATTCTTAAATAAATTTTTCAGATTCTTTTTATTTTAAAATTTCTAATTCTAATTATTATTAAACAACATCAATTTCTTTACAATTAAATTTCTCAGATTTATACATCATTAATTACTTATCTTTTGATGAAATTTCTTTTTATAAATCATCAATTTTTTATTTAAATTGTTATTTAGTATTTTCTATATATTCATCTTAAATTTCATCATCTTAAATAATTGATTAATAATTATTTTGTAATATCTTAATATCAGATTTATTTGAAATGATAGCATCATATAATAATTTTAAATCGGATTGGAATTTCTATTTAATCTCTTTAATTTATTTTTAACAATCATATTCTAATTCTTTCAAGTTTTATTAAAATTTCTATCTTTCTTCTATTAATATTTATTCTAATTATAGATATTTTTCATTCTCAATCATTATTTTATTTTCATAAAGAGTTTCTAATTCTTAAACTGCTTTGAATTGATTATTTTCAATATTTCTAAATAAATTAAAATGTTATTTTTCTTATTGAGTCTTTTCAATCTTAAGTTCTTAATATCTTAAATCTCTAAATTCAATCTCTTCATTAAATTTAGATTCAAATTCAGATTACTACATTAATATTAATAATTTTAATATAAAATATTTCAATATTATAACATCACTTTCCAAATAATGTGCTTCTGATAATTGGTAATGAATCTTAAAATGTTTATTCTGTTCTAACATCTAATGTGTTCTTACAAACAATCAAACCATCTTTGTTAGTCATCAATATTCCACCAAAACATTTTTTATCATTTTCAGTTTTTGATATCACCTAAAATATATATATTAATTACTTCTGATGCTGATTCTTGTAATGAATAATCTTAAACACTTTTAATTGAATTATCAATAAGTGTTCTTTCATCTAAACATTTCTCTTCATCAATCTCAATTTTAACTTCAAATTCTAATCCATTTAATTCATTTCTTAAAATATCTTAGAATTCAGAAATAGCATCATCTATTACATTTCTTACATGTCTTATATCACGATGCAAACATCTTTAATTATATAAAACAATTACCTTACTACAACTTCATGTTCAAATAATTTAATTAATCCTTGAACTATTAAATTTTTCAATAATTCTTCATAAAATTTTTCATCTTATCTAATCATTTTATAAATTTGATATTATGACTATATTAATATGCATATGTACATCAGAGAAAATCTTTGTTAATGCTTAGTTTCTAGCATTCATCAATCTCATTCTTGCCCCATTAACAAGAGCACTATGTTTAATTCTTTCCTATTAAGCTTTCTTCTTAAATTTATTATTAATTTCTTCTTAAATGTTCGATTTCTCTTTTTCCACAATTTACTTTTTCTCTTTCTCAAATTATTTAAATGCCTTGACTTCAATTTCAAAACATTTCTCTCTTGCCTCCTAAAGCACAAATTCAGCCAAAGATATTTAATCTTACATCATTAATAATAAATATTTATTTCTTGTGTATTATTAATTCCATTAATCTAAAAGAGATTCTAAATACTAATTATACATAAGCATATAAATATATATATAATCTAAATCAAGAAAACAAAAAGTTAGGATCAATATTATACTTTTCAGTGAATCTTTATAGCCATTTATTTAATGAAATTGTTGGTACAACCAACATCTATTAATTTTTTTCATTATAATATATTTATTTAGGATAATCTTATAGAAATCTATCTAAATGTTATGCAATTGCCATAAAGTAATATCCTTGTTTCTCTGGTAACATAAGAATCATTTATTACAAATTTTGATCAATCTATTAAAGTTGAATTACTATTTTTATTTAAGCTTGTTTATTTGTATGAGGATTAAGACTAAAACTAGTTGAAAATATATCAGATGGTCTAGCATTAGCAATTGCTCCTAAAAATTCTAATTGACTATAAGGAGGATAAGAATAATATAAACAAGCAGCAATTCCTTCATCTAAGGGTTACATTAAGAAGAATGCTATTGAAGTTATAATTGCAGGATTATTCACATCAACTACAAAGCTATTGTTAATCTAAGTGAATTAAGTAATTGCTAATTGTCCTGGTATCATTAAGGCAAATGGTGTTATTATTGGTTATGAAAACATATCTATGTGAAATTATTATTAATAATATATAATTGTAATTTATATATTATGAAAATTACAAGAATATTCTAGAATTCAATAAGTCCATTCTGATATTTTCTAATCTTCAAATATCCTATTTTCATTTTTGTCATTTGTTTAAACACTAAAATATTAAATTTACTTTGGACTGTTTTATAATTACCATGCTGATTATTATTATTTATTAATAAACTATTTATGTTTTTTATTCTTCTTTTCTTATTCAAATCTCTTCATAATTACTTAAGCTACTTAAATCTTTTCTAAATTTATAGAAAATAATTCATTTATTGCATTATTATCTTAATTTGATAATAATTTATAGAAATCTTCAAAATTTATTAAGTTTTCATCATGTTTACTATATTCTTTTGTGAGTAAAAAATAACAATAATGATCAATTTTAAGATGTTTGTTCTTAAAAAATGTGAAATATACATTAAAGTCAATTTAGCAATGTAATTATTATTTTATCTATTATAATTCCATTAGTTTTGTGCAATAAAATTATAAAAGTTCAAAAACTCTTACATTTATTTGTATTAAACCATTGATTTTATATTCAACTTTTCTGAAAGTAATTTCTTATCTTAAAATAGGATTATCTATTGATATAATCATATCAAAAAAACTAATATTATTAATAATATTGTACTCTGAAAAGTTTAGATTGCCATCAAGATCGCTATCAAATACTTTATATATCATTGCTATTCCTTGTACAGACAAAGTTGGAAACTGATCTTAAAGTTGATTAATATTAAGTAACATTGAATTATTAGTCAATGCACTCCAATAACTGTATGACTCAAAATTTTCAAGAGAACATAATGAATGTTTAAAGTTTTCAGCTTCTTAACCAATTTAACTAAGAACATTGAAATATTAATCTAAAGTGATCATATAATAGTTTTAATATTAATTTGTTATATATTGAAGAATGAATACAAATAAATCAGATCAATATTCTTCTTCTTCTTCATAATTATCATATTCACTATGACAGCAACTATGAATAAAAGGTCCATATTCAGATATTAGATCATTAATATTATACTCAGCTTCTGTAAATTCCATTTGATCCATACCAATATTTTCATAAGCATATACATATGCCTTTTTTCTAAACATCTTAATGAAATCTTCTTAATATGATTACAGATATTTTTTAAATCCATTAGAATTTCCTAAAAATCCAACTATATTTTCATGATCTATATGTTAAACACTTGTATGTGTTCTGTAATGAGTATCATGACCAAGAAATTAATATAGATCATCTTTTCTAATTAATAAAGATTGAGATTCAGGCATTTCAAAACAATTACCTCTCAATTAAATTTGATAAGAGATATATTCATTTGGTAAGTAATCTTAAAAAGAGCATAATTTATATTGTTTATTTAGTATATTAGTAATACTCCAATCACTCTTATTGATAATCATGTAACTAGGTTAAACAAAATGTAATCTTGGAAATGGTATCAAATTTAAAGCCAATTTTTTCATTCCACCATTTATAAATCCTGGAAATCTATATGAAGCAGTTGTTTAAATTAAACTCTCTGCAATAATTTTGTTAAAATTCTAATAATTTGAATCTAAATTATTGTTATTGCATATATATTATAATGCAACATTATCGAAAACTGTCACTATATCTACAGTTTCAATCATTTAATGCAGAATTAATACTGTATTATATATTTCTAAATAATTATGTATAACTCCTTGTGAAAATACAGGATTACAATGAACTATCTTAGTTAAATCCTTTTCCCGAAAGTATTATATTAAATTACTTGCTATACCTGAACCACTTCCACCCCCTGTTGAAAAGAACATAATAATTCCTTAGAGATTGCCTGATTATTCAAAATATTTATTTAAAACATGTTTGCATTTATCCATTAGTTCAGCTCCTTCTGTATACTTTCCAATTGCAAAAAGATTACCACTTCCACAATTCATTGAAAAACAACAATTAGGATCTATAATCACATCTTTCTATAGTAATAGTTTATCAATTTAGGCTATTCATATAACATATTAATACATGATTCTAAGTCTAAAAATAAGCATCTTGGAATAAATTGCTATCTAGAATTTTCATTGTAGAAAACATTGATTTTCTTGTTATATCTATCTTAATTAATTATTTCTTGATGATTATTTAAACAATGATCATAATTTAATTGTTTAATGAATTCTAATCCTATATTAATTCCACTCTATCCAATTCCTATAATAATAATTTCTTGCATGTTAATAAATATAAACTTTATTTTACATTTAAATGTTTAATATATAAATCAAATTAAATCTATATTCAATGATCAATCCAAATAGATCATTATCTTTTTGTAGCCATTGTTTAAGAAAAATGAATTAAGTTTTTTAATTAAGTTAATTTCTTTTGTTAATTACATGTCATCTTAATCATTTCTGGCATCTCAGTAATTATTAAGTATTTATCAGCATTCTTAAATTATTTATCAAATTTATACTTTTATTATTGATTCCAAAACAGAACCAATTTAATCCTTAAAACCCTTCTTCTTTTTATAACAATCCTTAAATTATCTACAAAATGCTTCTTAATTTGTAATCTTATCTTAAATTATATACAAAAAATGAATATTTCTTTATAATTTAAGTTTCAACCTTATTTCCAATTTTATTTAAATTATTTCACAATCTGATGCGTTTAACTAATAAAATCAACTTATTACAATTATTTAATTTAATTTACTCTCATAATCTTATAAAGAACATTATAAAATATATTTAATTTAGTCTTCTTTAATATTTATAATATTGTATTATAAATTTAAATCTTCCATGTTGCAAAATTAATTTTCAAAAGAATTCAAACAACCAATAACTTTTATAACGAATTACAAAAAGAAATCACTTGGTTTTCTAACAATATACACTACAATAGACTATAGTAATAAGTTATTCTAATTACATCTTAGTTTTCAGGACATTTCTTATCCTAATTCAAAGCTTAATTAATTTTTATCACTTAATCATCAGCCACTCTTTGAGTATCAAATATGGCTGAAATCTCATTACTATTAAAAGGATATGATTTATATAAATTTTTAATGGATTTACAAAGAATTTAAAGGAAAAATACATTTGTATGTCTCAATAAATCTTAATTTAAATCTTCATTAACAAATTATTTACGATGAATAATTTAATCAAATCTATTACCATTTTTTTATTATAAAGCCTAAGATTTTTTATTTTCAGACATAAGAATTTATTAATCAAACTTTGTATTAATTTCTAAGTATTTTTAATTTCTAATAGAATAATAAGGTTCATAATTTTGATCATACACTTTTTGTTTCTAAACCAAAATACATATCTATTTAGAACATCTTTTAAAACAGTTAAATTATTCTTAAAGTATACTCAATTAAAAGAACTTTTTATGTTATTATTAATTTAAAAAACCGTTTTAATTTTCAACATTTTTTAACTAGTTTTGAAGTGGTAAAATTTCCTCATTTATAGGAATTATCTTTTACTTTATTTCATTTTTTTATTATTCAAGTTGATTTATTTCTTAAAAAAGTTTCTCTAAAATTATTTTTTGAGAATTAATACAATCCTTCATTTTTTCTGATAATAATGAAATTTTAGTGGTATTTTCTAATTCTATTCCAATTTAAGGATAATATAATTAACCATTATATGCACTTAATTAATTATTTTCAATTCTTATTTAGATCAAAAAATCAATTTAACAATTCATCAATTCAAAATAATCAAAAAGTGGTTTAAAGGCTTTCTAATTATATTCTTCATTATTTATAGATTCTAATTAAGAATGTAATCGTATTAGTTCACTTATTTAATATTATTAAGATTCATTTTCAGTTTCTCCATATAGTTTTGCTTTTACTGATTTGAATCTTGACTGAAATTTTGGGTAAGTTTTTTAAATTTCTACATTATATAGAGTTGGAAGAGAATTCAAACTATTTTTATTTTCTTATTGATTCCACTTAGTGATTGATTTTGAATTTCTTTCTTACACTTTTAAAGTAGGTCTATCTTTTGTCTGAGATTTTTTTTCTAGCATATTAATTTTTAATAATTCTTAAAATAAATGTTATAATTCATTATTGATTAAATAAAAATAAAAATTTTATATATATAATCAACATAATCATGACATTGACTCTCTTTTGGACGATTATTAATTATGAAAATTTTTACTTAACCTTGGTTTTTATTTATATACCTTGGCCTATTCCTTAATATATATAAGTTTTTCTGGTTCTCCTTAATTATATCTTGTAAATTATAGAGAACTTTCTGCTAATTTTATCTAGATATATATTTTTTGATTTACTTCAAAATTTATTTTCTATAATAATGATTAAGTAAATTAAAACAAAGGAGATTATTCTTCTAAATTCTTCTTTAGAAAACTTTATAATTTAAGTAATTTTCCAAAATCAAGTGACATTTTTAAATTGTGAATTATTAATTTGCAAGCATCCTTAAATTTCCAAGGAATTTATCCACAATTTTAATCAAAGTTAGGTATATCTATAACTGGTTGAATTGTATCTATAAATTAATTAAGATATTACCTGCAAATAATAATTATCCACTTTCTAATATATTAGAGAACTAATAATTAACTTAAACATTTTGAAAATATCCATTAATATTTATTACACAAAATTCTCCATCTCCCTAATTTTTCTCTTTATAATCAATTAATAAATGCTCATCATTTGATTACAATAAGAAATCATCTTAAATATCTGGCATCTTTAAATTTATTTTTTGCTTTTTTAGATCTAAGTTTGCTTCATCAAATGTTAATATAATCAGATTTGATCCTATTGATGATTCAGGTATTATAAATTATGAATTTTCAATTGAAATTTTATAGTTAAAACTGTCTTTTTCCTTGATAAAATCTTCTTCTTATTTAATTTATAATTATAAATCA